TATAGCGAATGAAAAAAAAATAGAAAAGTATTGAAATTTCCCAACTGACAGAAATAACTTCTAAATCGTTTCGATAATATTTCTCTCAAACAATATATTTTACCACAATCCCTATTTTTTTTTTTTTTTTTTTTTTTTTATTTATTATTATTAAATTAATGATTGTTTTATTTTTTTTCTATGTTAATTCTCTAAAGAAATGCAAATCTATTAACTAATAAAGAAATGGAAAACTATTCACTAGGAAATAAATCGAAATCTAGATATTCAGAAATAGATCAAAAACTATAAACGAGATAAATTTAAATTAAAGAAAAACGAAGTGAAAAGTGAAATTAAAATTGAATTGAAAATTGAAATAAAAATTGGAACTAAACGATTCAAATTAAATTAATTTTGAGAAACAATCAAATTGATAGTGTAATGTAAAAAAAATTGAGGTACTCACAGAGGAAAATGGAGAAAATTGAATTTATTAATATTATCGACTGTCCAAGGGAGATTATTCAATCTTGAGTAAGCACTGGTTCACTCTCAAAAGACGGTTAACTCTGTGTGAGGTTTGATTATGTTATACAAACGTGGGAAAAATTGAAATGTCTTTAAACTATTGCGCACGCGTACGCAACATAACATCGAGTGTCATGTCTCTGTGTGAACTTCAATAATTTATAATTGGCACAATAAACGCGTTTATTGCCCTCTCATCCACTCTAATACTTTATATACATAAATCGAATAGTTAAAAAACTATTTTTATTACTTTGAACAACAATGTCTCAATTATTTATCATTAAAAAAAAAAAAAAAAAAAAAAAAATTTCCTACTTGAAAGAAAAATTTAATTTGTTCCTTAGAAATTACTAGGGTAATGTCAAAGTTTACCTCCTTCAAAATACTTAAAAACTCTTTTTATTAATTAAAATAACAATATTTCAAACATTCATCATTAAAAAAAAAAAAAAAAAAAATCCTACTTCAAAAAAAATTTTAAATGTCCCTTAGAGATTATTAAGGTTTACCCTACTTCAGAACACTTAAAAACTTTCCATTACTTACAATAACAATATTTCAAAAATTCATCATAAAAAAAATATTTCCTACTTGAAAGAAAAATTTAATTTGTTCCTTAGAAATTATTAGGGTAGTGTCAAAGTTTACCTACTTTAAAATACTTAGAAACTCTTTTTATTACTTACAACAACAATATTTCAAACATTTATCATTAAAAAAAAAAAAAAAAAAAAAAAATCCTACTTTAAAAAAAAAATTGAACGTAAAACTCTGGAGGAACTTAAAAATCTCGACATGAATACGTTACAATTATTCTGTATTTTTTAAAAATTCGCCAACCCTCGAAACTTTTTTTGAAATATATTAAAAATAAAATAATAAATAAAAAAACAAAATATTAAATAAACAAACCAATACCTTCTCATATGAATATATGATAAGAATGCAATAAAAAAAAATTTTTTTAAATAAAAAAAAAATTGAAAAAAGTAAATAAAATGCATAAAGCCTTTTGTTTGCCTCATAAACAAAATACAAAACCTTCAAAAAATTGTTTTTTCTATTTCTGACCAGATTTAATTTTTTTATTATTATTTAAATTATTTCAAAAGTTTTAATGCAATTATCTTGATAAATGACAAGATTCAATTATTTTTAGGAGTATAAAAAAAAATTATTTGCAAAATTCAATTATTTTTATAAATAACAACATTTATTAGAAGAATTCAATTATTTTCAAAAGTAACAAAATTCTTCGAAGAAATTCAATTATTTTTAAAAAAAAACCAAAAATTCTTTGCAAAATTCAATTATTTTTATAAATAACAACATTCATCACAAGAATTCAATTATTTTCAAAAGTAACAAAATTCTTTAAAGAAATTCAATTATTCTTCTTCTTCAAAAAAAAAAATTCTTTGTAAAATTCAATTATTTTTATAAATAACAACATTTATCACAAGAATTCAATTATTTTTAAAAAAAAAACCAAAAATTCTTTGCAAAATTCAATTATTTTTTAAAGTAACAAAATTCTTTAAAGAAATTCAATTATTCTTCAAAAAAAAAAAAAAATTCTTTGTAAAATTCAATTATTTTTATAAATAACAACATTTATCACAAGAATTCAATTATTTTTCAAAAAAAAACCAAAAATTCTTTGCAAAATTCAATTATTTTTTAAAGTAACAAAATTCTTTAAAGAAATTCAATTATTCTTCAAAAAAAAAAAAATTCTTTGCAAAATTCAATTATTTTTATAAATATCAACATTCATCACAAGAATTCAATTATTTTCAAAAGTAACAAAATTCTTTAAAGAAATTCAATTATTCTTAAAAAAAAAAAATGCTTTGTAAAATTCAATTATTTTTATAAATAACAACATTTATTACAAGAATTCAATTATTTAAAAAAAAAATTCTTTGCAAAATTCAATTATTTTTTAAAGTAACAAAATTCTTTTAAGAAATTTAATTATTCTTCAAAAAAAAAAAAATTCTTTGTAAAATTCAATTATTTTTATAAATAACAACATTTATCACAAGAATTCAATTATTTAAAAAAAAAATTCTTTGCAAAATTCAATTATTTTTTAAAGTAACAAAATTCTTCGAAGAAATTCTATTATTTAAAAAAAACAATTCTTTGCAAAATTCAATTATATTAATAAATAACAATATTCATCACAAGAATTCAATTATTTTCAAAAGTAACAAAATTCTTCGAAGAAATTGAATTATTTTAAAAAAAAAAAAAATTCTTTGCAAAATTCAATTATTTTTTTAAATAACAACATTCATCACAAGAATTCAATTATTTTCAAAAGTAATAAAATTCTTCAAAGAATTTCAAATATTTTTCAAAAATTTTAACGAATATTTCGTCTAGAATTCACTTTATCTTTATAAATAGCAAAATTTTTCGCTAAAAAAAAAATTCAATTATTTTCAAAAATTTAAATAAAATTCTATGGAAAATTTCAATTATTTTCACAAGTTTTTTGTAATTCTATGATTTTCAATATTATTTTCATAAAATTTTATTATTGAAAAAAATTTTTGATAAAATTCTACGAAAACATTAAATTATTTTCATAAAATAATAAAATTTCATTTAGGAATTCAATTATTTTCACGGCGCAGAATTTTAAATATTTTTAATAAAATTTTAAATAAATTCCTCAAAAAATTGAAAAAAAAATTTTTTTTTAAACTTGACGAATGAATTCAAATTGAAGAAACATTCAATTATTCAATAAAATAATTTTAAAAATTGAATATTTAATCAAATTATGTAAATATTTCAGAAAATAATTGAATTTTTGATGAATTTTAGTTCAAAATTCATAAAATAATTGAATATTTGTAAGAATTTTTGGTAAAATTTCTAAAATAATTGAATATTTCCAGACAGAATTCAATTAATTAGAAAAATATTATAATTTTTCCGAGGAATTCAATTATTTTCAAATATTTTAATAAAATTGTTCGAATGAAATCAATTATTTTAAATAGAATTTTAATTAAATTTTTTTGAAATAATTCAATTATTTTTTTATAGATTTTAATTGAATTCTTCCTGAGAATTCAATTATTTACGTATAAATAATTTTTCGAAAGAATTCAATTATTAAAGATAAAGAACAAAATTATTCTCGAAAATTCAATTATTTTCACGGATTTTAATAAAATTCTTTGCAAAATTAAATTATTTTTATAAATAACAATATTCATGACAAGAATTCAATTATTTTTCAAAGTAATAAATTTCTTCTTGGAAATTCAATTATTTTTAAAAATTCTAATAAAATCTTTCGCAAGAATTCAATTATTTTTATAAATAATAAAATGTTTTTTAGGAAGTCAATTATTTTCCTAAATAATAAAATGCTTTTTAGGAATTCAATTATTTTCAAAAAAAAAATTTAATAAAATGCCACACAGACATTTAATTATTCTCAAAAAATTTTAATAGAATTCTTTGTAAAATTTAATTATTTTAAAATACTTTTTGCAATTTAATGATTTTCGATATCAACTATTTTCATCAAATTTCCAAACCGAATTCAATTATTCAACAAAAAAAAAAAATTGATGAATTTCATCCAAAATAATTTAATTAGTTGAATTAATTAAATTATTGGCAAAATTTATATAAAAATATTTTAATAAACTTCTTGCCAATATTTTAATTATTTAAACAAAATTTAATAAAATTCATCGCATAAATTCGATTATTTTCATGAAAATTATTATTTAAATTCATATCAGGAATTCAATTATTTTCATAAATATTATTATTTAAATTCTTCTCCGGAATTCAAATATTTTAAAAATTTTTTAATAAAATTCCTCAAAAATTTTTCAATAAAAAAAAAAAAATTTTCAAAAATTGTTATTATAAAATTCAATTATTGAATAAATTATTTATTTTTATTTAAATAATTGAATTTTCTAATAAAAAAATTGATTTAAAAATGTGGCAACCCTGAATAAAAAATTCAACAAAGCAAACATTTAAATTCGTCTTCAAAAGTTTATGTTTCTAAATTGCGTCGTGTATGTACGTTTAATTTTTTTTTTTTTTTTTTTTTTTTTTTTTAATATCAAACAGTAATTATTTTGAAATAGTGGAAAGTCAATTTCTGAAAATGCGTCTGTATAATACGTATATATTTTTAATTTCCTTGAGGAATTAAATTAAAGCGAAGTGAGCATTTCTCACCTCTCAGGAGAAAGAAAATAGTGGGGTTTGACCTGGAGTTGTCTCGAAGTCCCTCCGAGTTTTATGATTTCTGTTTAGTCTTCAATCAGCTTTCGCGTTGATAGAGCGAGTTGTTTTTTTTATAATTGAAAACTCGCTCTTCACTTCATCGCTAATTATTTTTCAAAAAATATTTTCCATTATTTAATTCCCTGAAGTTTGAAAAAATAACAAAAAAAAAATCGAAATTGTAATTTTAATAAAAATGTCCCTTATTTAATTTGTAATTATAAAAAATTGTTTTTCTTTTTAAAAGTGTGCACATCGTCAACTAAGTTTTTGGTTTAATATTTAACAATAAATCCACTAACTTTGCATTTTAAAATGACTCGAAAGTAATTTAACAAAAAAAATACTTCATTAACTAATAAAAAAAAAGATTAAAAAAATTTTAAATTTAATTTAACAAAAAAATATTTCATTAACTAATAAAAAAAAGATTAAAAAATTTCAAGTGTAATTTTTCCTAATTTTCTAAAATCGTAACACAAAATTCAAAGGATTTTTTTTTTTGACTAAAAATTCCAAATTGACTTAAAAAGAAAATAATATTTAGAAATTGAATTTAAATTATAAAATTTAGAAATTAATTATTAAAAAAAACTTATGCAAACATAAAAATTTAAAAAAAAATTAAAAAACTTATGCAAAAATAAAAATTAAGAAAAAAATTTAAATACTTATGCAAAAATATAAAATTAAAAAAAATATAAAAAAATCTTATGCAAAAATAAAAACTAAAAAAAAAATTAAAATAAAAAATTCCGCATGAAATATTTTTACAGCAAGTAAACTAACAAACTAAAAAGTTAGAAAGTGTCACAAAAAAAGACGTTTGTAATTAAAAAAGAAAAAAGGAAAATAAAAGGTAGCAATAAATTGAAAAGTCATGGCTCCGTCATTAAAACTCGCGGACGATCAACGATTTGCTTTAATGAAGGTAAAATAATTTATTTATTGTTGACTGCGACCCACAGTTCAGGGGAAAACACAATTAACTACAAAGTTAACATTTACTGTTTATTAAAAAAATATATACACGTTTTATAATTTTTTTTTTTTTTTTTTTTTTTTTTTAATTTTATAACTACATTTTATAATTTTTTTTAATAAAAATTTTCCAGTCTTGAAAATGAATGTCAATAATTAATTAACAGTTATTTAGTGTTTTTTAAAAACTGGTTTGTCACAAGAAATAATTAGTTAAATAATAAATTTGATATTAAAAAAAATTTGGAAAATTAATTAATTCTTTTATCAGCATCTTTAGTAATTTATTTTTTTATTAAGTAATTTTATTTAATCTAAACAAAGGCAAGAAAAACATTTTGTCTTTTATAATCAAGAATGAATTATTTCGTATTTTATTAAATGATGATTTTAAAAATTATTATTAATTAATTAGTTAATTTAGTCAAAAAAAATTAGAAGCACTTGTTTATAGAGTATTTATAAAGAAATTTATAAAACACTTGATAAAATAAAAAATTTATTATATTATCAAATTATATAAATTTATACAAAAATTTACAAATTATATAAAAATTTATAAAACATTTATAAATTCCCTTAAAAAATTTATAAAATAATTGATAAATTTATATAAATTAAAAAAAAATTAATAAATTTATTAAAAAATTTATAAAACAATTGATAAATTTATATAAATTAAAAAAAAATTAATAAATTTATTAAAAAATTTATAAAACATTTATAAATTTATAAATAATAAATAAAAAAAAAATTTTTTAATTTATAATTTATAAATTTATTTAAAAATTTGTAAAACAATTGATAAATTTATAAATTTACAAAAATTGTATAAATTTATATAAAAATTTATAAAAAACTTAAAAATTTTTATATAAAAATTTATAAAGAATTAAAAAAAGTAAACAAAAATAAGAAACATTCTTGTAAAATAAACAAATTTGTACTAGTTCGCTACTAATTTATTATCAAAATAATTTACTGATGATAAATGATAAATTTTTTATTATTTAAAAATAACAACCAAAATGACAATTAATAATTGCTTACTTGATAAAATTAAAGTTAAATTATTAACAAAATTGATAAAACATAATTTATCGTGTCCCATTTATCTTTGTAAATAAATAAATAATTAATAAATGATTGTCAATAATTAATAGTACAAAAATAATAAAAGTAAAAAATAAAAATTTTTAAATTAGAAAAAAATAGTTAATCTGTAAGTTAATGTAAATAATTAAGTTGAGAAATAAATAACTAATTAATTAAATTAATTAAATATTTAAATAATTTACTCATAGTTTACAATTATAATTTACTAATAGTTTATAATTATAATTACTAAATAATTAAATAATTAAATAATTAAACAATTAACTGGTTGGTTATTATTAAACTACTGAATATACAAATAATTGACTAATTACTTTAACAATTGAATAATTAAATAATTAATTACTTTAATTAAACAAACAAAAATAATTTACCACTTATTTAAACAATTGAATAGTTAAATAATTAATTGATTTCAATAATAAATTAATAAATTATTTAATTGATTAATTTATTATTGAAATCAATTAATAGTGAGTAAAAATCGCATTAATTTAGTATTTGAATTTTCTCAGAATTAATTTAGTAATTAAGTGAGTCATTAAGTAATTTTTTAATTAAATATTTCAAAAAGTATTTAAATAATTAATTAATTTCAATAATAAATTAATTAATTAAATATTTGATGAAGTGAATAAAAAAAAATTAGTAATTAAAAATTAAAATTTAAAAAAAAAAACTAAATTAGTAATTAATTAATTTATTTGCATTAAATTAGTATTTTAATTTTCCCCAGAATTAATTTAGTAATTAAGTGAGTAATTAAGTAATTTTTTAATTAAATATTTAAAGAACTATTTAAATAATTAATTGATTTCAATAATAAATTAATCAATTAATTATTCGAGCAAGTGAGTAAAAATTGCAATGAATTAGTATTTTAATTTTCCCAGAATTAATTCATTAATTAAGTGAGTAATTAAGTAATTTTTTAAATTAAATATTCCAAGACGTATTTAAATAAAAATTTCTAAAAAGTTCCGTTAAAAGCAAAAAAAAAAAAAAAAAAAAATGCAAGAAAAAATGAAAAACAAAAATTAACGTTTAGGATTGAAAAAAATGCAAATTTTAATGAAATAGAAAAAAAAAATAAAGTCAAGACGGTTCGAAAGCAAATCGTTTCAGGTTGTTAGCCTTACGCATTAACCTGGAAGAATTCCAATGAGGTCGAGATCGTATATCGTGATCGAAAATGTTAAAAAAGAATTTATTCATTTCTTTTTTCAATTCAATATAAGAATATAAACTAATTATTAAAACCGTTCGTCTATTAATAAAGAATAAAAAGTGTTGTTACGCGATTAATTTTTTCCAAACAAACAAGAAAAAAAAATGAAAAATATTTTATCAACAAAAAAAAACAACAAAATATTAATCGACAATGTTCTTTTTTTCGTAAACACAATATAAAGAGGTCAATTCTCTCGCGAAGCATTGATGATCACACTGTGTAGCAGGTTCTACTTTCTCAGATGAATGAATAAAAGGAACCAACTTTCAGTATAATAAAGAATCGTTTACAATTATATAAATTTTTTTTTTTTTTTTTTTTTATTTTCATTAATTCTTTTTTCTTTTCTATTTTCACTTTTTTAATTCTCTTTTCCATTTTAATTGCTTCTTTTATTTTACTTTGTCATAAAATTTAACAATTCTCCATATTTATAACATTGTAAATAAAACAAAATTATAAAAAAAAAAAAAAAATTAACAAGAATAATTAACAAAATTTGATTGAAAGTTCTATGAAAGATTTTCATGCTAGAATTCATATTGAAAGTGGAAGTAAATAAACAAATATTAATTATATTCATTCTTTAAGAATTTTTTTGTTAGCTCGTAAAAGTTGAAAATTTTTTTAAAATACTTTTTTCTTGAATCGAAAAAAAACATAAACATTGAAATGTGGCAATTTTGTTTGATAAATTTCCGATTTATATCACGTGCACGTAAAAATGTGTGTGACCCACATTTGATGATGTAATTATTTGCAACTGCTAAAGTTGTTCAACTTTATATATCGTTAAAAAATTTTATATTCGACAAAGTACCGTAAATTCTCTAAATCAAAGTTTAAGTGAATTCTCACTTATTTAAAGTGAATTTAAAAATATTTCAAGTGACTATTTACTTAAAGTGATTATTCACTTATTTAAATTAAATTGTTCACCAATTTCACGTTTCAAAAAAATTCAATTATATTTTTAATATTTTTCGAAAAAATTCAATTATTTTAAAAAATTTCAATAGAATTCAATTATTTTCTAAAATTTTTATAAATTCTTCGTAAGAATTCAATTATATTTATAAATAGTAAAAATTTTTGCAAAAATTCAATTATTTTTCAACAAAATTTTTAAAAAAATTTCACAAAAGAATTGAATTTTTTTCCTAATTTCATTATAAAAATTGTCAATAGAATTCAATTATTCCATTCTTTTAATAAATATTAAATTCTTTTTGCAAAAATTCAATTATTTTTCAAAAAAATTTTACAAAAGAATCAATTTTTTTCTTAATTTGTTATAAAATTTTTCAATGGAATTCAATTATTTTCTAAAATTTTAACAAATCCTACGAAACAATTCAATTGCATTTATAAATATAGTAAAATTCTTTGAAAAAATTCAATTGTATTTATAAACAATTTCACGAAAGAATTCAATTTTTTTCAGAATTCGTAACAAAATTTTTCAAAAAAAATTCAATTATTTTCTAAAAATTTTTAAAAATTCAATAATTAAATGTTTAATTTTAATTATTAACAAACACGATTATTTTAAAAAACTTTACAGAAATTATTCATAAAATTCAATTATTTTTTCAAGTTTTTAATTAAAATTAGTAAAAAAAAAAACTCAAAGAAATTTTCCAAAAAGAATTTTTAAACAAAAAAATTGTTATTATCATCAAATTTTTTGTGAAAATTCTTTGCAACAATTTGATAATTTTCAATATATTTTAATTTTAAAATTGAAAATATTTTAAACAATATAAAAATTATAATATAATAAAAATAATAATTTTTTAAGTTTTAAAGTAAATTTCTAAATTAAACTCCAGTTAACATGAAAATAAAACTATAATTACATTGACTTTTCTTGGAAATGCAATTTTTCAGTTCATTCACTCTTCATTCGAGATTATTTTAATTTTATTCAAAAGGCAATTTTCCTCAATTAACGCGATGTTCTATATAAAGGGATCGTTCCCCTCGAAAACTTTCAGTCAGCATCCAGTTTAGATTTGCAAGTGTCTGTTAAAACTATACTTATTAAATTGTTTTTAAATTTTATTTATATTATTTATACCCTCAAAAAAAAAAAAAAAAAAAAAAAAAGAAAATTAACGAAAATTTTTCAAGAAATTCTCAAAAATTCTATCACATTCAATTATGGGATATATAAATGTTTTATTAAATAAGGTAAATACTTAAATAATAACCTTAAAGGAAAAAAATAAAAAATTTATAAAATTTAAAAAATTCATTAAATTTAAAAATTTTTGAAATTGATTTAAATTAAACTTAAAAAAATTAAAATTTAAACCAAATGAAAGGAAAGAATAATAAATAATTTATTTATAAAATAAATAATTAAAATTATAAAAAAAATAGAAGTGAAGAAACAGAAAATTTTTTTTTTAATTTTTGTAAAAGTCAAGTACGTGAAAATTAAAACAAATAATTTAAATAAATTTATAAATTTGAAACGAATAAAGAAACAAAGAAAAATATGAAAATTTTTTGCAAAAGTCAATTAAGTTAAAAAAAAATTGCTAGTCACGTTTTCGATTATTGACTTAACGTGAATTTACTTTTCAAAAGACAACACATATACACTCGATGACAGTCGACTCATTATTTATGCAAAGAGAGAAACGCCTAACAATGTTGAAAATAAAAATATTGTTCTACAATTTACAGAAAATTAATTTTTATACAATCAATTCGATTTTTAATATAAAACATCGAGTGCTGTACAAGTAATGTATTAAATATATTCTTTTACTATTATTTTTATTATTAATAAATATTGACTACAATTTTTTTTTTTTTTTTTTTTTTTTTTTTTTTTTTTTAATATTAATAATAATCAGTAATTTGATACTTTTAACAACAATTATTATTAGTATCATTAATATTGTTATTATTTATAAAAGTAATTTTATAAAATTTTATAAAATAAAATTTTTAATAAAATTTAATAAAATTTTTAATATAATTTAATAAAATTTTTAATAAAATTTAATAAAATTTTTAATAAAAAATTTTATAAAAATTCACAAATAAAATATATACATATTATTAAATTTGAGAATGACTAATGTATTTATATATTAATCGAGTGAAAACTATTTTTGAACAGAATGAATTAAATTAAAATTTCAATTTTGAATAATTAAAATTTTTTTTCTTTTTTCTATAGAGATAATTTTCAAAATAGTATAAATCTCATATGCCTTGTAACATTTTTAGAATGCTGATAAACAGGTTTCCAAAACAATGCAGAAAAACTCACCGACCTTATGCATTATAAATAATTTACTGTAATATCAATTTTTTTTTCTTTTGAAATTCTCAAAACAAACAACATTTTATAAATAATAAAAAAACCCGGAAATAAATATTTTACAAACGATATTTTACATATATTGAATTAAAACAGTTTGAAAGAATTTTATCTTATAATTTATTTTCAAAAAAAAAATATTTTTGTAACAAAAAAATATTTTAAATATTTAATATTATTATTTTTACTAATAATTAACATGTTAATTTAAATAAAAAAAATATTTCTATTTGCTTTTCTAAAATTTTCAACAAAATTATAATTTAGAAAAATTAATTTATATATATTTTTTTTTTTAAATAATTAAATGACATTTTTACTATTATTGCCATTATTTTTTTATTATTATTATTTAAAATATTATTTGTACTACCATTACCCACTATAAAATTATAAAATTAATTAATTAATTCCCACTATTCAATAATTTTTTTTTTTTTTTTTTTTTTTTTTTATTGAATGGATTACCTCAACGAAAATTCATTATCAAATTCCCATAACCATTGATTAATAAAAATCACATAAAAATAAACTAATAGCCTTTGATATAACAACTATCGTTAAACATTGTCATTTATTCGATTGAATTTCATAATTTTTGTATTAAGTTTCAGAGAAAGTTACAAATCATTCGCTCCAATTGTGCAGAGATTGCGCTCAAAGTGAACATAGAAAAAAAAATTGCAACAATCTTAGAAAGTAGATTTGCAACAATTTTTAATGATCAAATTGCAAAAAAAGAGAGACTGAGACAGAAAAAAATTGGCAAAATAAAAATGTAAATTAACGCTCTAGTAATCGCTTTATAAATATATTTCCAAAGAAAACAGAAAATAAAACGTTTTTCAACGCTTTTCATTCAACATTCGCGTGGTAATTTTATTTCAATTTCGCTCACGAATTCATCCATTAATATTCAACGAGAAAATTTCATTCGTGGTAAAAACACAGTTATAATAAAGCGAGAGAAGAAATTTGCCATTACAGATTTAAATTACGCGCCCGCATTTAAACTCGAGAGAGACTTTCCATCAATTTACTTTCGAGAAAAAAAAAATTTTTTTTTTTTTTTTTTTTTTTTTTACTTATCTTTTTCATCTTCAAAAGGATAGATAAATTACGTTCCGTTAATTTTCGTCATTTCGCTTATTCTTTTTTTTTATAATAATAATGATGATGAATGCGTTACAAATTATAAACTTTCAAATTCGAGAAATGGAAATTTAAAAATGCGTGAAAAAATTTAACGAAGACTCGTTATTATAATCTGTAATTATTGTAAAATAATTTACAATTTAGATTGTGATCTTAAAATTGACGTAAGAAAAATGAATTTTAATATTAATTGCAAGAACTAATTATTCAAATAAAAGAAAAATAAAGTAAAAAAAACTAGAATTAAAGAAAGAGAAAAAAGTAAAAATAGATAATAAATTGAAATAAAAAATATGTATGATTCCTTTAGTTTCGAATAAAATTAATAATATTCAAATTTTTTTCAATTAAATCAAAGAGACATTAAAGTAAAAAAAAAAAAATTTAATAAATTAATAAGACATACAAAAATATAAATATCTTAATTAATAAAGTAAATAATAATAATAATAATAATAATAATAATAATAATAATAATAATAATAATAATAATAGAATTCGATTATTTTCTAAAATTTTAATAAGTTCCTTGGCCAAATTCAATTATTTTTAATTCAATTTTAATGACGTTTCATAAAAGAATTCAATATTTTAAAAATTTTTTCGAAAATATGCAATTATTTAAAAAATTTTTTAATAAATCCTTCGAAACAATTCAACTATAATTATAAATAGTCCACAACAGTCCATAAAAAATATTAAAAATTAAAAGAATTCAATTTAAACTCCTTTTTATGACAATTTTGATCTTCTGCTAGTTTCCGGCTGTGATTACTAATATTTAAAAAGGGTTTAAAAGTTTCTAAAATTTTTTTTATTATTCATGGTGTTATTCAGCACCATTTTAGCAACAATTTAGATTGTTAACAGTCCATAAAAAATATTAAAATTGAAAAGAATTTAATTAAACTTCTTTTTTGAGATTTTTGATCTTCTGCTAGTTTTTGGCTGTGGTTACTAACATTCAAAAAGGGTTTAAAAGTTTCTGTAAAATTTTTTTAACATTCAGGGTGTTGTTCATCAACATCTTAGCATCAATTTAGATTCTTAGCAGTCAATAAAAACTATTAAAATTAAAAAGAATTTAATTTAAACTTCTTTTTATGACAATTTTAATCTTCTGCTAGTTTCCGGCTGTGGTTACTAATATTTAAAAGCTTTTAAAAGTTCCAATAAAATTTTTTATGCTCTATGGTGTTATTCAGCAACATTTTTGCAACCATTTAGATTGATAACATTCCATAAAAAATTATAAAATTTAAAAGAATTTAATTAAAACTTCTTTTTATGACAATTTTGGTCTTGTGCTTGTTTCCGGCTGAGGTTTCTAATATTTAAAAAGGGTTTTAAAGTTTCTATAAAATTTCTTATCATTCAGGATGTTGTTTAGCAACATCTTAGCAACAATTTACATTGTTTACAGTCCATAAAAACCATCAAAATTTAAAAGAATTTAAATTAAATTTCTTTTTATGACAATTTTGATCTTCTGCTAGTTTCCGGCTGTGGTTACTAATATTTAAATGGGTTTAAAAGTTTCTATAAAATTTTTTATCATTTAGGGTGTTGTTCACCAACATCTTAGCATCAATTTAGATTATTAACATTCCATAAAAAATATTAAAATTTAAAAGAATTTAATTAAACTTCTTTTTTGAGATTTTTGATCTTCTGCTAGTTTTCGGCTGTGGTTACTAATATTCAAAAAGGGTTTAAAATTTTCTAAAATTTTTTTAACATTCAGGGTGTTGTTCATCAACATCTTAGCATCAATTTAGATTCTTAGCAGTCAATAAAAACTATTAAAATTAAAAAGAATTTAATTTAAACTAAATTAACTCACCACTTTCATTCTCTTTTTGTCCATCCTGATTTGACCTCCTCATCGCTCCCCTTTTCTTCTTTCTAAAAATTAAAAAAATTATTTTTGTTAGAAATTTTTAAAACAATTTTTTTTACTACTGTTCTATAAACAGAATATTTTGTTAAAAATCTATTTATTTCAGTCCAATACGGATTGAAACGAATTTTTAAATTACGATTCAAAACAATTATTTGTTAATAATTTACCAAATTAATTGTTTGTTAATAATTTACCAAATTAATTATTTGTTAATAATTTTCTAAATTAATTATTTTTTAATAATTTACCAAATTAATTATTTGTCAATAATTTACCAAATGAATTATTTGTTAATAATTTAACAAATTAATTATTTGAATTAATAATTTGTAAAAACAATTTTACGTTAATAATTTCTGAAAACAATAATTCTACGTTGTAGTAATTTTAATGAAAATAATTAGAGTGCATATTAAAAAATAATTTTCACTTTTTAGAGCATACGCAACCTTGAGGGAAAAATAATTATTGCCTAAAAACAGGAATATTTACAAAATTTCCGATTGTTATAATATATTATTATCATATTATTGCGACATATGCGTCGGACTCGCGCGAAATATATAATATCTAACGGAAATTATAACTTCGTTTGACATAATTCATTTCCTCTCTTGTATTATAAAATTTCTTTGCGTGCAAGAATTATAAGGAGAACTATTTTTATTTGGTCAAGGTGCATGTTCAGTTTAAGACATAAGCATACATATATATTTAACTGCACGAAGTGAAATGACACTCTTTTCATTACAATCCTTATTTTTCCACTTCTTTTGTAAAAAAAATTAAAAAAAAAAAAAAAAAAAAAAAAAAATTTAATTATAAATTTTTAAGTTCAAAAATTAACAAATTCTTAAATTCAAAAATTAACAAACTCTTAAATTAAAAAAATTAACAAATTTTTAAATTCAAAAATTAACAAACTCTTAAATTAAAAGATTAACAAATACTTAAATTTCAAAAATTAAGAAATTTTTAAATTCAAAAATTAAGAAATTTTTAAATTCAAAAATTAACAAACTCTTAAATTAAAAGATTAACAAATTCTTAATTTCAAAAATTAACAAATTCTTAAATTCAAAAATTAACAAACTCTTAAATTAAAATATTAACAAATACTTAAATTTCAAAAATCAATAGATTCTTAAATAAAAAAATTTTAAAATCTTAAAATTTTAAAAATGTTTAATTCTAAAAATAATAATTCATTAAAAATGCAGGTCTTCTATGTTTCAGTTTAGAAGAAGCGTTCAGGATTGTCTAAAGCCCGAGCATGACGATCATTTTTTATTGCGATGGTTAAGAGGTAATTTACAACTAAAAAAACAAAAAAGAAAAAATTTGTCAAGACAGAAAAGTAAAACAATAAATGATTAATATTTATCGTAGCAAGAAAATGGGACGCTGCGGCGGCTGAAAAAATGCTAAGAGACGTGAGTATTGTTTTTTCTAACTAGAAAAGTAAAAACTAAATTACTTTCAATTATATTTTACTATAAAATTACGGAAATAGTATTTTCATTAATTTTATTAATTATTATAATTATATAATATTATTATTATTATTATTATTTTTTTTTTATTTTATTTTTTTTTTATTTTTATTTTTTTTTATTTATTTATTTTTTATTTTTTGATTTTTTTATTTTATTTTATTTTTGATTTTTATTTATTTTTATTTTTTTTTTATTTTTTTTTTTATTTTTTTTTATTTTTTTTATTTTTTTATTTATTTATTTTTTATTTTTTTATTTTTTTATTTTATTTTATTTTATTTTTGATTTTTATATTTATTTTTATTTTTTTTTATTTTTTTTTATTTTCTTTTTTTTTTTTTTATTTTTTTATTTATTTATTTTTTTATTTTTTTTATTTTATTTTATTTTATTTTTGATTTTTATATTTATTTTTATTTTTTTTTTATTTTTTTTTTATTTTATTTTTATTTTTTTTTTATTTTTTTATTTATTTTTTATTTTTTTTTAAATCAAAGAATGATTATAAAATAAATAATAAAAATTTTGATTGTGTGATTCGAGTCTTTGGAGTGGCGAAAACAATGGGACGTGGACAATTTAAATGATTGGGACCATCCACAATTACTCAACGTTTATCTTCCTCATGGAGTCTGTGGCTATGACAAGGACGGAGCGCCAGGTTCTAAATAATTATATTAATTCTTCCTTCCTTTAAAATTAAAATAAAATTTGAAAAATAATTTTCGTCTTAATTTTTTTATTTTTACTTTCTTTTTAAAAAAACATAAATTTCAGTGGTGATTGTTCCCTTCGCTGGATTGGATATGTATGGAATATTGCACGTGGTCTCGAGGAAGGAAATGATAAAAATAACGGTAAAACAATTGGAGAGTTATTTAAATATTTGCAACGAGCAGGCAAAAAAACATGGCCCAATTGCTGGACAAATAACAATTATTTTCGATATGGAGGGTTTCAATTTACGTCAGTACATGTGGCGACCGGGTAAAAAAAAAATATTTTATTTCAAAAACAATTTTTAAAAATTAACTTTTTAAGGTAAAAAATTTTTTTTTAATTTTTTGAAAAATTAATTATTTACACAGCTGGAGAAGTTGTCCTGGCGCTAATTCAAATGTACGAGGCAAATTATCCGGAAATCCTAAAGATTTGTTTTATCATAAATGGTGAGTTTTTTTTTTTTCTGTCGTAAGTAAAATTCGAATAAAAAAAGTAGAGGACCTTAAAAAATTAAAAAACGAAATGACCCACGAGAGGAATTGAACCTAGGACCAATGGTTTGAAAACCAACGAACTAACCACTAAGCTACTAACTAAGCCACTCTTAAATAATTTAGATAAATTCATTAATAAAATATTGTTAATAATTCTTAGATTTCTTTTAATTAAAGCAATTTCTTAAAAAAAAAAAAGAGGATGAAGTGAGGAAAGGAAAAAAAGCCGTAAAAGTTTTAATTTCTTTCAGCACCGAAAGTGTTCACATTCGCCTTCTCGATAGCAAAGAGATTCATGAACGAGTACACACTGTCGAAAATTCAAATAATCAAAGCCGATCCAAATAAATGGAGACCTGCCATCCTGCAACTTGTACCCGCCGATCAGCTTCCAAAGCACTTTGGAGGAAGTCTCACTGATCCCGACGGAAATCCCCGACTAACGACAAAAGTAATTTAAATTTTTATTAAACTTTTCCTTTTGCTTTTAAATCTTTAAAATGCTGCATATTTTTTTTTCCTGATGAACCCTTTAAGCCCCTAGCGGTATCGATAAAAAGAAATCACTTTTGCAGTCGAATATATTTATAACTTTTTTAAAAAAATTTTCAAAAAATACTCAAAATTCAATTATTTTCAATTTCTAGTATTTTCATCAAATTTCGCAAAACAATTCAATTATTTAACAAAAAAAAATTGATAAAATTCAATTATTTTCATAAATAATAAAATTTCCACAGGAATTCAATTAATTTCGAATAGCCTCTTCAAAAAAAAAAAAATTCGAAAAAATGAAATTAATTAATTATTTAACAAAAATTTTTATACAATTCTTCACAATAATTCAAATACTTTCACTAATAATAACATTTTTCATAGAAATTCAATTATTCAAAGAAAATTAAAATTCTAAGGAATAATTCAATTATTTTCACAAATAAAGTTTTCCAGAAGAATTCAATTATTTAAAATAAAAGTTTCATAATATTTATTAATATTTCGAAAAAATTAATTATTTAAAACAATGTTTATAAAATTCTTAAAAAAAAAAGTTCAATTATTTTCAAAAATAACAAAATTTTTCACAGAAATTCAATTCTTTTTAAAATATTTGAATAAACTTTCTCGCAGTAATTCAATTATTTTCATAAATAATAAAATTCTTCTCAGGAATTTAATTATTTTTGAAAATTTAAATAAAATTATCAACAACTATTCAATTATTTTCATAAGTAATAAAATTCATCGCAGGATTTCAATTATTTTTTATACAGTTTTACAGGAATTGCTTGAAAATTTGAATTTCAATTCCACGAAAAAATCAATTATTTAAAATTTTTTTTTTAATTTTTTGAAAAAATTCAATTGTTTACAAAAATATTAGAATTTTTCACAGGAATTCAATTATTTTTGAATAATTTAATAAAATTAATCGAAAGAAATCAATTATTTTAAATACAATTTTAATTAAATTTTTCTGAAATAATTCAATTATTTTTTTAGATTTTAATAAAATCCTTGTTAAGAATTCAATTATTTACGTATAAATAATTCTTGAAAAGAATTCAATTATTCAAGATAAATAACAAAATTATTCTCGAAAATTCAATTATTTTCACGGATTTTAATAAAATTCTTTGCAAAATTCAATTATTTTTAAAAATTCCAATAAAATCGATCACAAGAATTCAATTATTTTCATAAATAATAAAATTCTTCTCAAGAATTCCATTATTTTCATAAATTTTAATAAAATTCTTTTTTCAAAATTTAAATTTTTTTCATAAATTATAAAATTCTTAAAAAAGAAAATTCAATTATTTAAAAAAATTTTTTTTATAAAATTTGCCGTAAGAATTCAATTATTTTCGTAATTTATAAAATTTTTCAGAAAAATTCAACAATTTAAAAAAATTTTAGTAAAATTCGCCGCAGAAATTCAATTATCTTTATAACAAATAAAATTCTTCAAAAGAATTCAACTCGGATTCAAAAATTTTTCATTAAATTCTTTGCAAAATTTCAATTATTTTCATAAATAATAAAATTCTTCGGCAAAAATAAAATTATTTTCAAAAATTTTAATAAAATTCGCCTCAAGAATTCAATTATTTTCGCAAATTATAAAATTCTTCACAAAAATTAAATTATTTTCGAAAATTTGACTAAAATTCTCCGTAAGAATTAAATTATTTTAAAAAGATTTAATTAAATTCTTTGCAGGAATTTAATTTTTTTTTTCATAAAATTTCTTCATCTCGAATTTAATTATTTTCAAAAATAATAATATTAATCAAAAGTCTTCACAAGAAAATTCGATTATGTTTATTTCATTTATTATTTTTATTTTTATTTTTTATTATTATTTTTTTTATTTATTTTATTTTATTTTTATTTTTTATTATTATTTTTTTTATTTATTTTATTTTTTTATTTTATTTTTTTTTAATAATAAAATTCTTCTTACGAATTCATTTATTTTTCTGAAAATTTCAATGATTTGCATTAATTCAATTATACTTTGAAAAAATTTCATTCAAATTTCTTTTTTAAAAGAATCAATTATTTTCAAAAATTCTAATACAATTCTTTGCAAAAATTCAATTATAGTTTCATAAATTACAAAACTCTTCAGAAAAATGCAATTATTTCAAAAAATTCTAGTAAAATCTCCAGCAAGAATTAAATTATTTTCATAAATAATAAAATGCTTTTTAGGAATTCAATTATTTTCAAACAAAATTTTGATAATTTTGGTCGACAAGTTTAAATATTTCGATAGCTACTTTTTTAAAATTAATTATTATCGAGTTAATTATTTTCAATTCATAATTATCTTTAAAAATATTTTTAATCATAGAGATTTTGAATAACTTAAATAAATAATAAATTTTCTCTAACTATTTTAAAAATATTTCCTTATTTACAAAATAGATCTGAAATCGAATTAATTCAATTCGAATGTGATTCAAATTTTTAGCCTTGAATTTTAAATGATAATTAAAATAAAAATAAATAAAAATATTCGATTTTTTCAGGTTTGCCAAGGAGGCAAAGTACCGAAAACAATGTATAATAATAAAAATGAGAAGGACAAGCAAAATGATTTCACCACAGCGACAGTGAAAAAGGGAGAGAAATTAAAACTAGAATTACCAGTGGATGAAAGCGGCTCAATTTTAAGGTAATTTGAAAGGAAACGAGAAAAATTTCCTGCTTTTAAATACAAAAAAAAAAAAAAAATGGAGACGTAATTTTTGCTTTTTAATTTAAAAAAAATAATTGATTACAAAACGAATAAAAATTAATAAAAAAAATGCAAATATTTTTTTCTCATTTTTATTTTTATATACTTCGATATATTTAATCGAATTAATTAATTGAATTAATTAATAAATTATATAATTAATTGAATTAATTTTTAGAATTTATGATAGTTAATCTCTGGTTGTATTTTTCTTTTTGGTTTAAATAAAAAAAAAGTAAATGCAAAATAAATAAAAATTGATAATAATAAATAATTCATTTGTTTAGTTGGGAATTTCGCACTGAAGAGCACGACATTAAATTCGGAATACTTCGTAAAACGAACGAAGGCGGAAAAACGGAAATAATTCCAATTCATCGAGTATCAGCGCATCAAATGGACGAAATTGGCATCGTCACTTGCGAGGGTTCTAGCACATGTAAGTTAATTTAGACCTTACAACCTCGAAAAAAATTCTCAACCTGCAAACAATAGAAAATTAATTTAATTTTAATTTTAATTTTAATTTAATTCTTTAATTTTAATTTAATTTTAATTTTAATTTTAATTTTAATTTTAATTTAATTCTTTAATTTAAATTTAATTTAAATTTAAATTTAATTTTAATTCTTTAATTTAAATTTAATTTAAATTTTAATTTAATTTTAATTCTTTAATTTTAATTTAATTTAAATTTAAATTTTAATTTTAATTTTAATTTTAATTTTAATTTTAATTTAATTTTAATTTTAATTTAAATTTTAATTTAATTCTTTAATTTTAATTTCAGATTCTTTCGTTTTCGACAATTCCTACAGTTTGCTGAGAAACAAAAAAATTCACTATTCCGTACGAGTTCTACCACCGACGAATGTTTTAGAGGAAGTGAAAAAGTGACGCGACAATTATATTTTTCTAAAATTTGTAAATAATTTTTTTTTCTATAAGAGAAGCGAATTAAAAAGAAGAGATATAAGTTCTTTTTCTTGAAATTGAAAACAAAAAAAGAAATCAATTGTACTCATTTTATTTTTCATTGTTATATCATTATTTAAAAAATTATATCATTGTTGTAAAAAGAAAAGAGTCCTTGAAGATAAAAATATATTTTGTTTGTTAAACTCGTTTGTTTTGTAAATTTAATCATCATCTTCAGTGATTAGCATTTCCAAGAGATCATTTTTTGAGCAGTCATCGCCCTCGAGTCGTTTCTGCGTTCCCCATCTTGACAACGTCGGCAGAACGTTCAATTTTGTCTTTGCGTCCGTTCGAAATGGACATTTATTGTCCTTCCAACTAAAATATTTATGTATTTTATTTTTATTTATTTATTCTTCTTTTTATTTAAAAATAAAAAAATTTTTAAATTCAAGCTTAGCACTCTTTTAATTATACTTTCAAAAATATTGATAAAATTTCTTTTTAGAAATTCAATTATTTTTAATAAAGTTTTACTTAAATTCCTAGAAACAATTTAAATATTATCGAAAATTTTAACAAACTTCTTCGAAACAATTCAACAAATTTCAATAAAAATTTTTAGAAAAACTTCAGTTATGTTAAAAAAAAATTAAAGCAACATTTTTCGTAAGAATTCAATTATTTTAAAAAAGAATAAAATTCCTTGAAGAAACTTTTCAATTATTTGCAAATCACTTTTTATTGAATTTCTCAAAAAATACAATAATTTTTAAAAATTTTGCTAACATTGCTCCAAAAATATCAATAATTTTTAAAAATTTTGTTAACATTGCTCCAAAGAATTCAATAATTTTTAAAAATTTTGTTAACTTTGCTGCAAAGAATTCAATTATTTTCATAAATAATAAAATTCTTTGCAGTAATTTCAATTATTTTCAATTCAATTTTTATTGATTTTCTCGAAAAAAATCTTTTATTTAAAAAAAGTTAATAAAAATCTTTCAAAGATTCAATTATTTCCATAAATAATAAAATTATTTGCAAAATTTCAATTATTTTCAATTTAATTTTTATTGAATTTCTCAAAAAAATTCAATTATTTCAAAATTCTATTAAAAATCTTCGAAAGAATTCAATTATTTTCAAAATATTGAATAATAGGTACATTTTTAATAAAATTCAATTATTTTCATAAATTTAAAAAAAAATTTTCCTAAGAATTCAATTATTTTCAATTATTATTTTTCAAAAATTCTAATAAAAATTATTTAATTTTTCTTCATAAATAATAAAATTCTTTGCAGCAATTACAATTATTTTAAATTCAATTTTTGTTGAATTTCTCGAAAAATTCAATTATTTAAAAAATTTTCTTTAAATTCTACGAAGGAATTAAATTATTTTTCAAAAATTACGATAAAGTTCTTAATATGAATTCAATTTTTAGAAATAATCAATTATTTTATAAATTATTTATTTTTGCATTTCAATAATTGAATTTTGTATTTAATAAAATTCTTTGCAAAATTCAATTATTTAAAAACAAATTTAATAAGATTCTTTACAAATTTCAATTATTTTCATAAATAAAAAAAAATTCATAAAAATTCAATTATTTTAAAGAAAATTTTCAAAAAAAAAATTTCAAATTCAATTATTTTCTATATAATTTTTTTTATAATTTTTCAAAGGAATTTAATTATTTTAGTAAATAATTAATTGTATCCTAAAATTTCAATTAATTTTATTGCAATTGTTATAATTAAAATACTCGAAATTCAATTAATTTTGATAATTTTAATAAAATTTTCGAAAGAAATCAATTATTTTCAAATTAATTGTAATTAAACTCCTTGAAAGAATTGAATTTTTCTTTAAATTTGTAATAAAAAATTCAATTATTTCCAAAAATTGTAATAAAATTCTTCGAAAAAATTCAATTATTTTCAAAAATTGTAATAAAATTCTTCGAAAAAAATTCAATTATTTTCAAAAATTCTAATTAAATTCTTCGCAAGAATTCAATAATTTTTTTACATATTAATTTATTTATTATCTTTTTTTATTCTTCGCCGGATTTCAATACTTTTTAAAAAATTAATTATCAAGTGCGAAGCCTGAGAAAAATTCTTAACAAAAAAAAAAAAAAATAATTCATAGGTAAGTGAAAACTTACAAAGGACGATCACCGACTTCAACATAGACAAAATGCGAATCTTTCGGCGCTGATTCAATTCCTTTCTCGACATGTGGCATTGCTGGCAAATGAAAATTAATTTCAAATCAATATATTTTTTTCGATAAAAAATCCTATCAATTTTTATCAATTTCTTATCAAAAAAAAGATATGAAAACAATAGATTATATTTTTAAGGTTATGTTACTCGAGAATCACTTTTCTCTTTTTTTTATATTAGAAAAATAGAAAAAATAAATGATAATTACCAACGACACAATCGGGACACCAACTATTACCATTTGGCAATTTACTTCCACTGTATAAAATATAAACTACATCCGGTTCCTTAAATTTTTTCATATAATTCACAAATTCCTCATAACCCTCAATGTGATGTCGATTCACCATTTTTGTCGGTACTTTTGCTGATTTTGATAATTTTCTAATTAAACCAAAACTCCAATGAAGCATTAATTGTCGCCTCTCTTTATCAATGATAAATTTTCACTCTCTTTTCTTGTACTTTTCCTACTATTTTCTACTTTTCCCGTCAAATTCTTCAAATCCTCAACATAACATGGATCGAAATTTGATATTTGACATTTGTTGATAAGAAATTTTCAGTGTTGCCAATGTGACAAAAAAAATGTTCTCTTTCCTTATATAAAATAAAATGTATAAAAATTTCCGTGTTTATTAATTTTTCTATTTTTCCTTACGAATTATAATATTTTAATGGAAACGATTTAAACAATTTAAATTCTTTTCGACAGAGGGGAAAAATATTTTCTACTTTTTAGGTTATGTCACTATCACTCGAGGCGATTTCGCGACTTTCGTGATTTTGTTCGAAATCACTGACGACGATGACAATATTTATTCGTTTTCTTCGTAAAAATTATATCAAATGAAAAGAAAATTGAAATAGAAAAAAACTTACCAGTTGATAATGATCGCAAGTAGAAATAAAAATTCTCATTTGAATTAATCCAAAATTGAGAAAATTTCAAGAACGATAAATTAATTCCTATTATTTTCACTATTCACTGTTTAATTTTTTGCTAATTTTATCACGAATTTTCTCATTCAACTTCTCATTTTTCGCCAATTTTCAAGAGAAGAGGGACAAAAAAAACCTCCCAATTTTAACGGTACTTTAAACTAGTAAACAAAACACGTTATTTTGACAGAAAACGTCTACACGATCTTAAAACATATGTTTTCCTTTTTTTAACGTTGTCAGCACTTGTTAAATAAAATGACACATTTGTTTTTATTAAAGAAAAATATTCCGAACTCGAGAAAAAACTGGTAAACTATCATAATAATATTAATAAAACATGATTTCTAATTGTTTCTCCACTTTTTCTTTATTATTGTTTACAAATTCAATTTTTCCGAATGGAAATTCCTGTTTATCTGTCAAAATAAAAGGGTTGGGAAGTTAAGTGAAGGGAAAATAGGGGTCGAACATCCGAAGTGTGACACTTGAGTTCGGCAGACGGAGTGGGGGGAACTGTTAAGGGTTCCTCCACAATTTGCACATTGCGCTTTGTCCACAATGTTTTATACGCTATTACGCTCGCGAAGAATAATTACTTTCTTTTTAATATTAAAATAATTAAATAAATAATGAAAAACATAAAATGTAAAGGTGTTTTCACACATGGATCGAAAAATTCTATTGTAATCGGCAAAATCAAAATTTAAAAAAAAAAAATGAAAAACGTAAAATGTAAGGGTGTTTTTCACACCTGAATAAAAAAATACTGTCGTAATTGGCAAAATTTAAAGTAAATAAATGTTTAAGTTTTTTCACAGTGCAATAAAACACCTAGTGTTTTCACACCTGTAAAAAATAGAAAAAGAGAAGAATATAGAAAGAGAGATAGAAATAAAAAGATGAAAAAAATAGAAAGAGATATAGAAGGAGGAAAGAGAAAAAAATAAAATGAAAAAGATAGAAAAAGAAAGAAAAAAAGTAGTTAGAGAAAGAAAAAGTGAAAAAGAAAAAAACAGAGAGAGATAGAAACAGAAAAAGAAAAAAAAGAGAGAGAGATAGAAATAAGAAGAGAAAAAAAATAGAAAGAGAAAGAAAATAAAAAGATAGAAATAGAGAGAGAAAGAAAAAAGGAGAAAAAGATAGATAGATAGAGAGAGAGAGAGAGAGAAAGAAAAAGAGAAAAACACAGAGAAAGAGAGAGAGAAAGATAAGGAAAAAGAGAAAGAAAGAGTGAGAAGAGAAAGACAAAAACAATTTTTCCCGCCTCTCAATTCAACCGTGTGGCATCACCCTTATTCTCTCCCCCACCTCCAATTATGAACATAATAATATGACAAACTACTCTCCACAACCCATTCCAACAGTTTGTTATTCCAGAACTAAAAAGCAGTCATGTAAAAAACAAAGAGGAAAATATTTATGCCACACTCGCTTTTTTCTACATTAATCATGGAAAATTAATAAATTTCAAAAAACAATCATTCATCAAATATCAATCAAAACAAAACAAAAAATTTCATCCGCAATCAACTTAAAATGATAACAAGTGTCTTAGAAAAAAAATCAAAGAAGGAAAAATTATATATGAAGTGAATATTTTCTCTATTGGAAATAATAAATGTAACACACACGATTTAGAATGGAAAATGATTCTTCCGCTTTTACATGTTACCGCACATTTGATGTGAAAATGAATTTTGATAATAATTATCGAATAAAGAATGAAATATTTTGAACATAAAATTATATCGTACTGCCGAGAATTGATCAGGTGATATTTAATCTAATTAATAGAATCAAATTTTGACAGTTTTTTCGCAATTAAATAAAAAAGAGACTGAAAATTTGCACTAAATGAAGTAAATATAGTAAACAAAATAAATAAAATAAAAGCAAAGTAAATAAAATAGAGTAAATTTATTTTTTTTTGGTAAAAAAATTTAATGAGTCGAGATCTAAATACTCTATTTCAATTTTTTTCTTTCGAGTTGAAAAATAAATTTCTTTATTATTGATAAAGAATAAAAAGGTGGATTAACAATTTTAAAAAACGAGACTAGTGGGGAATTTTTTTAAATTTTACTAATTTTTATATTGTCAAATTATTCTGTCTGCATACGAATTCAATTTACAATTAATTGTCTAAAGAAGATAAATTTACGGGGCAATTTACTTTCAATTTAATTTCGTCTAATTTTTCTTTAAGCTCATTCACAATGCCACTGGGCATAATACTTTTGGACGTTAATTAATTGTTCCTAATTATTACCATTTATTTATTATTTTCTTTTATTATTACCCCTTATTTTTTAATTGTCTTCTTTTATTATTACTATTTATTTATTATTATTATTACCACTTATTTTTATTTTTATTTTATTATTTACTGTTTATAGTGAAACCTCTCGGAATACAACACGATTTTTTAAAATTTTATTACACTAAACAATCCTTTAAAAAAAAATTGTTTTATAATTTAATTTTGTAATATTTTTACAATATTCTTGAACTAAATAAAAATAATTCTTTTTGGACATTTTTGAATAAAAAAAAAAAGATAATTTACAAATAGAGTTACATTCCGACAGGTTCGACTGTATTTAATATTATTATTAATTTCTTTTATTATCATTTTTATAATCGTTAATATTCTATTTTTCAGTTTTTCAACGTTTTTCAATCGTGGAAAATAAAAAAAAAACTATCTTCAAAAGAAATTTGGAATGTACTCACAAAAAATTTCCTCATAAATGCAATTTTTCCTTGATTAGAATAATTTCCTGTCGATCTCATCTCAGGTTGAATATTAAAAACAAACTTCGGTTTTCCACTTTTTCCTGAAAATAAAGAATAGAGAAAAATTAGTTAAAATTTTTTTAAAAATATTAAGAAAATATTTCTAATACATTTCAATTTTAAAGTAAAATTATTCTCTAAATAGTTTATAAATAATAATATATAATATAATAAAATATATAAATAATAATTATAATAATTCAATTACTGTCAGACATATTGTCCTAAGCTTCCAAATTCATTTTGAAGATTAATTAAAATACTTTCTACATTAAATTTCATTTTTTTAATTTTCCAAACAATATTGAATGGTGAATCTAACCTCAAATTAATTTTTCAGATCTTGTTGTTCATGCTTTTGAAATTATCTGAATTGCGACTCCAAGATTCGCATTATTTTCAAAAGACAATGTTCGAACTGAGAATTGCAGTTGGATTAGAAAAAATGACAGTCCCAGGACGTGAAAGTTGAAATGGAGAGAAAATATAATTTGATCCTCTGTATGGCTTTTTTGAATAAGGTTTTGAATTTTAAAATTAATGAAATTCCATACAATTCAATTCTTCGATCGATTAAAAATTAACAAAAATTATTCAAATACAATTGTTTTCAATTCAAAATTATATTTTGCAGATTTTTTGTGTATAAAAAAATTTTTTTTTTATTTATAAACTAATTTTTACTAATGCAAAAAATGATTAAAATGGTAAAAAAAAACACTGACTTTTATCTCGTTGGATGTAAAATTAAAAAATCAATTTTAACTTTTATAATTTCGATTTGGAAAGAATTTAATTATTGAGTAGAATTTTATTAAAATTTCTGATAGTAATATTGAATTGTTTCGAAGAATTTTTTTTAAAAACTTTCGAAAACAATTAAATTCTTTCGAGGAATTTAATTAAAATTTTACTGGAAATTAATTGAATTCTTATAAAGAATTTTATCAACAATTTTGTAAATAATTGAATTTTTTTAAAAAATATTTTAATAAACCTTCCTTAAAAATAATAGAATAATAATAGAATTATTACAAGAATTTTTTTTAAAATTGTATTGAAAATAATTGAAAACTCTCCAAAGAATTTTATTATTTAAGAAAATAATTAAATTTTTGAAAATAAATTAATTCTAGTTCATACGAAAAATATTACTATTTTTGAATACTTGAATTTTTTTTAACAAATTTGAAATAATTTAATTATTTAGAGACATTTTATTAGAATTGAATTAAAACTAATTGAATTTTGCGAATAATTATTATTTTTAAAAATAACTGAAATTCAGTGAAAAATTTTATTAAAATTTTAAAAAATAATTGAATTCTTCAGGGAAATTTAATAGAAAATAATTGAATTAATTCAAGAAGTTTTATTAAATTTTAAAAAATAATTGAATTTTTTAAAGAATTAAATTAAAATTGTAATGAAAATAATTAAAATCCTGCGGAGAATTTTTTTATTATGAAAATAATTATATTATTATTTATTATTATATATTATTTTAAAATTAAATTAAAATTCCTCTAAGAATTTTACTATTTTTGAAATGAATTCATAACAAGAATTTTATTTAAAATTTTTTAATTTTTTAAATTAACTATTAATTAATTTTTTTTAAAATCATTTTTAAATTAAATTTACGCGAAAAATGTTATTCTTTATGAAAATAATTGAATTCTTAAGAAGAATTTGATTTAAATTTATGAAAATAATTCAATTTTTCAAGAAATTTAATTCAAATTGTACTAAAAATAATTGAAATTCAAAAAAAAATTTTATTATTTATGAAAATATTAATTTCTCGAGGAATTCAATGAGGATTGTATTAAAAATAATTTGAAAAAATTTTACTATTTATGATAATAATTGAATTTTTTAAGGTATTCAATTTTATTATTTGTATTATTGTATTATTTTAATTGTATTAAAAATAATTTGAATTCTGAAAGAATTCTACTATTTAGAAAAATAATTGAATTTTATGAAGCTTTTTTTTAAATATTTGAATTCGCGGGAAAATTTTTATTATTTTTCAAAATAATTGAATTCGCTTAAAGAATTTTATTAAAATTTATTCATAATCGAATTTTTATGACGAATTTGATAATAAGTATTTTAAAAATAATTAAAATTCTAAAAGAATTTGACTATTTATGAAAATAATTGAATTTTTTTAAAGAAATTCAATTAAAATTACACTAAAAAAAATGAAATTCTGAAAAAAAAATTTTTATGTATGAAAATAATCGAATTCTTCTAGAAATTCAATAAAAATTGAGTTAAAAATAATTAAAATTCTGAAAGAAGTTTACTATTTATGAAAATAATTTAATTACATATCACAAAGAATTTTATAAAGTTTTTTTTTTAATTAATTGAATTTATGGGAAACATTTTTTTTATTTTTGAAAATAATTAAATTCGATTAAAGAATTTTATTAGAATTTATTCAAACAATTGAATTTTTCATGAAATTTAATAAAAATTCTATTGAAAATAATTGAAATTCTAAAAGAATTTTATTAAGAATTAGAATTTTCGAAAATAATTGAATTCCCTTGAAAAAGTTAATTATTTTTTAAAATATTTGAATTTCCTTGAAAAAGTTTAAAATCTTTGAAAATAATTTAATTTTATTAATTTTTGTCTAGAAAGTAATATATAATTATAAGTAATTAAATTTTGAATCTGAATTTATTCACAAAAATTGAAGAAAAGAAAAAAAAAAAAAAAAAAAAAAGGAGTGTATTTTGATGTTTGTAAATAAAAAAAATTTGGAATTTTGTGTAATAATAATAATAATAATTATTATAATAGAAATAATAAACTAAAATACCGCGTTTTGTGCGCAAATACTTGTAACTTTTGCTAGTAAGAATTATAATAATAATCGTAATAAATAAATAATAATTTTTGTTACAGAAATTCAACATTCCCCATTAAGATCAAAAATCAATCAACACTTTCGTCTTTCAATTATGCGACAATAATTCGCCTATAAAACCAAAATCAAAACATTTTCCAAAAATGGATAGTCTAAATAATTACTACAACGACACATCCGACATAGATCTTCTCCTAAAAGTCCTCGATCGCATGAAAGACACAGACGCCTACGGAAACACTCCCCTTCACACCGCAATCAAAGAAAATCAACCAAACGAATTTCACCATCTCCTGAAGAAAATAGATCTAAATTCCACAAATCACTTAGGCGACACTCCACTTCACTGTGCCGTCGCCAACGATCGTTACGAATTCACAAAAATCCTCCTCGAACACGGTGCTAATGTCAACATTCGCAACAATAAAGAACGAACCCCTCTCTACTTAGCCCTAGAAAAAAATAACATTCACCTCGCGGAGCTTCTATTCAAAAACGAAGCGGTCCTTGGCGAACACGATTTTCAATCCCTAAATACCTTTAATGACGCGATTAGCACCAGGAACCTAGAGATGATCAAATTCCTGATGAAGAACGGTTGGAATATCGTCGACAATCGGTACGGTCATCATTACCCAATTTGCTTGGCGGTACAGACGAAAAATTTGGAAATCGTCAAATACCTCTTGGAAAATGGGTTGAAAAGTAGCGGAACAATCAACGAAGATCGATTGGGTTTATTGGACATCTGCATCGCTTTGGACAGCATAGAAATCTTTAAGTACTTGATCGACATCGGCGTGAAGACGAAACGAAACCTTCTGGATCACTCTTTACGGAATTTGCGACAACGCTCCTGGAAGTACATCCTCACTTGTCACTCGAAAGTGGACCTGAACACCTATTTCAACGAAAGTGAACTCCACTTGGCGGTTCGAGCCGGGGATATTGACTTCGTAAAAGTATTTGTAAATAAAAGGACGTTGGGTCCTAAATCGTTGGCTAGTCGCTTGGCGGTTTACATTGCGGTTGAGAATAACGACGAAGAGATTTTGAAGGTTCTCCTAAAGGCTGGCTACTCGAGTGAGAGTTGTTTTAAAGACACTAGTCCGTTACATCTAGCGGCGACTTTCGAGCACACGAGGCTTGTGGATCTGCTTCTGAATTTCGGCGCTGATGTTAATTCGCAAACGGAGCATCGTTATAGTCCGTTGCATTTTGCGGCCGCTTCGGGGAGGGCGAAAATAGTGCGGCATCTTTTGGAGCGAGGGGCTAATCCGACTATGGATTGTGAGAATCATGGTTCGCCGCTTTCGTTCGCTTTGAGGATGTTCTCGTGTAGGGTCGATCGATCGCCGGTGACGTTACAGTTGTTTAAGGATTTGGTGCTGATTACTGAGTTGTTGATAAAGTTGACTAGGAAGAATGTTTGTAGGTTGTTGAGTCAGGCGTCGAGTATTTGGGTCTGTAAGGAGCCGACGAAAACTAATGGGTTTATTCTGTTGTCGAAGGAAACGAACTGTTCGTCGTCTCAAAGCAACTGTTCGTTGTTTCAAAGCAACTGTTCGTCGTCTCAAAGCAACTGTTCGTCGTTTCAAAGCAACTGTTCGTCGTCTCAAAGCAACTGTTCGTCGTCTCAAAGCAACTGTTCGTCGTTTCAAAGCAACTGTTCGTCGTTTCAAAGCAACTGTTCGTCGTCTCAAAGCAACTTTTCATCGTCTCAAAGTAGTTGCTTTGAAACGACGAACAGTTGCTTTGAGACGACGAACAGTTACTTTGAAACGACAAACAGTTACTTTGAGACGAAGAACAATTGCTTTGAGACGACGAACAGTTGTTTTGAAACGGCGAACTACTTCGAAACGACAAACAGTAGTTGCTTTGAAAGTAGGAACAATAATACGACTATTAACAATTATACAACTACTATCAACAATACAGGTACCAACAGCAGTGCAACTACCAACAATTATACAAATACCAACAATAATACAACTACGAACAATAATACAACTATCAACAGCAGTAGAACCACCAACAATACAACCAGTAATACAACTACCAACAATGCAACCATCAATAGTACAACTACCATCAATAACACAACTACCAACAACAATACAAGCCCCAACAGTAATTCAAGTACCAACAATAATACAACAAACAATTCAAGCACCAACAACAATACAACCACCAAAAACACTTCCTCGTACCCTCGACCCCACTTTCCCGAATCGTACCCCCGAAGAATCATCGAATTCCACCCCGAGCTGCTAACTACCATCTTCAATCACCTAACCGACTACGAAATACAATGCTACTCCCAATTTTTGCTCCAAAAAGCCCACACTTTGGACACTCCGCTACAACTCCTGAACTTCTTGACCGAATACAACGATTCAAAGTCCCGCTACAGCATCACAATCAACAACAACAGTTCCCTGGAGTACAATGCAAAGCTCCTTCTCATCGACTACTCGAAGAACGTCGAGGACCTTCTAACACTCGACGAAAGGGCGCTGTTTGTAAAATCGAACCGCACTATTCTGAAACAAATAATCGCAAGACTTGTTTTGCTGACGCATTCTCGTCACACTGGAGTGTTGAAATTTTGCACAAAGCACAAACTTCTGGACTGGCGGAATGAATGCGAGGGGCAGAAATTCAGCATGAGGAGTAAGCAGATTGATGTGAACTATCCGGTGACTTTTAGTGATATTATCACGAAACCGGTGGGGAAAATTGTCAGGTACACGAGGAATGAGAGATTCCTACAGACAGTTGAGATGTCCCGAGGGCAATTTAGCATTTATGATGAGTTTTTGAAGATTAACATTCAAAAGTGTATTCGGCGACGGAATTTTTTGAAGAGGTGCACGAACCTTGTGTTTGGGATGGTGAAGAGAAATTATCAGATTCAATTATCGAATTCGGAGATTGAATTTATATTTCAGTATCTGTCTGTTGTTGATTTGCAAAGACTTTCGGCGGCTTGCACTTGAAAGGAATGTTATTTTATCTGTATTTTTGGGAAAATTTGTTATTTTCTTCGTTTGTTATTAGTACATGGATAAAGAGAGCGAGTATTGTAATTTTTACTAGACTTTTAACAGTTAAATCTGGAATTTTTTTTTTTTAGTCACAAGTAAAATTTGGAATTATTTTATAATTTATATTCTTTCTCCGAAAGAAGTATGAGTTGCGAAAAATTGAGTATTTACTCTGGAAGAAGTAAAATTTACTTTGCAATAAGTAAAATTTGCTCAAATTTACTCCGGAAAAAGTAAAATTTACCAAAAAAAAAATTAGTATTTAGTCCGGAAAAAGTAAAATTTTCTCAAATTTAGTATTTACTACGGAAAAAGTAAAAGTTAGGAAAAATTAGTATTTATTCCGGAAAAAAGTAAAATTTGGTTTAATTTACTCCGGAAAATGTAAAAGTGGCAAAAAAAAATTCATTTCTACGCTGGAAAAAGTAAAATTTGTCAGAATTTACTACGAAAAAATTAAAAACTAATAAAATTTCGTCTAGAAAAAAGTAAAAATTTGGCAAAATTTACTCTTTAAAGGAGTAAAAATATTGTTAAATTTTAGCATTTACTCCGCAAAAAGTAAAACTTTGCTAAAAATTTGGTATTTAGTCTGGAAAAAGTAAAATTTGCTAAAATATACTCTGAAAGGACTAAAAATTGACAAAAAATTTAGTATTACCTCCAGAAAAAAGTAAAACTTGGTAAAATTTACTCCCGAAGAAGTAAAATTTATAGTAAAATTTTCTCAAATTTAGTATTTTCTCTGGAAGCAGTAAAATTGTCAAAAAAATTAGTATTTACTTCGAAAAAAGTAAAATTTATTAAAATTTATTCCGGAAGGACTAAAAGTTGTAAAAAGTTTAGCATTTCTTTCAAAAAAAAGTAAAATTTACTCCGAAATAAATTAAATTTGTAAAAAAAAATTTTAATTTACTCTCAAAAAAGTAAATCTGTCAAAGTTTAGTCCGAAAAAAGTAAAATTTGGTAAAATTTACTCTGGAATGAGTAAAAGTTGCAAAAAATTTAACATTTACTCCGGAAGAAGTAAAATTTGATAACACTTTTTCAAATTTAGAATTTACTCCGGAAAAAGTAAAAATTAGTGAATTTAATTCGGAAGAAGTAAAATTTGGTAAAATTTACTCTGGAATGAGTAAAAGTTGCAAAAAATTTTGCATTCACTCCAAAAGAAGTAAAATTTCGTAAAATTTTTAAAAATTTAGTATTTATTTCGTAAGAAGTAAAATTTGCAGAAAAATTAAGATTTATTTCGGAAAAAGTAAAATTTGTCAAAGTTTACTTCGAAAAAAATTGAAATTTCGTAAAATTTACTCTGGAAAAAGTAAAATTTGTCAAAGTCTACTCTGAAAAATGAAAACTTTGTAAAATTTACTTCGAAAGAAGTTAAAGTTGCAAAAAAATATTTACTCCGAAAGAAGTAAAATTTGGTAAAATTTGTTTAAATTTATTATTTACTCCGGAAAAAGTAAAAATTACAAATATTTAATTCCGAAAAAGCAAAATTTACTCTTGAAAGAGTAAAAATTGGTAAAATTTAGCATTTACTCTGGAAGAAGTAAAATTTGGTAAAATTTTTTGAAATTTAGTATTTACTCCGAATAAAGTAAAAGTTGCAAAAAAAAGTTCCTTTCTAGACCAGAAAAAGTAAAATTTGTCAAAGTTTACTCCGAAAAATGTAAAATTTGACAAAATTTACTCTGGAAAAAAAATTTACAAAAATATTAGTCTTTATTCTGGAAAAAGTAAAATTTGGTAAAATTTTTTCAATTTTAGTATTTACTCCGGAAAAAGTAAAAATTTGGTAAAATTTACTCTGCAAAGAGTAAAAGTTCAAAGAAAATTTAGTATTTGCTATCCAAAAAATGTAAAATTTGGACAATATTTTCTCCGACAAGAAGTAAAAGTTACGAAAAAAAATTCCAGACCCTTCAAAAGTTTAACTATAAAGTATAGTAAAAATTACTCTACATTTTTACCCTGTATTCTTGAATTTTATGGCAATAAAATGTTCAAATTTTTGTAAACATTAATATAAAAATAAATATATATATATTTATAAATATATAAATAATATTAAATATATAGATAGTATTAAATATATAAATATTATTGAGTATATAAAATATAAATAGTATTAAATATATGAATATTATTAAATATATAAATAAATAGTATTAAATATATATAAATATTATTGAATATATAAATAAATATAAACAAATTGCAAAAAAATATATATAAATAATATTAAATAAACAATTAAAAAACAAAAAATTTAATATTAATTTGTTATCAGACAGAGAAATATGTACAGCGCAATGTCACGTAATTCGTATTTCTTAAAAATTTTTGTACGTTTTGAATTTATAAATATAAAACAACAATTTTATTGTATCTGTATAAATATAATTATACAAAAATTAGGTATTGTTTATTGTCGTTAGTTTTTTTCCTGACACTGTTCATCGTATTGTAATTTCAAAAATTAAAATTTTAATTTTTAATTTCAAAATTAACTAACAAATTTTTCATTTCAAAATTTAGTTTACTAACAAATTTTTAATTAAAATATTTTTTTATAACTAAAGAATTTTTAATTTAAAAATTAACTAATTAACGAATTTTTTTATTAAAAAGTTCAGTAATTAACAAACTTTTAATTTAAAAATTATTTAAGTAACAAATTTTGGCCCAAAAGTTTTTGTTTAAAAATTATTTTAACGAAAAAAATTTTACTTTTTAAACTCTGTTTGAAATATTTTAAAATTATATTTTAGTTTTTCAATTATAATGTTTATTATTATTTATATTTATTTATATATAAATATTTGTATAAATAAATAAATAAATAATAAAAATGTAAATGAAAATAATAAAATATATTGTATATATTTATATATACATAATACATATATATATATATATATATAAATACATATATACATATTACTATATATATATATTGTATATAGAAATATATATACATATATATATATATAAAGCGAAATGCCTAAAATATATTATTTTCAATAAATTCAAAAAAAATTATCTTAAGTCGCATTTGACTATGGAAGTAGCATACTATTATTTTATAACTGCACTTTAAATATCTATCCGTTATGAAACTTGAGGAAAGAATTTTCAATAAATTCTATCAAACAAATAAATCTTATATTTTACCTTATATCTGTAGTTTCTCACTATTCCCATCGTTTTCAATGTTAATATATCCTTTTTCACACAAAAATATCAAGTGTAATTTTAAACTTTTCAACTATATATAGATATAGAGCAATGCTAATTCATCTTGGTTTACAAGTTTTGCAAATGGCTTTCAACTTATTTTATAAAATAAAATTCACGTCTGTTTTTTAGGTTACAAGTAGTTCCATTTTACTCGAAGGTATTTAGATATATATAAATATATATATATATAAAGATATAGATATATATGTGTATATATGTATGTATGGGGTATATAGATATACATGTACATATATATAGATATATAGCTGCACGAGATATGCATCTATATATATATATATATATATATAAATGTATATATATATATATATATATATATATATATATATATATATATATATATATATATATAAATGTATACCTATATATGTATATATATAAAAGTATATCTATATATGTATTTATATATAAAGGTATATCTATATATATTTAAATATATATGTATATCTATATATATGTTTATATATATTGCTTTTGCTTCTATATAAAAATCCATATTTAAGTCTCTTTTATATAAGTATACATATTTTTATATCTATATATATATATATATTATAATTGCATTGCTCATAAAGTTTTTTGCCCTAAAATACTAGTTTTTTAAATAATCATTTTTGATATTATATTAAAAATTTAATGTTTTATCAGGTCTAAATTTTATATCATATTAAAAATTTTAAGATCTTTTTTTTGGCCTCTTTTTCTTAAATAAATTTCTTCTAAAACTTATGAGAAAACCAGTTTTCCATTTACTGAAAAAAGTTAATTAATAAAAATAACTCACTTAATTAGAAATTATTAAATTTGTTTAATTTATTTCTTATAAATATAATTAAAGTTCCCCCCCCCAATTAATAGATATTTATTTCCTATTTTTCTTACATATTCTATATACAATTTATTGTAATTTTAAAAAAAGTAGTTATTATAAGCAAATGTACTAAAAATTTATTTTGAAATATATTTCTATCTCTAAGTTTAAAAATTAAATTTTAAAAATTAATTAAATATTTTAGTTGATTTTTGATTGTAAATAATAATTTCTGCGAAAAGGAGATTTCTTAGAATTTACGTTATTAAATAATTGTGAATTCAATATAGAAAAAATTCGGAAAGTAAATTTTCGTCTTTTGCTAATTTTTGAAACTACATAATTTAGAAAAATTTTTTCTAAATTCTTTTTTCGGTTATTTTTTGGTATTTATTTATTTAGCAATATAAGCAGGACAAGACTTTTCGTTTAGTTATTTTTTTAATACTTGAATATTCAGGTCTATAAAATCATTTACAGTTTTCTCGTATGCAGTTTAAGGGTATGTAATTAAATAGCAAATTTTTTTAAATACGATATTATTAATTTAATTCGTATTCAATTTTGCCGTTGGCAGTTTAATTGTATTACCTAGTTTATTTAATTTTAAGTTCAAGAACAGTTTGTTCATACAAAGACACAAAGAGGTATGAATGGGTATGAAAGAGGAATACAATTTTCTCGAGAGAGTGCGAAAATTTTTTCCAATATAACCATAGAGTTAAAGAGAGTGAAAGAGGGGAAACTCGAAAAAAAAGCAAGGTTGGGTAGTAAAGGAGGGGGTCGGAAGGGTGGGAGGCACCCTTCCGAATAGTGTGAAACTAGCTTTAACCGCCACGACGCCATTTTGGACAACAACAAACACAAAAGAAGCATTATTTCCGTTGGAGCATTCTCGACAATTCACATAAATAGACTCACACAGCGTCTTTCTAACCTATCATTGGTTCAAAAGCAACGACCATCCCTCTTTTTGTATACATACATCTAATACAACACATATACACACATAAACAGCTCCTATACATATATATTGAATATTGAAATATCGAGATCAGCAGAAGGTTTTTTCCCCCAAAAAAATACACCATTTATCACAAGGATCACAAGTATATACAATATACATACTTACTACTATACATGTAATACAAATTTCTATCGTGTCATTGGATTATTTAAATTTTTAGTGTAAATTAACCATTAATAATCAAAGTGTGTTCATATTTTGCAAACGAAAAAAAAACAAAGATCTACGAAAAAAAGAAAGTAAAATCTGTCTATACGGAGTCTCGTTATTTTTATTCAAATCGATCGCGAGTGAAGGCCCATTGGTACATATTATACATATATATATATACACATATAGGTATAAAATAAAGCAAGCCACGAGGAAGAGAAGGCCAGGTGTTACAATTTTTCCCCATCTCTCCAAAGAAAAAAAAAATCACCTCCCTTTTTTTTCCCCCCTACGAAAATATATATACACGAAAAACTTAAAACGTCACAAATTCACAAATGTCAAGTGTTTACGATTTTCACACGAATTCCCGCAAGAATTCATTTTTTACACCAACGAAAGAGACATTTAGTATATTGAAAATTGTGTTATCTCTCATGTCTCATTTTTTGAGATTTTAATATACCAAGAGAAAAAAAGGAATATTTTTGTTTTTGTTCAAGATTAGACTACTGGGAGAGAGTGAGAGGGGAAAAGAGAGACATTGTCGTGTTTTCATTTTTTTTTCGGGGTTTTTAAATAATTTTTTTTTTTTTGGGTTAATAATTAAATTAGAGTGAATAGATAAAAAAAAAGTCGCGCGTGTTCAGTGTATATATGTGTGTGTGCGCGCGTTTCGTAAGTTAATAAATGTGAGAGAAGAATCCAAAGAATGGCAGCAACAATTTTTGCTTTCGATGACATCAAAGATAAGAAGGACGACGACGTCGTTGAGGTATTGTTATAATGATTGAAAATTGATAATTTTAGTATTATTATATTAATTAATATTTATACCATTATTGTCTATACCATTATCAATGTTCTATTTTTTATTGTTATTATTATTTTTTTCTACTTCCCATTTCTTTTCTTTTCTTTTTACTAAATAAATTTGACAATAATAATCAAAATATTTTAGGTTAATTGTCACTCCAAACTGTATGGAAACGATGGAAATTAAAAAAATTTTCTTTCATTTTCCTTTTGAAAATGAATAAAAAAAAATGAAAATAAGTGAAAATAAATTTTAAATTCATATATTTCAAATAATGTTATTACGCACTATTGTTATATTAATTATAATTATAATTCACGTTATATAATAAATTAATATTTCTAATAATTTTTTTTTTTTAAAGAATTTGTATATTTTTTAATTGACTAAAATACTAAATAAATAACAACAAAAATTTAACAATAACAGTAAATAAAATAATATAAATAATGAAATAAAATAACAATTATTAATATTAAAAATATATTATTAGTATGATTACTATAATTATTGTCATTATTAAATTGTTTTCAGTTTTAAAAATAAATAGATTTTTTTTATTTATTTAGATTAGATTTTGTATTTATAAATTTAAAATAAAAAATTGAAAAAATAAATATAATAACAATATTAATAGTAATAATAATAAAAATAATATTAACGCCAATTAATTTATTAACTAATTAAAAAATATATTTTAAGGAAAAAAAGTAAATAAAAAAAGAACGAAGTGTAAATAATTTTGAATTTTACGGAAATTCAAATAACAAAAAAGAAACGAAGTTATATTAATTAATAACAATAATAAAATAATAATAATAAAAAAAAATAATAATAATAATAAAATAATAATAATAATAAAAATAATAATAATAATAATAATAATAAATAATGAAAAAAAAATAATAATTACAGTAATAATTAAGAATTTTTTATTTTTAGGTGGAGGTCGAGTACGAAGTTAATTCGGACGATAATGAATTAATTGAATTAATCGAGTGAGTATTTAATGAATTTCTCCCTCTTCTTTTTATTTATTTCCCACTTTTTCAATATCAAAATTAAAAAATGTCTCGTTATCGTTTATTCTCTCGTTTTTGTTTCTTCATTTAAATATAATAATAATAATATATCTTGAGTCTCTGATAATGTCTTAGAAGCATTCTTTTAAACTCAAAGAATGACCAGAACAATTAAGAGTCGAGAATATGATAAAAAAAAAGTAAAATTAAATTTCGATAAGATTATTTTTTTTCTTTATTTTTTTTATCAAAAAACTAATTTCTCGGAAGTTAATAAATAATTAGAGATTGTAATTTATTTTCGAGATAATGATTCTTTTTTTTTTATTTCTGATAAATATTTAGAGAGAGAAAAGAAATTTTATTTTTGTAAATGAACAAAAAATAATTATGAAAGTGGCAAAAAAAAAATTATTTTTCAATTTGCAAGGAGAAAAAAAGATTAATTTTTAAAAGCCTTTAAAAATAATTTTTGAAAATCTAATTTTTAAAGGAAAAAAATATTTTTGAATTTAAAAAAGTAATTTCTAAGTTTAAAAAAATAATTTTTAAGCCAAAAAAGTAATTTTTAATTAAAAAAGTAATTTTTGCATTTAAAAAATAATTTTTAAACTAAAAAGTAATTTTTGAGTTAAAAAAGTAATTCTTAAGCTATAAAAGCAATTTTTGAATTAGAAATGTAATTTTACGCTAAAAAAGTAATTTAAAAATTTTTTAAATAATTTTCATGCTATAAAAGTAATTTTTAAAAAATAAATTAATTTAATTTTCAAATAAAAAAGTAATTTTTAAGCTAAGAAAGTACTTTACAAATTTTTTAAAATAATTTTTAAGCTAATAAAGCAATTTTACAATTAAAAAAGTAATTTTGAAGCTTAAAAAGTAGTTTAAAATTTTTTTTAATTAATATTGAAGCTATAGAAAAATAATTTTTAAGCTAAAAAAATAATTTTTATGCTATAAAAGCAATTTTTGAAAAAGTTAATTAATAAATTGATTTACTTTTCAAATAAAAAATTAATTTTTAAGCTAAAAAAGTAATTTAACAATTTTTTAAAATAATTTTTAAGCTAAAAAAGCAATTGTACAATGAAAAAAGTAATTTTTCAATTAAAAAAGTAATTTTGAAGCTAAAAAAGTAGTTTAAAATTTTTTTAAAATAATATTTAAGCTAGAAAAATAATTTTTATGCTATGAAAGCAATTTTTGAATTAAAAAAGTAATTTTTCAATAATAAAAGTAATTTTTAAGCTGAAAAAGCAATTTTTCAATTAAAAAGTAATTTAAAAATTTTTAAAAATAATTTTTAAGCTAAAGAAGTAATTTTTAAGCCAAAAAAGTCATTTTTAAGCTAAAAAAGTAATTTTTGAGTTAATGAAATAATTTTTAAGCTAAAAAAATTTTGTTTGAACTAAAAAAAGGATTTTCCTCTATTTCTAGGCCGGATGTCGATGACACGGAAGTGGAGACGGTCGTTATTTCGGAGAAAAATGTCAATCAAGGAAGGGAGAGAGCTGGCCCTCAAGATTTTGATATTTGCAAAGTGATTGGTAAAGGTGGATACGGAAAAGTCTTCCAAGTTCGTAAAAAAACCGGCAAAGACAGTGGAAAACTGTTTGCCATGAAGGTAAACACTTTTTATTGCGCAAAATTCCTCTCTACTTACAATTTTTATTATATTTAAAATTTATAATTATTAAGTTAAAACAATTATTAAATAGAGGAAAAATATTAAATTAAAAAAATTATTAATATTGAAAGAATAAATATTAAACTAAAAGAATTATTAAATTTGAAAAATATAAAGTTAAAAGAATTCTTAAATCAAAAGAATCATTAAATTGAAAAAATATTAAGTTCAAAGAATTATGAAATCAAAAGAATTATTAAATTAAAAAAATATTGAATTAAAAGAATTATTAAATTGAAAAAATATTAAATTAAAAGAATTATTAAATTGAAAAAATATTAAATTAAGAATTATTAATTTAAAAAATAATAAATTTGTTAAATAGGTTTTGCGCAAGGCATCAATTATCAGAAATCAGAAAGACACAGCACACACTAAAGCCGAACGAAATATCTTAGAAGCTGTCAAGGTAATTAATGAATTTTCAAAAGAGAAAGAAATTACACTAAAAAGTTCCAGTAAAGATAAAATTCTTTTTTTTTTTCTTTTTGCTAAAATATTTTTCTGAAGGGAAACATCGTACGTGAACTCAGAGTATGAGATAGAAGAGATATTAATAAGTGATTCTCCTGAAAGTGCACGAATTCAACTTCGATTTTTCAATATATTTTTTCTTTTATTTTCTTTAATTTTAAAGCAATATTTTATTTTAATTTACCTTCTTTGACATTATAAATAATTAGTTTACAATTTCCGCAAACTTTATAATTTAATTTCCAAAAATTTTAACTTAGTAATGACTCTTTCAATATTCAATTATTGTCTAGCATTTTCAACTAAAATTCTTCTGTGATTCGATTATTATTTAACATTTTAGAAAGCTATTAAAAAATTCGATTATTTGTGTAAATAAAAAATTCAAAATTAAATGTAAATCTATTTAAAAAGTTGTATTTGTTCCTTTTTGAAGATAATTAAGTTTGAAAAAATTATGATATAAAAATTCTAAGAATTAGTTTTTTGAAAATATTCTAATATGTAATTTTTTTTTTTTAAATAATTGAATTTCTCAGAAGAATTTTAGGACATTTTTAAAAACTAAATTAAACTAAATTTCTAGAATTGATAAAAGAAAATTTCTAATTTCTTGTCTCTAGAAACGTTTGAAAATATTGAAAAAATTTTACTTGAATTTTTTTTTTGTTAAAATTATAAACTTTGAAGTCACAACGAATTTTAATACGAAACCTAAATTTTTCATTTTTGACAATATTAATTGAATTTTATTATTCTAAATTTTTTAACGTTCAAATGAACAAAATTTTCATTCTGTTTAAATATTTTAAAAAAATTACTATAAAATAAAAATAATTAAATGGAGCATTTAAAAAATAATTTTTAGGCTAAAAAAGTAATTTTTGAGTTAAAAAGTAATTTTTAAGCTAAAAAATAATTTTTGAATTAAAAAAGTAATTTTTAAGCTAAAAAAGTAATTTTTTAGTTAAAAAAATAATTTAAAAAAAAAAGTTAAAAAGTTTAAAGTAGTTTTGAATTTAAACTAGTTACGAAATAATGCAAGATTATTCGCTGAATTTTTTCTGGTTAAAATTGGGCGCCAGATGTTAACAAAAACCTTTCCTTTTCGGATATTCACAAAATATTGTATTTAGAAACATTTCTTTGTGTTTCTAATAATTTTTTGCTTTCTTGGCAGTAATTTTCAAGCTAAAAAAGTCATTTTTGAATTTAAAAAATAATTTTTAGGCTTACAAAGTAATTTTTGAGTTAAAAAAGTAATTTTTGAATTAAAAAAGTAATTTTTAAGCTAAAAAAAATTTGTTTGAATTAAAAAAGTAATTTTTAAGCTAAAAAAGTAGTTTTTGAGTTGAAAAAAGTAATTTTTAAGCTAAAAAAGTTTAAAGTAGTTTTGAATTTAAACTAGTTACGAAATAATGCAAGATTATTCGCTTAATTTTTTTTCTGGTTAAAATTGGGCGCTAGATGTTAACAAAAACCTTTCCTTTTCGGATATTCGCAAAAAAAGTGTATTAGAAACATTTCTTTATGTTTCTAATAATTTTTTGCTTTCCTGGCAGTAATTTTCAAGCTAAAAAAGTCATTTTTGAATTTAAAAAATAATTTTTAGGCTTAAAAAGTAATTTTTGAGTTAAAAAAGTAATTTTTGAATTAAAAAAGTAATTGTTAAGCTAAAAAAAATAATTTTTGAATTAAAAAAGTAATTTTCAAGATAAAAAAGTTGTTTTTGAGTTAAAAAAATAATTTTAAAAAAAAGTTAAAAAGTTTAAAGTAGTTTTGAATTTAAACTAGTTACGAAATAATGCAAGATTATTCGCTTAATTTTTTTTCTGGTTAAAATTGGGCGCTAGATGTTAACAAAAACCTTTCCTTTTCGGATATTCGCAAAAAAAGTGTATTAGAAACATTTCTTTATGTTTCTAATAATTTTTTGCTTTCCTGGCAGTAATTTTCAAGCTAAAAAAGTCATTTTTGAATTTAAAAAATAATTTTTAGGCTTAAAAAGTAATTTTTGAGTTAAAAAAGTAATTTTTGAATTAAAAAAGTAATTGTTAAGCTAAAAAAAATAATTTTTGAATTAAAAAAGTAATTTTCAAGATAAAAAAGTTGTTTTTGAGTTAAAAAAATAATTTTAAAAAAAAGTTAAAAAGTTTAAAGTAGTTTTGAATTTAAAGTAGTTACGAAATAATGCAAGATTATTCGCTAAATTTTTTCTGGTTTAAAATGGGCGCCAGAAGTTAACAAAAACCTTTCCTTTTCGGATATTCGCAAAAAAAATGTATTAGAAACATTTGTTTGTGTTTCTAATAATTATTTGCTTTCTTGGTATTCTTCCAAAACGGCACTTTTATAGGAGAATCACCAAAAATTTCGTTTCTACGTAAATCCCTGTAGTCTCGGAGTTCACGAACCAAGTTTCCTATTCGAACCTAACCTGAAAAAAGAAAGAAAAATATAAATAAAGAGGGAAATAAAATTTTGACTCACAGCATCCGTTCATCGTCGATCTGATGTACGCCTTTCAAACCGGAGGCAAACTCTACTTAATTCTCGAGTACATGTGTGGTGGTGAATTATTCCGCCATTTAAATAAAGAGGGTATCTTCCTCGAGGACACTGCCATTTTTTATCTCTGCGAAATTATTCTCGCCCTACAACATTTACATCGACAGGGAATTATTTATCGTGACTTGAAACCCGAAAACATCCTATTGGACGCTGAGGGTCATATCAAATTGACTGATTTTGGCCTTTGTAAGGAGCACATTGAAGACGACACAGTGACGCACACATTTTGCGGTACAATTGAATATATGGCACCGGAAATTTTAATGCGCAGCGGTCATGGTAAGGCCGTTGATTGGTGGAGTCTTGGTACATTATTGTACGATATGTTGACGGGTGCGCCACCATTTACCGGTGAGAATCGTAAGAAAACAATAGATAAAATTTTAAAGGGTAAACTAATGCTGCCAATGTATCTCACTGCCGATGCAAGAGATTTAATTCGTAAATTGCTCAAGAGACAAGTGAAACAGAGACTTGGCTCGGGACAGGCGGACGCCGAACACGTCAAAAATCATAAATTTTTCGAGAAAATCAATTGGAATGATGTTATATGTCGACGAATGAATCCACCGTTCACGCCAACTTTAATAAGCGAAGATGATGTTTCGCAATTTGATCAACGTTTCACTGCTTCGGATCCAATTGACTCGCCTGTTGAGCACACACTCAGCGAGAGCGCTAATTTGATATTTGAGGTTTGTTTACACTTTTTTATCTTAAAATATACTTTAATTTGAAAAATTTTATTTTACTTAGTTCTGAGGCCTTGTACTTAAGAAGTTGACGCGTCAGGTCAATAGAAAGAAGCAGCTATAGTGTAACGTCCGTTGTCTTTATCTCTTAACGCATGCGCTCTGAAGCGTCGTTCATGCGCATGCGTTATGAGAGAAAATTAAACTTGACGAACAAAAAAACTCGGTTTAGAAACTTTACAAAAATGACAAAAAATCCATTCAATATTTTATTTTAATGACTTTTTCCTAATTTTCATCAAAAATATTTACTTCTTTCTTATCATGCTAATAAATTTAATTCCTGCAAACGAATTTTATTATTCATGAAAGAATTTAAATATTTATAAAAATAATTTCATTTTTGCAAAGAATTTTATAAAAAAATTTTAAATAATTCACTTCTTTCGACTAGTTTTATGCAAATTTTAATTTAAAATAGTAAATGGCAAAATGCGGTATTCCATTTCTTATTATTTAAATTTTTTTTTTTTTATTATTTTTTTTTATTATTTTAAAATCCAATTTCATAAATAATAAAGTTCTACAAAAAAATACAATTATTTTAAATACAATTTTAATGAAATTTCCCGAAAGAATACAATTATTTTTAAAAATATTATTTAAATTCAATTTTTTTCAAGAGTTTTAAAAAAAAATTCAATAATTTTCAACAATTCTGATAAAATTCTTCGAAACAATTCAATTACTTTTGTAAATAATAAAATTCTTTTAAGAAATTTAATTATTTTCAAAACTGTTTTAATAAAATTTCTGGGAAAAAATTCAATTATATTCAAGACAATTTTAATGAAATTTCTCTAACAAGTTGAATTTAATTATTTTAAAAAATATTGATAGAATAATTCTTGAAATGAATTCAATTATTTAAAAATTTTTTTTAAAAATACTTTACAAGAATTTAATTAAAACTATTTTTGTAATAATTGAATCGCTGCGAAAAAATAATTAAATTCCTATGAAAAATTTACTATTTATTGATTTTATTAAATTCTTTCGAATAATTTAAAAAAAATTTTTTAAATAATTAAATTTTCCCTGCGGAATTCATATTTAAAATTGTAATTAAAATAATTCAATTCCAGCGAAAATTTCATTATTTTTCAAAATAATTGAATTCTTGAATTGGATTCTATTGAAAGTTTTTTAAATAATTGAACTTCTGTGAAAAATTTCAATTAATTTTTAAAATAATTTAATTTTCTCAGAGAATTTTTACAAGATTTTTAAAAATAATTGAAATTTTCGAAGAAATTAATTAAAATTGTATTGGAAATAAGTGAAATCCTCATAAGAATTTTATTATTTTTTGTTAAAAATAATTGAATTTTTTACGAAGATTTTTATTATTTATAAATTGACTAAAGAATTTTAATAAAATTTTTCAGAACAATTGCATTTTTCGAGAAATTTACTTAAAATTGTATTTAAAAAAATAAAAAATTAGAGAGTAATTTTATTAGTTATGAAAATAATTGAAAAATAATTGAATTCTTCAAAAATAATTGAATATTCTTGTGATGAATATTGTTATTTATGAAGATAATTGAATTTTGCAAAGAATTTTATTAAAATGCCTCAAAATAATTGAATTCTTTCGAAGAATTATTTATGTAAATAATTTAATTCTTCAGAAGAATTTTATTAAAATCAAGAATAATTGAATTATTTCAAAAAATTGAATTAAAATTGTATTTAAAATAATATTGATTTCTTTTGAACAATTTTATTAAAATATTTGAAAATAATTAAATTCCTGTGAAAAATTCTAATATTTTTGTAAATAATTGAATTATTCCAACGAATTTTAAACAAACATTTTTTTAAATATCAGATTTTTCGAGGAATTGAAATTAAATTTTTAAGAATAATTACATTTTTTGATTAATTCCAGTAAAATTGTATTAAAAATAATTGAAATCCTACGATGAATTTTATTATTTATGACAATAATTGAATAGTTGCAAAGAATTTTATTATTTATTGCAATAATTGAATTATTGCAATAAATTTTATTAAAATGTTTAAAAAAAATTGAATTTCAGTGAAAAATTTTGTTATTTCTGAAAATAATTGAATTCTTGTGAAAAATTCTAATATCTTTGTAAATATAATTGAATTCTTTGCAAAGAATTTTTAAAAAATATTTTTTTAAACAATTGATTTTTTTTTTGGGAATTGAAATAAAAATTTTAAGAATAATTACATTTCTGAAGCAATTCCTGTAAAATTCTATTAAAAATGATTGAAATGGAATTCCTGAGAAGAATTTTATTATTTATTTTCATAACTAATAAAATTCTTCTCAGGAATTTAATTTCAATTATTTTTAATTGAAATTTAATAATAATAGAATTATTGCGAAAAATTTTATTAAAATGTTTAAAAATAATTGAATTCTTTCTTAAGAATTGTATAAAAATTTCGTTAAATAATTGATTTTTTCGAAATTTTTTTGAAAATGCTGTTCAAAATTAATTGAATTTTGAATGAAGTTTGTCAATTTTTCATTTTAAATAATTGAATTTCTTTTCGAAATTTAATGAAAATAATTGAATTTTATAATAATAATTAATTGAATAATAATAATAATAATAATAATAACTGAATATTTTTTTTTAAATATTTTTTGAAAATAATTGAATTGTTTTAAAAAATTTGATTATAATTTTTGAGAATAGTTTTTTGATTTCTAGTATTGGCGAATTTAAAGTAGTGGAAATTTTCAAAAAGAAAAAAACAGAAATAGTTATTAGCTTTTAGTGGATGGGACTGGAGTGGGACTAGTAAAGACTCACTTAAAATTAAATTTATTTTTAATTAAGTATAAGAACAGATCTTATACTTAATTAAAAATAAATTTAATTAAATGAAAATAGAACATTTTAGTAAAATTAAAAAATTAATTTCAGGGCTTTACTTACGTTGCTCCAAGCCTGCTGGACGAATATCCACAACCTCGGGTCGTACACGCGAGAAGTCCACGCAGAGTTTACATGAGAGGCTTCTCTCCAAGAGGGACGCATCTTAACCACAATTCTCGAATGCCAAATCACAGGTCTGTTAATTAAAAAAAACATTGTCTTAGTAAAAAATTTATTTATATTATTTCAATTTTTTTATATTAAAAAAAAAAAAAAAAAAAAATTAAATACAATTTTTTTCCCCAGGCACAACATAGAAGATCAAGAAATGATCGAAATAGATTAATTTGTTTAGAAAAATTTTTTTGCTTCGACACTGGAGTCTTTTGAGACGGAAATTCCTCAACAAAATCTCAGGGAGATTTCCATGCTTTCCACACAAGAAAAAAAAACAATTTTGAGGATTCATTTCCGTCATAAAACACCTCCATTACCAAGGCTTAGATAATTTTTTGTATTTTTCGTTTTTTTTTTTTATTTTTTATTTTTGATTTATTATACATGATGATGATGAAGATGATGAAGATGATAGTAATCTCTCGTATAATAATTGTAATAATTATAACGCTACCAAAAGAAAAAAAAAAGAAATTGTCGAAATTTTTACGAAAGACGAATAGAAAACCAATTCTTTCCTTTTTCGTTGAAACTTTTCGACTTGGCAATTTAGTCACAATTTATCCCAAAAAAAAAGAAAAAAAAAGTAAAAAAATATAATAAAAAAAAGTTTAAATAATGATAAAAAAAAGCCTCGATATTTTGAAACTCTCGTCTTTTTTTTACTCGAGACGTTTTGTTCCAAACAAAAATAAAACGGCATTTGTATCGCATAAAAGAATAAAAACAAGAAGGGAATTGCTCGCATAAAACAATAAAATGAGAAAAAAAGAAAGAAAGAAAAAAAAATATTTCCTGTGACGATACTTTTGACATTGACATTATTAACAAGTATAAAAAATAATAATAAATAAAAATTAATTTAAACAAAAATTAATTTAAAAATAAAATTTAAAAAAAAAATGACAAAAAAATGAAACAAAAACTTAAAATGATTTTTAAATTGTTAACTTGCAAAAATGTGCCTGTAAAAAAATGAAATCCTTAAATTAAAGAAAAAGTAAAGAAAATGAAAATAAATAAAAGTAAAGAAAAATAATAATCAATGAAATGAAGCAATGTTTAAATAGAAAAAGTGTCGTCGAACTTTTTGTCAAGAAAAAAAAAATATAATAATAATACAAGAAATCCTGATAAAATATACAAAATCCTGACAAGATTTTCGTATTTGTTGGATTGACTGTTTCTTTCTTTTTGTAAAACAAAGAAAACGTATATGTATATAAATATTTACTATTATATTTTATATTTTTTACTGTATATATTATATTTATTATAATATGTTTTAAGGTATATTATTCAAATTATTACTATAATTAAATTATAAAAGTAATTATTATTATGATGATTATTATAATTAAATTATAATAGTAATTATTATTATAATGATTATTATATTTTGCGATATAATATATACGAATAACAAATGTAAACGCGCTGATAAGAAAAATACCAAAGAAGGAAACGAATTATAGGTTATGTTTAAGTTCGATTTTTCTTCATTAAAAGTTGCTGTTTAGTTATATAAATTTAAAAACCAGTTCCTATTGAATATTTTTGATGTAAAAAATAATTGAATATGAATAATTTGTAATAGGAAGACTTTAATTCTTTTTTTGTATTTTTACTCCAAATATTAAATATAACCTCTAATTTTTTGCTTCTTAGGTACCTTTCTTCAGCGCGTCACAAATGGTGTTATATAATAGTTTGTAAAATATATGATATATTTTATAACATATATAATATTTTATAAAGTATATAATATATTTTAGAACATATTGTATATTTTAAAAAATATATAGTATTTTTTAAAGTATTTATATTTTCTAAAGTATTTTTATTTCCTAAAGTATTCTACATTTTATAAAGTATTCTATATTTTATAAAGTGTTCTATATTTTAGAAAGTATTCTATATTTTCTAAAGTATTCTGTATTTTAAAAAGTATTCTATATTTTATAAAGTATTTTGTATTTTAAAAAGTATTCTATATTTTATAAAGTATTTTGTATTTTAGAAAGTATTCTATATTTTAGAAAAGTATTCTATATTTTACAAAGTATTTTATAATATACTTTATGACATATTATATGATATATTTTATGGAATATAATATATATGTGTATAATTTATAAAATATTAGTATAAAATGTGACCATCAATTTTTTTGTGTCTATCTTTTTTAAATGAAATTTTTTGAAATGTATATTTGAGTCGTTTATAAAGTCAAGAATTAAATTATAATAACGCTTCCAATGGCGAATGTGTGTGTGTGTGTGTGTACCGCATGTTCAACCTTTACTAATAAAATATATTAAATGCGAATTAAAATCCACTGTCGTTTAATTATCATCCTTTGAATTTCTCAACTACTTCCCTTTCAAACTATATTTTTTCATTTCATTTTATATTTTTCATTTAAAAAAAAACTTCTATTTATTCTAATTCTAAAACCTCTATTTAAAGAACTTTATTTTCAATATTAATAATTATATATATATTTAAATTATATTTAAAATTGAAATTTTCTAAAATTTCCAATTGAATATCTTTTTGAAAAGGAAATTTAGAAAATTTGAGTTCAAGTTTGTTAATTTTGAAGAGTGAAAATAAAAAGAATTTAAATTTTCAGTGCAAATTAAACAAATTTGAGGTTATGTTTGTTAATTAGGAAGCGTTAAAAAACAAATAAAGATAATTAACTCTCAATGCAAAATTATATCTAAATCTCTATTCCGTCTAAAATATTCAATAACAATTACTTTTGGTTTCACAAAATATAAAAAGTACTTATTAATCAAAGTAAAACGATTGTAAACATAACCTAGAATTCTTCCGCGTTATTAAATACTTTTCCCTGTCAAAAGCGTATATTATTAATTTTCTAGAAATAATCCAAGATTATTCTGAATTAATCTAAGATTATTCTTATTTTTTCTGGTTAAAATTGGGCTCCAGATGTTAACAAAAACCTTTCCTTGTCGGATATTCACAAAAAAATGTTAGAAATATTTCTTTCCAATCATTTTTAACGTGTGAATCGGAATATTCTTCAATAATTAATATTAGACTCCTAATATTAATATTAAAGCAATCGGTTGTATCTAATTATTAATGAAAATTAACAAATTACGGAAAATATGTACAAAAACTTTCTTTTTGTCAAATGACCAAAAATACTCTTTTAAAATTAAAATCCTGAAAACTGTCATTTTTTTAAACGGGGCCCCAAAGTTCCAAACTACGCACCTGCTCACATCCGTTTAGTCCGGGGATTTAAATTTTATTTGGACAATTTTTTCACACACAAAATTTACAAATAAACAATTGTTCTCTACTTGGAAATCAATTAATTTTTTTCGAATACCCAAAAACAATGAGAATTGTAAATTTTTTCCAGTCTTTGTCAAAAAGTTTCTACTCTTCTTTTTTATATTCTTAGAAAAAAATCACTAGAAAAGAAAAATGTGTCCGGTTTTACAATCAAAATTTTATTTTTTCCCGCCTTTAGCGATGTTCAATTTCCTGTTTCAACACATACAGACACGACTACTACACAGACACTCAGCGACACAAACACAACTGACAACCAGACACTCATCGAGAGAAACAGGAAAGGCGAAAAACTTTTTTGACACCACACAGTCGTCGCGAACTGAAGACAAAATACATACGACAGGTGTTTTTATTGTTAACAATACCATACAAATAATACATATAAAATATATGTCTAATTAATAGAGAGAAAGGAAAGGAAATTTTTTCCTATTTTTTCCCATAAAAAAAATTAAATTCTTAATTTAGTGGGTGTTTTTTTTACAAAAAAAAAGGAGTGAGAAAATTTTTTTTCAGTTTTTTATCAAGTGTGAAACACGTGACAATTATATATCTCTTTCTCGGAAAAACTAAAAAGAGAGAAAAATAATTTAGTGTCCTTTTTCCTGCCTTTATTATTATTATTATTATTGTGTTTGTGTATGCATTAAATGTATTTTCGTTAAGCGAAAAAGCATGGCTGGTGTATTTGATATCGAACTTCACGATGGAGAGACAAATAAAAATACAAATCAAGAAGAATCCGATGATGATATTATCGAGGCACGAGAGGTAAAGTATTTTTCTATATTAAATTTCCAAGAGATTATTTTCTCCCCGAAAAAAAGAAGATCGCAACCTTCGCGTATTTATTTTATATAAAAATGTTCGCACTTTGCAAAAAATTATGTACGCAAAAAGTATTCTAATTTTTAATTCATGAATTTTTCTCCAATTTTTTTTCCAGGGGGAATACGATATGAGTCCTAATCTTAATTCCATGCTCGAGTGAGTATTTTATACAATTGCGTTCAGATATTTTTCTTTCTCTCTTTCTTATTGTCTTTTTGAGGTTAGGATTCTTTATAGCCTTGAATCTTATGTTCGCGACAAAGAATTTTGTTTTAAGTTTTATTTTTAATAAATAAAATACTGGATTAATTAATTATTAGGGTTAATTATCTCTAAAAATTCGTTTCTTTTTGCCTTTTAGGAATTTTTATATTTTTCGACGAAAAAAATATTTTACTGCTCCACTTTATTGAAAATAAATTCGTAATGTTTTTGTTGTTAATTTTTAATTTGATAGAAGAGTAAAAAATTAGAATAGAAAGAAGAAACAGATATAATTAAAAAAACAACAACAATATTAATAATAATAATATAATAATAATAAAAATAATAATATTTAGATAATTTTATATAAATAATTGAAATAATAAATGATGATAATAAACTAATTAATTAATAATTTTAAATTGAATATTAAAAATTAAAATTAAATATAAAATATAAATAATAATAATATTAATAATAATAATAATAATAATAATAATAATTAAAAATAGTAAAGAATAAATAAATAATTTGATTGACTAGTAAAAAATTGATAATAAATTTGGGGTAATTTAATGTAAAAAATGTAAATTTAATAAAAAAGTAAATTTTCTTTTGAAACAAAATAAATACCTATATCATCACAAAGAAAAGACGAAATTAAAAATGACATAAAAATAAACACAAAAGAGAAGCTTTATAAAAAGAGTAAAACTTATATTCAAGTTAAATTTATTCTGGTACAAAAAATAGTTGTAAAAGAATTTTTTTTTTAAATTCTGACAAAAGTAGACAAAGAGGATCAAAATTCTTTAAATAAATAATAAATTTAAAATAAGAATAATTAAAATAAAATTAAATATCAACAGAAAACAAAAATTGTAAGAAAATTTATAAATGAATAAAATTAAAAAAAAAAATTATAAACTAAATTAATTTGAAAAAAAAAATTTTTTAAATAAAATTAGAAAAAATTATAAACTTAATAAATTTGTTTATAAAATAAACTATAAAATAAAATAAAAATTGCAAAACAAATATAAAATAAACAAAATTAGAAAATTGGAAAAAATTATAAACTAATTAAATTTGTTAGAAACTGTAAAATAAATTAAATAAAATTGTTAAAAAACTAAAAAATTAATTAAATTACAGAAAAAATTGAAAATAAATAAAATTAGAAAAAAATTATTATAAACTAAATAAAATAACAAAAAAAAACAATAAAATTAGAAAATTAGAAAAAAAAATTAAAAAACCAAATTAAAAAAATTATAAATTAAATAAATTTGTTAAAATAGGAAAAAAATAAATTAAATTATAGAAAAAAATTATAGAATAAATAAAATTAGAAAAAAATCATAAACTAAATAAAATTCCAAAAAAGTTATAAACTAAATAAAAAAAAAGAAAAACTATAAAGTAAATAAAATTATAAACAAAGTAAATTTGTTAAAAAACGAAAAAAAAAATTAAATTATAGAAAAAATTATAAACTAAATAAAATTGTAAAGAAACCTACAAAGTAAATAAAATTATAAAATAAAGAAATTATTAAAAATAAATAAAATTTTTATAAATAATATAAAGAAAATGAAAAAAAATTTCAATGCGAGATTACGTCTTTTAAAGTCCAAGGTCTATAATACGTAGAATATTTTTTTTCTATTTTTTATTTCTCATCATTTTTTTTTTTTTATTATTTTATTAATAGAAAATCGAAAGTAAAATAAATTAAATATAAAGTATAGTTTTGTGATTATGGTTTTTTCGTTCTTTTTCTTTATTTTTTTTTTTTTGAATGATAATAATAGTGTCAATTAGTATAATAAAAAGTTTTGTATCAATGAAATAAGAGTTTCAACATTAGTATTAATAACATGTAGGTCACCCGAATTTGCAACTGACACAAAAGAGACGAATTACTTTTTCAAGCACGTCAAGAATTTTCGCAAAATTATCATATTTATTGAGAAAAGGGAGAATTTTTGTATTTTATTTAGATACTTTTAATCGATTTTTCAGTTTTTTTTCGTTCAAGAAATATTTTTAGAGGTTTCACGAATAGGTAGAAAATAAGAAAACAGGAAAATAAGAAAATAAAAATCAATAATAATAATAATAATAATAATAAATGAAATATGGAAATAGAAAATAAATAAAATAAATAATAATAAATAAAATAAAGAAGCGGAAAGTAAAAATAAAAATAAGGAAATAAGGAAATAAAAATAAAATAAATAAGGAAATAGAAAATAAAAATAAAATAAATAGATAATAATACATAAAATAAAAAAATAGAAAGTAAAAATAAATAAAATAAATAATAACAATAAGTAAATAAAATAAGAAAGTAAATTAGAAAAATAATGAAACTATTAAAAATCTCTTTCAATTTTTTTCCATTCGAAAAAATTTATTTATTTATTTATTTATTTATTTAAGTAATGGACGGATTATTAATTATAATTCGCTATTTTACAGATTGGAGAATGTCGAGAGAGTTCAATTATCAGAGCAAAATGTGAATCCTGGTCAGGAGAAAACGGGACCGCAGGATTTTGAATTGTGTAAAATTTTAGGCGAAGGCGGCTATGGAAAAGTTTTTCAAGTGAGAAAAGTCACTGGAAAAGATAGAGGCAGCATTTTTGCAATGAAGGTTCGAAATTATATTCTTTTTTTCAAAAAAAAAAAAATTGATTTGATTATTATAAAAAAAAAATGAAAGCAAAAGGAAAAAATAGTAAAAAAAAGGAAATTTTCAAATTTGTCTTTTTCTTATTTAAGGTTTTGCGAAAAGCATCGATTATTCGAAACCAAAAAGACACAGCTCATACCAAAGCAGAGAGAAACATTTTGGAAGCTGTAAAGGTAAGATTTTCTTTTTTTTTATTAAAACTAATTTCAATTATATTTTTAATTTCAAACTAATTTCAATATTATTTTTAATTTAAAACTAATTTCAATATTATTTTTAATTTAAAACTAATTTCAATATATTTTCAATTTAAAACTAATTTAAATTATATTCTTAATTTTAAATTAATTTTAATTGTATTTTTAATTGTATTTTTAATTTAAAATCACTTTCAATTATATTTTTGATTCAAAATTACTATCAAAACAGTTCAATTATTGTTAAAAATGAGAATGTAAAAATTAACAAAAATTCATCCAAAATTCAATTATTTTCACAAATAAAATTTCCCCCAAGAATTCAATTATTTAAAATAAAATTTTCAAATATTTATTATATTTCAAAAAAAAAAATTAATTATTTACAACAATGTTTATAAAATTCTTATAAAGAATTCAATTATTTTCAAAAAGAACAAAATTTTACACAGAAATTCAATTCTTTTTGAACATTTCAATTAAATTTCCCTCAATAATTCAATTATTATCATAAATAATAAAATTCTTCTCAGGAATTCAATTATTTTTGGAAAATTTTCATTAAATTCTTAGCAACTATTCAATTATTTTCGAAAATAATAAAAATTTCACAAGAGTTCAATTAACAAAATTTTTTGTAAATTTCTTCGCAATAATTCAATTATTTTGAATACCTGCAATTTTAATAAAATTCCAGTAAAGAAGTAAATTTAAAAATTTTTAATAAAATTCAATTGTTTTTCTTATAAATATTAATATTCATCGCTGGGAATTCAATTAATTTAATAAATAATAAAATTCTTCGGCAAAAATTCAATTAATTTCGTAAATAATAAATTTCTTCACCAAAAATTCAATTATTTTCAAAAATAATCCAATTTTTCCGCTAAAAATTCAATTATTTTCGTAAATCATAAAAATTCTTCGATGACAATTCAATTTTTTCGTAAATATTAAATTTCTTCGCAAAAATTCAATTACTTTCAATAAATAATAAAATTCACCGAAGAATTTCAATTACTTTTAATTGAATTTTACAAGAATTGCTCGAAAAATGTAATTATTCATAAAAATTTATTTTTAATTCCTCGAGAAAATCATTTAAAAATTTTTTCTTTCAATAATTCTTTAGAAGAATTGAATTATTTACAAAAAAGATTAGAATTTTTCACAGGAATTCAATTATTTTAAAATATTTTAATAAAATTTTTCGAAAGAATTCAATTATTTGAAATTAAATTTTAATTACAATTTTTGCGAAATAATTCAATTATTCTTTTATAGATTTTAATAAAATTCTCCCCCAAGAATTCAATTATTTACATAAATAATAATTCTTCTTTTTGAGGTATTTTAATAAAATTATTTGCAAAATTGAATTATTTTCATAATTATAACAATATTCGTCACAAGAATTCAATTATTTTTAAAAATAATAAATTTTTTCGTTTGAAAGAATTCAATTATTTAAAAAAATTCTAATAAAATCGTTCGCTGGTATTCAATTATTTTGTAAATAATAGAATACTTTTTAGGAATTCAATTATTAAAAAAAAAAAAATTAATAAAATGCTACACAGACATTCAATATTATTCTGAAAAATTTTAACAGAATTCTTTGTAAAATTTAATTATTTTCAAAAATTTTTGCAATTCAATAATTTTCAATATCTGCTACTTTTCATAAAATTTCAAAACAAAATTCAGTTATTTAAAGAATTTTTCGTAAGAATTCAATTCTTTTCATGAATAATAAATTTTCTTAGGAATCCAATTATCTAAATTATAATTTACGTAAAATTAGTCGAAAGAAATGAATTGTTTAAAAATTTTAAGAAAATTCTTCGCAAGAATTAAATTATTTTTCTAAATATTTAAATTCTTTTAAATAATAAAATTCGTTGAAGGAATTGAATTTATTAACAGGATAAGAAAGAATAAAAATAAAAAATAGAATCGAATTTTTGTCAGTTTTGTAAAGTGTCCAAAAACGAGTTTTTTTTTTGTCGTCGAGTTTAATTTTTCGATTTCTTTTTTTTTTCCTGCTTTTTTAGTTTGAAAGCTTCGTTTAGCTAATTTTTTTAAAATTAATTATTGAGTGCGAAGTCTGTAATTTGAAATTAAAAACCGAAAATATCAAAATTAAAAAATCGACTCCTTCAATGTCGATTTATTTTTAAACTATTTGAATATTGATTTATTTATATTATTATTATTATTATTTTCATTTATATTATTATCGTTGTTGTTATTACTAATATTATTATTTTTTTTCCAGCATCCGTTTATCGTTAATTTAATGTACGCTTTTCAAACCGGTGGGAAATTGTACCTTATTTTGGAATATCTCTGTGGAGGAGAATTATTCACGTATTTAGAACGTGAGGGCATTTTTCTCGAGGACACCGCATGGTAAATATTTGTTTGTTCGTAAAAAGAACACTTTTTCTCGTTTTTAACACAAAAGAAAAATATTCTAATTTACTTTTTCTATTCATTTTTTTTTGTTAGTAATAATTCTTATTTTCTTTATTTAAATACAGTTTTTATCTGTCGGAAATAATTCTCGCCTTGCAACATCTTCATAATCAGGGAATAATTTATAGGTAAGTTGATAAATATATTATTGCCAGATGTAAATTTTAATCACACAAAAAGGGAAAATAATTTTTTTCTTTTGCTAAAGAAAAATTTGTTTTTTTCCCTTAAAAACACAAAAAAAGAAAACTATGTTTCTAAAGAAAAATATGTTTTCTTTTTCTGTTTTTTAAGAAAAATAATTTTTTTCTTTTCTAAAGAAAAATTTGTTTTTCTTAAAAAAAAGCAGAAAAAGAAAAATATTGTTTTTTAAAAAATAATAAATATTATAATAAATAAAAATGTGTTTTTGAAAAGCAGTAAAAAAAAAATGTTTTTAAAGAAAAATTTTGTTTTGGAAAGAAAAGAAGGTTGAAAAAATTGTTTCTTTTGGAAAAAAAATACAAATTTTTTTTTAATTATTGTTGTAAATATTATAATCTTTTTTTCCCATAATTACAGAGATTTGAAACCGGAAAATATTCTACTGGACAGTGAAGGACACGTGAAATTAACGGATTTTGGACTTTGTAAGGAACACATTCAAGAGGGAACTGTAACACACACTTTCTGCGGCACTATCGAATACATGTCAGTCTTTTTTCTACTTTTTTAATCGCAATTTACAAAATTTACTTTTATAATATTTTTACTATTTTTTTGTTTTCTATTTTTTCTACTTTTTTCTATTGTTTCATCCTTTTATTTACTTTTTTTGTATTTAATATTTACTTTTATAATTAATATTTTTACTACTTCTTTCTACTTTTTCTATTCTATTTCTATTCCCTCTTTTTTCTACTTTTTTGTATTAACAAATTTTAAATAAGGGACAAAATTTCTGTTTCCAGGGCACCGGAAATTCTAACGAGAAGCGGACACGGAAAAGCAGTCGATTGGTGGAGTTTGGGTGCCTTGATGTTCGACATGCTCACAGGGATGGTAGGCAATATTTTCTATTCTCTTCTCTATTTAATTTTCATAATATTTTTTCCTCTTAATTTTTTATTTATCGATAAAATTGCTAAATTAATAAATTTATCGTTAAAAATCGTTAAATTAACAAATTTATCATTAAAATCGTTAGATTAACAAATTTATCGTTCGAATCGTTAAATAAAAATATTTTTCGTTCTCAGCCTCCTTTCACTGGTGCGGATCGAAGAAAAACGATAGAGAAAATTTTAAGGGGACGACTAACACTTCCACAGTACCTCACATCCGAAGCGAGGGATTTAATTCGCAAATTATTAAAAGTTAGTACAAGAATTCAAAAATAAATTTTATTTTTATTTTAAATTGAATGTTTTTTTAAACATTCTTTTCTCTTCGCAGAGACAAATTATTCAAAGGTTAGGCTCTGGACCGGAAGACGCCGAGCAAATAATGAAACACAATTTCTTCTCGCACATCAATTGGCAGGATGTTATTTCGCGAAAATTGGAACCACCCTTTAAACCCTCATTGGTAAGCGCAAAATAAATTTTTATCATTAATGAGCAAAAATTAAATTAAATATTAAATATTTAATTTTTACTTATTTATTATTAATATTAAAAGTCTTTTCGTTTTTTTTTCTAGAAAAGTGCAGACGATACGTCACAATTCGATGAACAATTCACAGCGACTGTGCCTGTCGATTCTCCGGTTGAAAGTACATTAAGCGAATCAGCAAATTTAATATTTCAAGTGAGATATTATTCATAAAAAATTTAGAATTTAAAAAAACCTAAAGAAATTATTCATAAGAAATTCGGAGAAATTTAAAAAAAAACCTAAAGAAATTATTCATAAGAAATTTAAAGAAATCGAAAGAAATTATTCATAAGAAATTTAGAGAAATTTAAAGAAATTATTAATAAGAAATTTAGGGAAATTTAAAGAAAGCTAAAGAAATTATTCATAAAAAACTGAATATAGGAAGTTATTTATAAAAAAATTGTAAATTAAAAAATTTAGAAAGGCACAAAGTTGATTGTAATTGAGAGTGAAAGATTATTAATCATCGTCATTGTTTTTTGATTTAGGGATTTACTTACGTGGCGCCGAGCGTTTTAGAAGAAATGTACACTCAACAGCCGCGAGTTGTTCATGCCCGAAGTCCCCGGAGGCCTTTCCTTGGAAGTGGACATAGCGGAAGTCTTCACAGTTTCTCGTCAAGAACACCAGACGCTCACTTGCGGCCTTCGGCTCAATTTTATCAGCACAGGTAATTCTTCAAACAAAAAAGAAGAAAATAATTTCCAAATTAATAAAATTCTAAATTTAATATCTATGCTTTAAAGATTAAAAAATAACAAAAATTAACTAAACAAAATTGTTTACAGTAAATTTTATTATCATTTAAAAAAAAAATAAATTCCTGTGAAAAATTTTTTTCTTTGAACAAAAATAATATTAAATCTTTAGAGAAATTTGATAGAAAATACTTGAGGCTCCAAAGAAGAATTTTATTATTTTTGAAAATATGTAATTGAATTTTGTTTTTTTTTTTTTGAAGAATTTATACAATTTTGGAAATAATTGAATTATTTCGAGAACCTTTATTTTTACGTTCGAAGATAATTGAGTTTTTTTCGAGATATTTTATTCAAATTTTCGAAAATAATTGCATTTGTAAAAAGGAATTTTATTAATTTTTAAGAAAACAAAATGTTTGTGAATAATTCTTTTAAAAATTTAGAAAAAGATTAAATTCTTTCGAGAAATTTCAACGCAATTTTATTAAAAAATAATTGAATTAATGCGAATAATTTTAATATTTCTGAACAAAATTAAATTCTTGGCAATAATTTTTATAGAATTTTTTTAAATAATTGAATTTTTTAAACAATTTTTTTAAATAATTGAATTTTTAAACAATTTTGAAAAAACTGAATTATTTTAAGAAATTTTATTAAAATTATTGTATTAAATGTAATTGAATATTGCGAAGAATTTTTATTATTTCTGAAAATAATTGAATTCTTATAAAGAATTTTATCAACATTTTTGGATTTCTTTAGAAGAATTTTAATAATATTTTTAAAAATACTTGAATTCTTCGAAAAATTCAATTACAATAATTAATTGAAAATTGAATTAAAAATCATTGAATTTCTGAAAAGTATTTTATTATTTATGAAAATAATTAAATTTTTTTGAGAAATTTTCTTGAAAATAATTAAAAAGCACAATTAAAATTGAATTAAATCTAATTGAATTAATTTAAAGAATTTTTTTTTAATATATGTAAAAATAATTAAATTCTTGACAATAATTTTCTTACAAATTTTAAAAATAATTGAATTCTTACTAAGAATTTTGACTGTTTTTTTAAAAATAATTGAATTTTTTGAACAGTTTTAAAGAAAATCAACTTGACAAATGAAAAATTTTATTAAAAATTGTATTTATCATCATTTGAATATTGCGAAGAATTTTTATTATTTCTGAAAATAATTGAATTCTTCTGAAGAATTTTTATAAAAAGTTTTTGAAAACATTGAAATCTTTAGAGAAATTATTATAAAAAATAAGTGAATTTTATTGAAAAAGTTTTATTAAATATTTTGATAATAATTGAATTTTTTCGATCAATTTTAATAGAAATTTTTAAAGAATTGAATTTTTCGAGAAATGCATTGAAAATTGAATTGAAAATAATTAAATTCCTGAAAAAAATTTTATTATTTATGAAAATAATTGAATTTCTACGAAGAATGTTGTTTTTCCTGAAAATAATTGAATTCTCATGAGAAATTTTATAGAAAATAATTTAATTTCTGAAAAGAATTTGATTAATATTTGAAAATATTTTAATACGAAGGAGAAAGTTTGTAGAAAATAATTGAATTTCTGAAAAAAATTTTATTATTTATGAAAATAATTGAATTTCTACGAAGAATTTGATTAATATAAATGAAAATATTTGAATTCGAACGAGAAAGTTTGTAGAAAATAATTGAATTTCTAAAAAGAATTTTATTATTTATGAAAATAATTGAATTTTCTCAAAAATTTTAAAAATAATTGAATTCTTTAAAAAAATTTTACTATTTTTTAAAATAATCGAATTTTTCAAACGATTTTTGAAGAAATTCAATTATTTTGAGAAATTTTTTTCAAATTATATTAAAAGTAATTGAATATTAGGAAGAATTTTTATTATTTCTGAAAATAATTGAAATCTTTAATATAATTTAAGAAAATAATTGAATTTCTGCAAAGAATTTTGTTAAGTACGAAAATAATAGAATTCATTGGAGAAATTTTCTTGAAAATAATTGAATTGCTTTACAAAGAATTTTGTTTTTTCTAAAAAGAAATTGTATTGAAAATAATTGAATTAATGCGAATAATTTTAATATTTATGGAAAAAAATTAAATTCTTGCCGAAAATATTACTAAAAATTTTTTTAAATAATTGAATTCTTAAGAAGAGAATTTTACTATTTTTAAAAATAATTTAATTTTTTAAACAGTTTTGTAGAAATTCAATTATTTTGAAATTTTTTTTTAAAATTGTATTAAAAGTAATTAAATATTGAGAGAGAATTTCATTATTTCTGAAAATAATTGAATTCTCTGGAGAAATTCAATTATTTTCAATTATTTAAATAATAAAAATGATTTATGAAAATAATTCAATTTCAGGGAAGAATTTTATTAATTTATAGAAATAATTGACTACATTTAAGGAATTTTAATGAAAACTTTTGGAAAATGTCGAATTCTATCGAAGAATTAAATTAAAATTGAATTAAATGTAATTGAATTTATTTAAAGAATTTTATCAACATTTTTTTTTTTTTATCAATTTTAGGCACCATAATACCGGAAATGACAGCACGGAAGACATGGAAATGGACGTGAGTCATGCACCCGGACATTTATAGTGCTCAAAAAATAACTCAACAGAAGCCACCGAAATTCTCTAAAAGAAAAATCCAGAAAATACAGAGAGAAAAAAACAAAATTGATATACAAAACGAAAAATTTCAAAGTTAAAAATCCCTTTTATGCAAAAATTTACTTTGAAATCAGAAAAAGTAAGAGAGAAATATTTCGGTGACTCGAATTAGTTAATTTATCACGCAGAACTGATCCCTTTTTCTTCAAGGTATGTATAGAAAAGAAGAATTATGAAATTTAGACAAAAATTTCGAAATTTCGAGGAGAATAAAAAATTGATAAATTCGGAGACAAAGGAATCGGCTCTGATTTGCCAATAGGATACAATTTTTTTCGACGAAATGTCGATGAGAAAATAATAATTAATATGATAGTCGAGGGGAAAATTAAGCCGTTCGAGGAGAAAAAATATTTTTTTTTTTGAAACTAATTTCAATTATATTTTTAATTCAAAATTAATTTCAATTAATATTTTTTAATTTAAAATTTACCTTAATTTGAATTATATTCTTAATTTTAAATTAATTTCAACTGTATTTTTAATTTAAAATTTCATTTCAATTATATTTTTAATTCGAAATCACTTTCAATTATATTCTTAATTGAAAATTACGTTTAATTATATTTTTAATTCAAAATTACTCTCAATTATATTTTGAATTCGAAAATTACTTTCAATTATACTTTTAATTCAAAATCACGTTCAATTATATTTTTAATTCAAAATTACTCTCAATTATATTTTGAATTCGAAATTAAAAACCGAATTAAAACAAAGAAGATCAAAATTAAAAATTCGATTCTTTCAATATCGATTTATTTTTAACTTGAATATTGATTTATTTTTGAAAAATTGTCAGAATTAAAAATCGTAATTTTAGAAAATTAAATCCTGACAGAAAACAAAAGAAAAAAATGATCAAAAAACATTGATTACAAAAAAGTAAATAAAACTGAAGAAACGTTTATAAAAACGATAAATTTTCAGGAGAAATTTCTCGAGGTTGCTTAATTTTCAATCTCTCGATAATCTTTTTTGAAAGAAACTAACAGGAAAAATAATAAAGTTTTCAAAAAAAAAAAAAAAAAAAACAGAAACACAAAGCTTTGTAAATAGTCATGTAATGAAATTGAAAAAAAGTAGGTTTTTAAGTTTCAATAGTGTTGGTCCAAAGTTCGAGAAGATAAAAAATAAATAATTAAACAAAAAATCATTACAATGAGAAGAAAGTATTCGGACAATTAATATATTTCCGACTTTTTCTCAATAAAGCACCCGGTGTTTTTTTTTCTTCGTTTCGTCTTCGATAGAATTTCGAGAAAAGAAAAAAATTAAAATTTCTGTTAATTATAATTATTATAATAAGGAAAAAATTTGAAAATTAATAATTAAAAATTAATAACTAAAAATTAAAAATTGAAAATTGAAAATTAAAAATTAATAATTAAAAATTAATAATTAAAAATTAATAATTAAAAATTGAAATTTTAAAATTAATTAGTTAATAATTTAAAAAAAATTGTCTATAGAAAAAAACACAAAAATTTAGAAAAACGAATCAGAATTTTTTTTTTTACTAAACTCGAGATAAAAAAGTGACAAATCAAAAAAAAGAAAAAAAATGTGTGTGGCATTTAATTATATATTATATTATATAAATATGTTAAATATTGAATTTTCGATAAATTTATTGATTGACGAATAATCCAATTTACAGTGATTTCTCTTTTTAAGATAGCAAATGCGCTGCCAAACGAGTCTCTTGTACGAAAAACAATTAATGAATTTTTATTATTTTCAATTTATTTTTTTTTTTTTATTTTTATTTTATTTTTTTCAACAATTTTTTTCTCGAAATAGTTTTTTTTTCAATTAACTAAAAAATAACTAAAAAATAATTTTTAGTTTTTAGATTTAAAAAATTCTTTTTTAGCCCCAAAAAGTGAATAAATATATTTTATTAATTTTTAAGAAATATTTTCAAAATTGCAAAAGAAAAGGAAATTTTCTTCTAATTTTCGACAGAGAGGGAAATATTTTTTTTTATTAATTTTTAAAGCAAAAGAATATTTTTAAATTACAAAAGAAAAAATAAAATTTCTTCTACTTTTCGACCGAAAATAATTTATTTTACAAAAAACTATTTTACTTTATAAAAAAAAGTATTAAAATATTTTATAAACATTTAATTAATTAAATATTTTCTATTTTATAAAAATTTATTAACATTTTTGATTTTATAAAAAATTTATTAAATATTTTCGATTTTATAAAAATTTTCTTAACATTTTTAATTTTATAAAAATTTTCTTAACATTTTTGATTTGATAAAAAATTAATTAAATATTTTCGATTTTATAAAAATTTTCTTTTTGATTTTACAAAAAAATTAATTAAATATTTTCGATTTTATAAAAAAAATTAATTACCATTTTTGATTTTATATATAAAAAAAACACAAAAAAGAAAATTTAGAAACAAATTCTAGTTACAGAAAAAAAATAAATCTCTAAATAACTCGTAATGAATAATAAATAAATCTCGATGTAAAAACTTTTTATCAGCACTGTTTTTTGCACTCGCCGTTTGCGCATTGAATTGTAGAGAAAAAAAATGAAGCAATAAGAGACCCGTAAATAAATAAATAATAATTATTATTAACGTAATAGTAATATTTAAATGCAAGAAAAAAAAGTAATAAAAAAACATTGTAATTTCGCGTGTGATTTATTCCGATTTCTCAGACTGCCCAAGTGTTCACAAAATAAAATGAAAAATCGTAACCAAGTTTATTGTTATATAAATAATCTTATATAATATAAATAATTATTACGAGAATCAGTTTTAAAGAATAAAAAAAATGAACCACTATATAAATATATATTTATTCTGCTAATAGGAATTTACATTTATATATCGAGAAATTTAGTTTAGTGACGAGCTCCGAAAATGAATTTTAAGGTTATGTTTGTGGAATTATTTTCTTAGTTATAAAAGTTGCGGTTTGATTTTTTTAAAAACAAAAGAAAAATCATATTTTTTGTGTTCGTTATTTTAATGTAAATGAAGAATTGAACTTTAAATTCAGAAGATTCTCTGTATTTTTATTTTTTAAAATTGCTAACATAACCTCAAATTCTTGCTTCGAGAAGAGGAGCGTCGTCATAAATAGAGAATTAATAATTGGAAAGAGAATAAATTCGAAAAAAAATTCAATATCGATTCGAGAATATGTAAAAAAAACCGACCGCTCATTTGGATATGACAGAATTTTTTTATTTGGAAAAAATTTTTAGAAAAAATTAAGTAAGATTGACTTATTAAAAAAGTGCGCGTACTGCATTGAAATTTGTAAAAAATAAATTTTAAGTACATATAAATTGTGTAATATCGAAAATTCTATCGACGTTTTTCTTTTTTTTTTCTTAATTTTTTTTTTTATAATTGTCAAATTTTATTATGGCATATATTTAATCTATATACTATTATTACATATGCGATCTAATAAATCTGCATTACTATAATAAAAAAGAGATTTAATTCTATTACCCACTTATTTTAGGTTAGAAAAAAGTATTTTTTTTACAAGATTTTTTTTTAAAGTTAAATAAATATTATTAAATAACTTTTTGTTTTTAGAGTTAGAAATAATACAAGATTATTCGCTTAGTTTTTTCTGGTTGTAAGTAATTGGGCGCCAGATGTTAACAAAAACCTTTCCTTTTCGGATCTTCTTCTCGCAGTGTCACAAATATTAATATAGTTAATTAATTAAAACTTGATTTAAATTTAATAAAGACAAATTGGTATTAAAATTTCTAGAAACAAATGAAATCATTTCTTTTTAGATTATTGTCAGAAACTAAAATTTTTGGAAGAAAACAATTTTTTTAGAAATTATTATTTTTTTTACCTATATAAGTAATTTATGTGAAGAAATTTATTTTTGTAACTTGAATAAATTCCGAATTCCACATGCGGTTCGCTATCGTGAGTAAACAAACGAAAATAAAGATTCTACAGGATTTGAATGGAAATGAAAGGAAAAAAAAGTGTGTAATTAATTAACTTTCAATACTAATAATCGAATGTAGAAATTAAACCGAAAGAGAATACTAATAAATTTGGCGAAAAAGACAAAATTTTTTAAAGAACGAACGGAACGAACCGTTTAGACCGACTGTCAAAGGCTTAATGTCAATTCACAACGTTCACTAGATGCAACACCACGGCGCCAGGGTTGGGCAGTCACTCGTCGAGTCAAATCCCTTGTAGACAACGACAAAAAAAATATGTTTTTGACATAGTAAAATAGGTAAAAACACTTATTTTTTACCCCCGTCTGGCAAAAATTACATTATTTAAACTTTTTTCAAGTAAAAAACGAGGTATTTTACCGTAGAAAAAAATTAGAGGTATTTTTACGTGTCCAACCTGTCCAACCCTGACCATGGCAGAAATGAAACTTACCAGGCCTGCCAACGCAATTCCTTCGTTTTTCCTTCTATCACGTTGGTCAAACTGCGCAATTGACAGTTATTTAAAAACTACACTTTTGTTTACATTCCGTTTGTCCCGCACACATTGTTTTTTCATATACGTTAATTCACGTTAATTTTCAACATTTTCAATAAAAAATTAAAGTTCATATTAGTGTGAAAAATGGAAATAACTTCGGAGGAATTACGTAAAAAAATTCAACAACTATTTCCCGATCGTTCGTACAATCTCACTAGTGAAATACTCGACGAACTTTGCAGTGATTCAACGTCAAGAGATTTTTTATTATGGTTTAGCTCTGAATTATCGCCGGACAATGTTTTAACAGAAGAGGAAATTAAATTGTAAGTAAAACAAAAGACTATTCTTAATTCTTATTGTTATTTCTATTTTTGTCATTTGCAGAAACTTTCTTTCCTTTAGTATGTCAATTTTCAATTTCAAAATTCGTGAACATTTTTAGGTTATGTTTATTGCGCTATTGTTAAAATCGTTAAAGTCTCATTGTAAACAATTTGTTTTATTATTATGTATTATTACCGATGATTATTATTAGTATTAATATTATTATTATTATAAGAACATTTGGACATTTTTAGGTTATGTTTATTATTTTTTATTGTTTAAAATCGTTAGCGATTTTAAGCAAGAATTTCAACATTTTTCTCATAAATAAACAAATTCTTTAGAGCAATTCAATTATTTTAAATACAATTTTAATCAAATTTCTCTAAAGAATATAATTTTTTTTTAAATATTTATTAAATTCGATTATTTTCAAGAGTTTTAATATAAATTCAATTATTTTCCACAATTTCAATGAAATTCTTTTAAAAAAAAAATAATTATTTTCAAAATTTTAAATAGAATTCCTTAAAAAAATTCAATTATTTTCAAAAAATCAAATACAATTCTTGGAAATAATTCAATTATTTTTATGAATTGTAAAATTCTGCGCATAATTTAATTATTTTCGTAAATAAGAAAATTCTTCACAAGAATTCAATTACAATTGAAAGTTTTAATAAACTTGTCAGCAAAAATTTAATTATTTTCATAAATTATAAAATTCTTAAAAAAAATCAATTACTATCATAAATTATCAATTTAATACTAAAAATTAAATATTAAAATTTCTAGAGAGGGACAAATTAAAAAATCCGGAAAATGGCTGAAAGACGATGAATTGGATGAATGTCTCGCTGAGGCGACAGCTGAAAATCCGGATCTTCTACAAATTTTAGAATCAGATGTTAATAAGGACGATTTATCGGCGAATTTCTCTTCTATTAAAATAGCGCACAATTTTGACGAAAATTATCTACATTCTCTTGAAATGGGAACCAAGAACTTTAAGTAATTTCACTTTTTCTTTTTTTTTTTAATTTAGAAATTTAATTTTCATTTGAAATCGAAAACTTTTTTTTCTTTTTTTGAATTTAGAAATTTAATTTTCTTTTCATTTCAAGCAATAATAATAAATTGAAATTAATAGAGAAAAAAATAATCAATTAAAAATTATTATCATTTTAATTTCTATTAATAAATCTTTATTATTGTAATAACTTTTTTATTATTATTTTTTTATTATTTCTATTGTTATTAATTTTTTTTGCCATTTCCATTACTATTGATAATTTTACTGATATTATTATTGTTCTTTTTTTTAAATTTTCGTACAGAAATATAGAGAATAAATTGGATGAGAGAATAGAAAGGGAACAAGACGAATTGGCGAAATTGAAATTTGGGGAAAAACTTGCTTTTGAAGAATGTCTCGAAATAATGGAAAAATATGAGTCAATTCAACGTCGACTTTCAGAGCAAGTTGAACAGCTTGTTACTATTTATTCCGACGCTTCTCAAAAGGTTTGTCATTTTTGATTTCAAATTGAAAATTATTTTTTCTTTAATTTCTCTGTGTTTAAAATTTTTTATGTATTTAATCGATTTTAATGTATTTGTTTATTCTTTTCGCCTTTGTTTTTAAGGCTTTTTATTACTTTTTGCCCCCATTTTTAATGTCATTTTTTTAACTTTATTTTTAATTTCTTTACTAATTTTTTTTTGTCTTTATTTAATTTGTTTGCTTTTATTTATTTTTGTCGACTTTATTTTTAAGGTTTTCTATTATTTTCTGACCCCATTTTTAATACCTTTATTTTTTTTTGCTTTTATTTTTAATTTTTTTTATTTATTTTTTTTGCCTTTATTTCTTTTGTTTGCTTTTATTTTGACTTAAATTATTTTGTTTGGTTTTATTTATTTTGTTTACATTTATTTATATTTTTGTCTTCATTTATTTTGTTTGCCTTTATTTTTTCTTTTCATCTTTATTCTGTAAACTAAATTTTAATAAATTTTTAGAAACGATTTGTTAAGTTTAAGAATATATTTACAGAAATGTGCACCGAGTCTTTGGACGCAATTGCCTTTGGATTTATTTATAAAACATATGGAAACTTATAGTGAATATTTAAAACTTTACATTAAAAAAGAATTTGGGACTGATGAAGTTAATGAAGACGAACGCACGTCTTCGATTAATACCGAGCCCGATATTAATTTGGACTATTCCGACGAGAAGCAAAATTTGGAGAAGAAAATTCTCGAGTTGAAAACTATTCAACAAAGGTAGTTTTTGTACTTTTGTAGTTTTTTTACTTTCGTATTTTTTATATTTTGTATTTTTCGTGCTTTTGTATTTTTCCTACTTTTGTACTTTTTTATTTTTTGTATCTTTCATATCTTGTTATATTTTGTATTATTCGTACTTTTGTATTTTTTGTATTTTTCGTGCTTTTTGGAATTTTCTGTAGTTTTCGTATTTTTTAATATTTTGTATTTTTTTATTTTTCGTATTTTTCGTACTTTTGAAATTTTCTGTTGTTTTCGTGTTTTTATATTTTTTATTTTCCGTACTTTTGTATATTTTGTAGATTTCGGAATTTTTTTGTATTTTCTGTATTTTTCGTATTTTTTTATATTTTCCATTTTTCGTACTTTTGTATTTTTTGTATTTTGCGAATTTTATATTTTTGTATTTTTTAAATCTTTCATGCTTTTGAAATTTTCCGAATGTTTTCGTTTAATTTGCCTTAATTTATATTTTGTATTTTTCGTCCTTTTGTATATTTTGTATTTTTGTATTTTTTTTTAAATTTAATTTTTGTACTTTAAAAATTTAATTTCGTACTTTTAAGAGTTTAATTTTTGGTATTTTTAAACTTTATATTTCTATTTTTGTATTTGTTTAATTTTATTAATCATTTTTTTAAATTCTATTTTATATTTTTGAATTTTTTCAACAACTTCTTTTACAATAGACGAGAAATAATTTTTAAATTCTCTTTCAAAAATTTTTCCAGGCTAAATAAATCAAAATTATCGCAAATTCTCGCTAAAGGACGAAAGGAAGCAACACAGGCGATGATTGATTGCGCGCAAAAAATTTACAATCATGGAAATGTTTTAATGCCCAAAACTTTAGCGCTTCTCAAGTGAGTGGAAATTAATTTTTTTTAATTACCAAATAATATTTTTTAATTATTAATTGTAATTAATTAATTAATTGAATTTGAAATGAATTTGATTTAAATTGAATTTGAATTGAATTTAAATTGAATTTGAATTGAATTGAATTAATTATCGAATTGAATTGAATTTGAATTGAATTAATTATCGAATTGAATTTGAATTGAATTAATTATCGAATTGAATTCGAATTGAATTGAATTTGAATTGAATTTAAATTGAATTTGAATTGAATTTGAATTGAATTTGAAATGAATTAAATTTGAATTGAATTCATTATCGAATTGAATTTGAATTGAATTGCATTTTATTTGAATTAATTATCGAATTGATTTTGAATTGAATAGAAACTGAATTAATCGAAATTCGTGTTTTCCATCACAGAGCGGAAATTATGGAACTAAAAGTGAAACGTGACAATTTAGAGAAACAAGTGACAATTTTAAGGGAACATCAAATTCCCGAGAGTGTCGATAAATTTGTGAGTTCAATGTTAAATAAAATTCTTGTTGAAAATGCAAAGGCAACGGATGAACGGAGGGAATTTTCAATAAAAAAATTGAAAAATCTTCTCTCCCTCGTAAGAAATCGCGGCCACATGCATTCGGATTTACTTTATATTCTAGTTGAGCTGGAAAATCAAAAACTAACACAAATCGAGGAATTTGTCACTGACGTTCGTAATTATCTCGAAATGGAATATTCGTCGTGTACCAAACGTTACGTAAGTATTTAACTCTAAATTCACAGTTATAGTTTTTCTAATTTAGATTTTCCTTTTTTTTCCTTAATTTTTCTATTTCATTAGGCAATTTTCTCTTTTAAATAGTTTTTGATTTTAATTAAAAAATAATTTCTGTACCTATTTCTTTCTTATTTCTTTTTTTATTATTTATTTCAATTCCTGTTTTTTATTTTTTCAAAAATAGTTTTTAGTTGTATTTTGAAAATAATTTCAATTTGATTTCTTTTTTTTTATTATTTATTTGAATTCATGTTTTTTATTTTGTTAAAAAATAGTTTTTTGGTTTTAATTTAAAAATAATTTCTATATTTCTTTCTTATTTTGTTTTTTTTTCTTTTCTTTCATTATTTATTTTAATTCGTGTTTTTTATTTTGTTAAAATTAATTTTTGGTTTTAATTTAAAAATAATTTCTAAATTTCTTTCTTATTTTTTCTTTTTTTTTATTATTTATTTTAATTCATGTTTTTTATTTTGTTAAAAATAACTTTTATTTGAAATAGTTTTTAGTTAACATTTTTTTTGTTAAAGTTGTTTTTAGTTAAAATACTTTTGGTTAAAATGTTTTTGGTTAAAACAATTTTTAGTTAAAATATTTTTGATTAAAAGTAAGTTTTTAGTTAAAATATTTTTGGCTAAAATAGTTTTCAGTTTTAGTTAAAAAATAACTTCAATTTTCTTTCTCTTTTTTATTTCTTCTTTAATTATTTATTTAAATTCCTTTTTTTTATTTTATCAAAAATAGTTTTTAGCTTTAGTTAAAAAAATAACTTCAATTTTCTATCTCTTTTTTATTTCATATTTAATTATTTATTTCAATTCCTGTTTTTTATTTTGTTAAAAATAGTTTTTAATTTTAAATTAAAAAAAATAGTTTTTAGTTGAAATTTAAAAAAAAAATAGTTTTTAGTTCTTAATTAATTTAAATTTTTTTCCACAAACAGATTTGGATGGTGAAAGCGAAAAATCAATTGAACAGCTCCTCATTCGAAAATGACAATTTTTTCATTAAATATTTTACAGCCATGATGGAAATTGAGGAAAATCAAAATTCACTGGGAATGGCAATTGAGAAATTTAGTCAAATTTTGGAAGAAAATGAGAAATTAAGTGAAAATATTTGCGAGTCAATGAATAATAATGTAAATAGTTTACAATTATTGTGAGTATTTTTCCTCTTTTTATATTTACTTTAATTTTATTTTTCTATTAATATTAATTTTCTAAAAATTATTTTTAACAAAAATTCATTTAAAATGCGAATTTTTAAGTTTAAAATTTATTAGTTTAAATTTAATTAACAGAAAAAATGTTAAATTATTAATTGAATTCTAATTTTTCAGTGATCGAAATATGATTGAAAATTATAATCGTGAAATACAAAATTCCGGGGGATTTTCCCTTGAGGTGGAAAATCAAATTGTTAGAATGGAGAAAAATCTTTGTGGAGTACAGACTGAAGTTATGATTGTTAGAAATAAATTAAAGGAAATGATGGTGAGAATTATTTTTTGATTATTTTAATTATTTATTTGCTTTTTTATTTAATTAGATTTTTACTTTACTATTTTTTTTACTCCTTTACTTCGGTATTTTTTAACTTTTCTATTTTTTTACTTCTCTATTTCTTTTACTTCTTTATATTTTAAATTCTTTATTTTTTACTTTCACTGTTTTTTACTTTTTTTTATTTTTTTCTTTATTATTTTTTTTACTTCTATATTTTTTTACTCTCTCTGTTTTTTACTTCTTTACTTATTTACCATTTATTTATTAACTATGTTTATAATTATTTATTTATTTGTTAAGAATGTAAGCGGGTTTAGAAATAAAAACGAAATTTTTTTGTCACTTTTTATAATTTTTTTATTTTATTTTTTTTTTAATGTATTATTACATTTTTTTTATTTAAAAAAGTAGAAAATTCTTTTCCTTGAAAATTTGAATAAATAGGAAATTTCTATCTTTATAATTTTAAAGACCAGGAAAAGTTTTTTTTTGTAATTCAAAAACAAAATTTCTTCTTTTTTGTAATTTAAAAAAAATTAGAAATTTCTTCTAGAAAAAATTTGTTTTTTTGTAACTTAAAAAAAGTATAAAATTTTTTTCTTACAGGAAAAAATAAATGGATTAGAGAGAGAAAAAACGATTCTTTGGCAAAAATTTCTAGCCGAGCCGGAAGAATTAAAACGAAGATACGAACAATTAATGGAAATGTCGAATCAAGTTCGTTGAGAATAAATCTTTTTTTTTCTTCTTTTTTTTTTCTTTTGTTGCGATTTTCATTTGAAACTCGGCTGCTTTATCCAATATCCCCAGGGTGCAAATAATTCGCCATTTTCTTCTGCCATTGGTCCACGAAAAACTTTTATTTTCACTCGCGGCACTTCTACAGAAAAAAAAACAACAACGAAAGGTACAGAATTATTTATTTATTATTTTATTTATTTAATTTCAACGAAATATTTTTATTATATAGAGAAATAAATATTTTTAATTACCATCTTCATTGGATTCTTCCTCGTATTCGAATTCTTCGTCTTTTTCTTCTGCTGCGTTGTCTTCATTCTCGTAAGAATTCACCATTTTGAGAATGAGACACAAACTGAGGAAAAGAGTAGAAATCTGCGAAATAAAAATTTTTTGATTATTTGTCAGGGAAATTTTTTTTAATTTCAAATTTTCTTTCAATTTTTAGTTTTTTTAGTTTTCGAATAATTTTTAATTTCGAATTATTTTTTAATTTTGAATTCTTTTCAGTTTCGAATTATTTCTTAATTTCGTATTTTTCAATATTTCGAATTCTTTTCAGTTACGAATTATTCTCAATTTCGAATTATTTTTTAATTACGTATTTTTTTCCAATTAGTATTTTCTTTGATAAGTTTCGTTTTTATTTAGAGTTTTTTTTAGTTTCAAATTCTTTAAGTTTTGAATTTTAACTTTGAATGTTTATTAATTTTTAATTATTTTTAGTTTCAATAATTTTCCCTTTAAATTTCGGATAATTTTAATTTCAGACTTTTTCAATTTCTAATATTTTTTTTTTATTTTTAATTTCTTTTCAATTTTTCTTAGTTTCGAATTATTTTTTCCAATATAATTTTGAATTAATTAATTTATAATTTTGAATAAATTAAATTTATAATAATTAATTAATAATTGAGAATTTCCTTTATTTTCAATTTTTTCTATTTTCAATTTTTTTCTATTTCGAGTTTATTTTTTTAGTTTTGAATTAATTTCCCTCTTTGATTTTTATAAATTTCCGGAAATTTTCTTTTCGTTTTTAATTTTTTTTTTAATTTCGAATTTTTATTTAGTTTTTATTACTAATTTCAAATTTTTCAATTTAATTTTTTCAATTTCGAATTTTTATTTAGTTTCGAATTTATTTTAGTTTCGAATTTTTCTATTCAAATATTAACTTAATTTTTCTATAATTAAAAAATTTATTTCTATACACTCACTGTTAGAAATTTCATGTTTTTGATACGAAACGTAAAAATAAACTAATCACGATTTCTGGGAATTTCTAGTTTTTATCAAAACGATAAATAATAGAGCGTGAAGATCAGTTTTCTTTTTCTTTTTTTTCTAATTTCACTATCATCCAGGAGAAAGTGTTTGAAATTTACTTTCCCATATTTATTAATAATTTAATTTACACAATTTTTATTTTCCATTTTTTTTTCAATTTTCAATTTTTTTTCCATTTTTTTTCCATTTTTCTTTAATTTAAATGTTTTTTTTGTCTCGAACTGTTTTCAAATTCGAATTTTATTTTTAATTCAATAAAATTGAAAATAAAATTTATTCGAAATTGTCATTGTTGTTATAAATTTTTTTTTAAATCATCTGTAAAAAATTCAATTTTCAAAATTTTTGTTAAATTTATTTAATTTTTCCCGATTTTTAAATTACTTTTTTAATAAATTTTAATAAAGTTCTGGAAAAAAATTCAATTACTTGAAAAAATTATTTATTCAGATATTTATTAACTTATTTATACTTCAATAATTTAAAAAAGAATAGAAAAACGGAAAAAATAATTGAAAAAATTGAAAAAATTATTGGATATATAGAAAAAATTGCAAAAATAATTGAAAATATAATTGAAAAAATTGTTGAAAAAATTGTTGAATATTTAGAAAAAATTGCAAAAATAATTAATAAAATAATTGAAAAAGTAATTGAAAATATAATTGAAAAAATTGAAAAAAAATTGAAAAAAGGAAAAAATAATTGAAAAAATTGAAAAAAGAATATAAAAAAGGAAAAAATAATTGAATAAATTTGAAAAAATTGAAAAAGGAAAATAAAATTGAATAAATTTGAAAAAATTGAAGAAAGGCAAAAATAATTGAAAATACAATTGAAAAAATTGAAAAAAGGAAAAAATAATTGAAAAAATTTGAAAAAATTGAAAAAATAATTGAAAATATAGAAAAATTAATTGATAAAATTATTGAAAAAATAATTGAAAATATAATTGAAAAAATTGTAAAAAGAATTGAAAAAAGAAAAAAATAATTGAAAAAATTGAAAAAAGAATTGAAAAAAGGAAAAAATAAAAATAATAAAAAAAATAGTAAAAAATAATTTTTTTTTGCATGAAAGGAGGAGAATTAATAAATTTTCTTTTCGTTTCGTTTTTTTGTTAAAATTGTTGATATATATTTTCTTCATTTTCGTAATATGGAAGCCCCTTTATGTTTATATAATAATCTGTAACGCATAAATATTCTATTCAACTTGTTTTTTTTTTTATAGTAATATAACATCTAAAGATTGATATTTTTTGTATTCCTCTGTTCACAATACTATTATCTCAAACACATACAATTATTTTAGTTTTTAAAATTGGAAGACATTCAAGAGTTTTCAAAACACATTCGAAAATCCTTGTTTTCAAAAAATTTCTCTCAAAAACAATGATTTTTTATTTTTTATACACACAACTTTTTTTTCACCTTTTTTTAATAATTAATCTCATCTGGTCAACAGTTTTTTATTTTTTTTTTGTATATATATTTTTACTTATATATATTTGTAATACAATAGTTTTCTTTTTGATAAAAAAAAAAACAGACAAAAATTCTTGTTACTTTGTAAAAGAAATTTTTTTTCACTAATTATTTTTCATTTCCAGAAATTATTTTTTATTTTTCCAAAGAAAAAAAGAGAATTTTAGTTTTCTTTTAAATAGAAATTTCTTTTTTTGTAAATTATTTTCCATTTGAATTTTTTCTTTTCAAAGAAAAATGAAAAAATATTTTTCTTTGAAATTGAAAAAACAATTTGTAAATTTGTAAATTATTTTTTTCTTTTTCAAAGAAAAATTAAAGAATATTTTTTTTTGGAAAAGAAAATAATTCGTATCTGTAAATTATTTTTATTTGTCATTTATTTCAATTTTTTTTGCTTTTTTTTGTTTCGAAAAGAAAACAATAATTTTTTAAATTCTAAATTGAAAAGTAGAAAATTGAAATTTTTTTTATTCTTTGGAAAATTTTTTGATTTTTCGGAAAATTTTCTCGTTGTCAAATTATTCTTTATTTTTGTATATATAAAAAGCGTTGACGAAAGAAAATTTTTGTGCAAATTTCATTCATTTTTTTTTCTTTCTTTTTTTCCGTAAAATTAGTTTGAAAACGAAAAATAGTTTTTTTTAACGTTTTATATCGTAAACGGTATAATATATTAGGTTTATTATAATTATATATATATTTTTTTTTTTGGAAGACATCATTTGGAAGACGCACTTTACAATTAATATGTTAACATAAATGCAAAAGGCTCCGTTGAATTTTTTTACTATTAAAAAAATTTTTTTTTTCGAAAAAGAAATTTTATTGCAAATAAAAAAATAAAAAAAATTTCGAAAAAAAAAAAAAAAATGTCGAATTTCGTTTTTGAAAAATTTTTCGAAAATTATTTTTAAATCGGAGCACTTTTGCACTTTAGAATTATTATTAATATTAAGAATAATATTATTATTATTAACATTAATAATAATAACAATAATAATATTAATATTAAGAATAATTAAATTAAATAATTATTAATATTAATATTATTATATTTTATTATTATTATTATTATTTTTTTTTTTTTATTATAATTATCATAATTATAATTATGGCTACAAGCTAATTTTTTAGCTTTTTATACTTCTACATTTTGTTATTGTCTTTATTTTGCAAAGACTTTTCTCATTTTTGTTTTTTTTTGTTCTGGAAGACATTCGTTTCGACTATAATTATTATTCGTACTTAATTGTACATTTTTTCCTTTTTTTCTCTCTCTTTTTTTTTACTCATTCTTATTTATTTTTATTTATTTTTATTTATAATATTTATACACGTCAAATATCGCTTCGTGGAAAAAAAAAGTTTCCAAACTCTCAAATTTTTGTAATACAAAAAAAATTATTGTCTCGTTTTTTTTAATATTAGAATTTTTTTTTTTTTTTTTTTTTGAGGGAAAAAATTTGTATTTTGGAAAAATATTTTTCCTTAAAGCGATGTTTTGAAAAAAAAAAGTTATTTTTCTTTTCTAATTTCAATTTTTTATAAAATTTTCAGAATCTACTTGCGATAAAACTTGTATAGAAGTTTTTCTTTTTTTCTTTTGTAAATATTAATTTTTTTTTTGGTATTTAATTACTAATTGTCTAAACAATGGAAGACATTGATTCTTAAAATTATTTTCTTTCTTTCTTTCTTTCTCTTTTTTGGCATTCTCTAGGGACAAACATTTTTTGGGAAATAAATTAATTTATAAATTTCTTAATTAATAAATTTTTTAATTAACAAATTTAGCAATTAATAAATTCCCTAGTTAATAAAATCTCTAGTTAATAAATTTATTAATTAAGTAATTTTCAAGTTGATAAATTTATTAATTAAGAAATTTCTTAGTTACTAAATTTCCTAGTTAATAAATTAATTGATTTATAAATTTTCTAATTAATAAATTAAAAAAAAAAAAAAAAAAAAAAAATTTTTTTTAGTAGTTAGTAAATTTCTGAGTTAATAAATTACTGAGTGAATAAATTTATTAATGAATAAATTAATAAAAATTAAAAATAAATAAATAAATTAATAAAGTAATAAAAAATTGTGCGATAAAAAAAAAAAAAAAATTTTTTTTTTAGTAGTTAGTAAATTTCTGAGTTAATAAATTACTGAGTGAATAAATTTATTAATGAATAAATTAATAAAAATTAAAAATAAATAAATAAATTAATAACGTATTAAAAAATGTGCGATAAAAAAAAAAAAAAAAAAAAAATTTTTTTCGCTTTTTTAAAACGGAAGACCAATTTCAAAAGCCTCAATTAACGCACTACCCGAATCGTAAACGCCAATAACGCCAAAGAGAACGCCCAAGAATATAACGAAACAATCGTAGGCCGCCGCGCTCATGTCCATTGAATTTCGCTTGAGTTTCAAATGAAAATAACAGGGCCAAATAAATGAGAGCATGGTGCCAGTGAATGAGCCAATGAAACCCATGAGAATGCCAAAGTGCGGTATAAAAACGGCCATGAAAATTGTGAATAAAATCACGCCAACGCGCCAGGCGAGACCCCAGACTTTCAATTCACGATCCACCGTCCAAATTGTGGGGAATATTGTTTTTGGTCGGCCGCGGAAAAATGCCCTCTCAAGTAATTCACAGGCTGCGTAATATGGGAGTGGATAGGAGAGAACTGCCTTCACGACGAGGCAAGTGTTCACCAGGCCCTTGAATCCAGTTGAATGGAGATTATTTGTTATCTCCTGTTGTGTGTCGTCCTGAAAATTACAAAGAAAAGGATAAATTTTTAATTAATATTCTTTTTTGGTTATTATATCATTTTTTTCGTCTTAACCCTTTCATTAAAAAAAAAAAAAAAAAAAAAAAAAAAAATTACAAAGAATTGAAATTTTGTACATTTTTCTTCTTTTTTATTAGAATTTATAAGCTTCATTATTTTTGGGCTCTTTTTAAAACACTTTGCCTATTGTATTGTCTTAAACTTTAAATTAAAGAAAAAGAAAAAAAATTTTTTGAAAAATCGATATTTTCAAAATTTGACATTTTTTTTCCCTATTTTATGGCATTTAGTTTAATTATTTTTGGGCTCTTCGAAAACACTTTACTTATTAATTAATCTTCAACCTTTGGTAAAAATTCGAAAATTATCAAAAATTCAAAAAACCGAATTTCTTAAAATTTAAAATTTTTCCTTCTTTTTTATGGCATTTAACTTCAATATTTTTGGGCTCTTCAGAAATACTTTACTTAATTAAAATTCTCCACCCTTTGGTAAAAAATCAAAAATTTTGAAAAAATATCAAAAATTCGAAAAACCGAATTTTCTAAAATTCAACATTTTTTCTACTTTTTTATGGCATTAAGCTTCAATATTTTCGGGCTATTGAAAAATACTTTACTTCTTAATTAATTTCCACTCTTTGATAAAAAATCAAAAATTATCGAAAATATTCAAAAATTCAAAAAACCGAATTTCTTAAAATTCAACATTTTTTCTTTTTTTTCATGGCATTTAGCTTCAATATTTTTGGGCTCTTGAAAAATACTTTACTTATTTAAAAATCTCCGCACCCTTTGGTATAAAATCAAAAATTGTCATAAATTATAAAAAATTTGAAAAACCGAATTTCTTAAAATTCAAAATTTTTTCTTCTTTTTTATGTCATTTAGCTTCATTATTTGTCTTAACCGGTTTGATTAAAAAAAAAAAAATTTATGAAAAATCGACATTTCTTAAATTTGACAAAAAAAATTTACAAAAAATCGAAATTTTTAAAATTTGACAAACAAAATTTTTCGAAAAATCGAAATTTTTAAAATTTGATTTTTGTTAATCTTTTTTATGGCATTCAGCTTCATTATTTTTGAGCTGTTCAAAAACATTTTACAAATTTTTTTGTCTTAATCCTTTGTTAAAAAAAAACAAAAAAAATTTTTTTCGAAAAATCGAAATTTTCAAAATTTGATATTTTTTTTCTTTTTTATGGTATTTAGCTTCATTATTTTTGGGCTCTTCAAAAACACTTTACAAAACCTTTTTGTCTTAACCCGTTCATTAAAAAAAAAAAAAAAATCGAAATTTTTAAAATTTGACATTTTTTCATCTTTTTTATGCCATTTAGCTTCATTATTTTTGGGCTCTTCAAAAACTTTTTACAAATCTTTTTGTCTTAACCCTTTGATTAAAAAAAACGAAAAAAAAAGAATTTTCAAAAAATCTAAATCAAAATTTGATATTTTTTCTTCTTTTTTATGGCATTTAGCTTAATTATTTTTGGGTTTTTCTAAAATACTTTTACTCGTTTTAAGGGATTTAGTTTAAAATGTTGATAAAATTAAAAAAAAAATTTTAATTTTGTTAATTTCTTCTATATTTTAATGTTGATAAAGTTTAAAAAAAAATTTAATGTCATAACAAAATTTAAATAGAAATTCTTTGAAAAATTTGATTGCTTTTGAATTTTTGTTCGAAAATCCTTTTGTTTTATTTATACATTAATTTTTTTTTAAATAATCTATTATTTAATTATTTAGAAAAAATATTAATTTTCAGATTTTAACAGAAAAAGAATTTAAATATTGAAGTTGAAAATAATTTTTTTTAGTTTTTTAATAAAATAAAACTCTTGCTTTTAAGGGTCTACAATAAATTTTTATTTTAAAAAATTTCGATAAAATTTTGTTAATTTTAATTTTTTTTTGTAAATTTTGTTAATTTTAATTTTTTTTTATAAATTTTGTAAATTTTAATTTTTTTCAAGATAATTTTAATTTTTTATTATAAATTTTGTTAATTTTGATTTTTTTTAAGGTTAATTTAAATTTTTTATTATAAGTTTTGTTAATTTGAATTTTTTTTATATAAATTTTGTTAATTTTAATTTTTTTTAAAGTTAACTTTAATTTTTTATTATAAATTTTGTTAATTTTAATTTTTTTTTTATAAATTGTGTTAATTTCAATTTTTTTTAAAGTTAATTTTAATTTTTTTGTTAATTTTAATTTTTAATTTTTTTTTTTTTTTTTTTTTTTATTATAAATTTTGTTAATTTTAATTTTTTTCAAGTTAATTTTAATTTTTTATTATAAGTTTTGTTAATTTTAATTTTTTTAATAAATTTTGTTAATTTTCATTTATTTTAAAGTTAATTTTAATTTTTTATTATAAATTTTGTTAATTTTAATTTTTTTTTTATAAATTTTGTTAATTTTGAGTAATTTTTTTGTTGATTTTAATTTTTTATTATAAATTTTGTTAATTTTAATTTTTTTTTTATAAATTTTGTTAATTTTGAGTAATTTTTTTGTTGATTTTAATTTTTTATTATAAATTTTGTTAATTTTAATTTTTTTTAATAAATTTTGTTAATTTTAATTTTATTTAAATTTTATTAATTTTAATTTTTTTTTTTAAATTTTAATAATAATTACGTTAGGCCCGTTAAGGAAGAGGGAGGTGAGGGGGAGGGGGGGGGTTGGTCAGCTATTTCTTTCAAGTCCAATAGAAAAAAAAAATTGCCGCTACTCACCTGAAAAGTCATAAAGCAAATCCAACCGAAAAGCGATTTAAAAGCAGCCGCCGCAATGTGACTCCAATTTAACATCCATTCAAATTTCGAACGATCAATAAGATTTCCCTCGAGTGTCGGGAGAAATATTTGCGATGTATAACTGAATACAATGACGCCCAATGATATTGGAAATTTCTTCATGTCAATGCTCCATCTCACTTTGGACCAGCCCCAATCGCCAATTTCCAGTAGGCAATAGCCAAGTATTATTGCATTGATAAAAAGATGTGCAATCGTGCACCAAAAACTCAACACCGAAACGTGATGCAGTGACTTTAAAAAGCCGAGGGGAATTAAAAATATGCCAATTAACATCATCCAACTTCTTTTGTCCAATGCGCCGTCCTCGAATGTTCCCACCATTAAATCACCGCAGACAACGACATAGAGAATGCATGTCATTAGTAATTCAATAATTTGCGCGACATTTACTGCCCTTGCACCGAAACGTGGTCCAAAGCATTCCTTTGCAATTGATACGTAGGAGTCGCGTACTCGAACACGTTGTCCGGTTGTTGTGTCCAATTCGTAGAGGCATTCGACTAGAATTTTACCTGAAAGGATTTTTTTTAAGTTTTTATTATTTTTGGGCTCTTTAAAAACACTTTACAAATATTTTCGTCTTAACCCTTTCATTAAAAAAAAAAAAAAAAAAAAAAAATCAAAGTTTTGTAAATTTGACATTTTTTCTTCTTTTTTGTGACATTTAGCTTCATTATTTTTGGGCTCTTTAAAAACACTTTACCCATTTTATTATCTTAACCCTTTGATTAAAAAAACAAAAAAAAATTTCGAGAAAAATCGAAATTTTCAAAATTTGACATTTTTTCTTCTTTTATAGGGCATTTAGCTTCATTATTTTTGGGCTCTTTAAAAACACTTTATTCATTTCTTTATTTTAACTCTTTCATTAAAAAAAAACAAAAAAAAAATTTTCGAAATTCGAAATTTTTAAAATTTTACATTTTATTTTCTTTTTTATGGCATTTAGTTTTATTATTTTTGGGTTCTTCATAAACACTTTACCCATTCTATTGTCTTAACCCTTTGATTAAGAAAAAAAAAAAATTTTTTTAAAAATCGAAATTTTAAAATTTGACATTTATTTCTTTATTGTGGCATTTAGCTTTATTATTTTTGAGCTCTTCAAAAACACTTGACTCATTTTTTTATTTTAACCCTTTGATTAAAAAAACAAAAAAAAAATTTACGAAAAATCAAAGTTTTTAAAATTTGACATTTTTTTCTACTTTTTTATGGCATTTAGCTTCATTATTTTTGGGCTTTTCAAAAACACCTTACAATTTTTTTTGTCTTAACCCTTTCATTAAAAAAAAAAAAAAAAAAAAAATTCGAAAAATTCGAAAAATCGAACATTAATTCAATTATTTAAAAAAAGATTGATAAAATTCATTGTAAGAATTCCATTATTTTCATAAATTATAAAATTTTTCTGAGGATTTCAATTATTTATAATACAATTTAAATAGTAAATTTCTAGAAAAATGGAATTATTCTCTTAAATTTTTTGTAAGAATTTAATTACACTTCAAGAATATATTAAAATTCTTGGTTGAAATTCAAATATTTTCACAATCTACTTTTTTTAATAAAAGTTCTCGAAAGAATTCAATTATTTAAAAAAAATGCAATAAAATTCGATGCAGGAATTCAATTATTTTCATAAAAAAAAATTCTTTACATTATTTCAACTATTAAAAAAAAGAAATTTTGAAAAAATTCACTGCAAGAATTCAATTACTTTCATTAATTAAAAATTATAATTTAAACAATTAAAATCTTGAGAAATTTTTATTATTCATAAAAAGAATTAAATTCTTACGAAGATTTTTACAACGAATTTTTTAAATAATTGAATTCTGTTTGGAAATTTTATGAAAATAGTAGATATAGAAAATCATTGAATTGAGAAAAGTTTTTAAAAATAATTAAATTTTACAAAGAATTCTATTCAAATTTTTGAGAATAATTGAATGTCTATGTCTATGTCTATGTCTATTTTTTTTTTTTTTTTTTGAAAAATAATTGAATTTCTTCGAAGAATTTTGTTACTTTTGAAAATAATTGAATTTTTCTGATAAATGTTGTTATTTATAATAAAAATAATTGAATTTTGCAAAGAATTTTTATTTGTTTGAAAAATAATTGAATTTCTTCAAAGAATTTTGTTACTTTTAAAAATAATTGAATTCCTGATAAGAATTTTTATAAATTTTGAAAATAATTGAATTTTGCAAACAATTTAATATTAAAATGCCTCAAAATAATTGAATTTTCGGGTATTTAGGTAAATAATTGAATTCTTGGGAAGAATTTTATTAAAATTTAAAAAATTTATTCAATTACTTTAACAATTCACTGTAAAAAAATCTGGTGTAAAATAACACGAAACTTGTAATTTCACACATCAAAATTATAGGTTGTACGTAGTAAATTTATTTCGTTCCAAAAGTAGTTTTACTATTTTTAATAATTTTACATTATACGACTATGTAATTTAATAGTTTTGTGTAAATTTACTACGTCCGACGTAGGAAAATTTGATCACTATGTCCGACGTGGTATTTTTACATTGCGTGTATTTCTACACTTTGACGTAATATTACGTCGCACGATCTGTACAATTACATGGCGAATGTAATTTTCTTATTCCTTTAAGATTTTCAAAAAATTTTCAAGTTTTTATAAATAACTCTAAAAAAGTGTATATAATGTACATTTATAGAAAGTATATGCTAATTTATAAGTAAATAATAATAAAACAAAAAGTTTTGGGCAATATTTCATAAATACAAAAAGTTACGACTGAAAATATTATTTCAAAAAATATTTGCAGGTTATGTAGATTACAGTCGGCGTGTAAAAATACCACGTCGGACATAGTGACCAAACTTTCCAACGTCGGACATAGTAAATTTACAGCAGATTTTTTTACAGTGAAAATTTAATTAAAATTGTATTTAAAATAATTAATTTCTTTCGAACAATTTTATTAAAATAATTGAAAATAATTGAATTCCTGTGAAAAAGTCTAATATTTTTGTAAATAATTGATTTTTTTTTGAGGAATTGAAATTAAATTTTTAAGAATAATTCCATTTTTTGAGCAATTCCTGTAAAATTGTATTAAAAATAATTGAAATCCGACGATGAATTCAATTATTTATGAAAATAATTTAATGGTTGCTAAAAATTTTATTATTTATGAAAATAATTGAATTCTCGCTAACGATTTTATTAGAATTTTATAAAATAATTGAATTTGCAAGAAGAAATTTATTACTTTTAAAAATAATTGAATTCTTGTGATGAATATTGTTGTTTATGAAAATAATTGAATTTTACAAAGAATTTGATTAAAATGCCTCAAAATAATTGAATTTTCAGGAATAATTTTGTTTATTTATCTTTAATAATTGAATTCATTCGAAGAATTACTTATGTAAATAATTCAATTCTTGGGAAGAATTTTATTAAAATCTAAAAAAATAATTGAATTATTTCAAAAATTGTAATTAAAATTGTATTTAAAATAATTGATTTGTTTCGAACAATTTTATTAAAATAATTGAAAATAATTGAATTCCTGTGAAAAAGTCTAATATTTTTCTAAATAATTGAATTCTTCCAAAATATAAAAAAAAACATTTATTTAAATAATTGATTTTTTCGAGGAATTTAAATTGAATTTTTACGAATAATTACATTTTTTGAACAATTTCTGTAAAATTGCATTAAAAATAATTGAAATCCTGCAATGAATTTTATTATTTATGATGAAAATAATTGAATAGTTGCAAAGAATTTTTTTTAAAATTTTCAAAAATAATTGAATTCCTGAGAAGAATTTTATTATTCATGGAAATAATTGAATTCCTGAGAAGAATTTTATTATTTATAAAAATAATTGAATTCCTGAGAAGAATTTTACTATTTATGAAAATAATTGAATTTTGGATGAATTTTATCAAGTTTGTTTTAAAAATAATTTTTTTTTTTTATGAAAATTTTAGTTTTCAAGTTTATTAACTATTTAAATGCCAACGCACAATAGGTTTGTGAACGAGATGCATGAGATAGAAAAGAACACAAATATACATGTGTCCTTTTCTAACTCATGCATCTCGTTCGTGAACGACTTTCGCGAAGCAATTGTGGATTTACCTTAAAAGTCCATTCTTGTCAAGTACAGGTTACTGTCTATATGCTGTCCTTGAGGTATGTACACTTTTTTTGGAAAACCGCGTCATATCTATCACAATTGTTAGTTCATGACTAAAATGATAAACAAATGAAATAAATTGACCACGAACTAAAAACATGATAGAAATGCCACGGTTTTAAAAAATTTAAGCACAACCGGAAGGACAGCATATAAGCAGTTACCTGTATACTTCTAAGATACCTTTCTTCAGAGCGCGTTAAAAATAAGTTGGGATATTTTCAAGAGAATAATTTCTACCTGTGTAACAGCAAATGTGTGCGATACCAATCATGGCTGCAATCGCCCAATAACCACCGCGAAGTACGGCAAAGGGAAGTGAAACGATGAACATTCCCTGGAGAGAAGAGTTAATCGTAAGTACTTTTTATTTTCAAACCTACAGTTATATTTGTACGATTTTCACTATTTTAGTATTTTTACTATTTTTACTATTTCACTATTTTTACTATTTTTACTATTTTGACCATAGACAAAGATACTTTACCTAGATCCGACAAGGGCCTAGCGCCATGTGGACTGACCATAACCTTCCATTAGTAAGAAAAGGATAGACATATCTTCGTCCTTGTCTTACTAATGGAATGTTATGGTCTGTTCACATGAGGCCAGGATCCTTGCCGGCTACTATTTTTTTTTTAAATGGACTAATTAATTTTTGTACCTGTATGGCATTAGTGACATTATAGGCAGCCTGCCATTCGTTGATCTTCACCCCCGTACCACCAAACTCACCACCACCACCTTCGTCATAATCACTAAAACCCCCACTGCTGACACTTCCGGTTCTCATTTTATCACTAGAAGAAAGAGAACGACATTTTTTAAAATAGGCCTACGTAAAATAAAACTAAAGTAGAAACTAAAATAAAAACTAAAGTAGTAGAATAAAACAGCTGTTTTTACATGAGAGGGAAAAGGATAGAAATATCGTTTCTTTTTTTTCTAGAAAAGGAAAAAAGATACCCCTATCCTTTTCTCTCTCATGTAAAAATTACTATTTTTTTATTAATGAAACATACTATTTTTTTTATTAATGAAAGTTACTGATTCTCACCTGCTTCTTTGATAACTAAACGAGTCCTCAGCGATTCCTTGCTCGCCATAACCCTCTTGACCCTTCATTGTTGTCATTTCAGTATTTTCGCCTTCGTTAAATGATCGAAAATTACCGGAAGTGTCAGGACCGCCGCCGCCGCCGCCTCCTCCTCCACCAACGCCGCCAGCATTTCTAATCATTTCCATACATGGACTATTTTCAGGCCATTTTGATTTTAATGTCTCCCATGCTACATTTAATGTTGCACTCAATGAGGGAATAAAGACTCCTCTAAAGTACGCCATTGTCTCTTATTTTCTCTTTAAATAATCTAAAAATAAAGGACAAAATTATTATTATCGACTTCTTGCCAGCGGGGAAAATTGTTTAAAAAAAAAAATTGTCATATTATTCGATTTTATTTGGATTTTAGAGGGAATTTAAAATTTCAACTGGATCAGCTGTTTTGGCTGTTCGCCGCCATTTTGTTTCTTGGAATTCTTAGAAGTGGGAACGGAAGTGACAATAAAGGCGCAAATTGAGATAAAATTCAAAAGCCATTCAAAATATTCTAATAAAAAATTATTATTATTAAACTACAAACAAGTTTACTAATAATAATTAATAGAAAATAATACGTAATTATTTTTAAATAATATAAAAATGTTAATTATTAGAAATTAACACTTAATAATCAAATAATACAAAAATAATATAATAATAATAATTAAAATAGTAAATTTTTATTAAATAATAATTATTATTAATTAAACCATTTATTAACTAAATTATTATTATTATTATTATTATTATTATTATTATTTTTATTATATGTATGGAGATTAAAAATATTATTCATTATAAAAATGATTTATTGAATAATAAATATTATCAATTAAAGAAGTCATTATCTAAATAATAAATTTTATAAATTAGAAAAATTATTAAATAAATAAAAATATTTTTAATTAATAAATACTTAAATTATTAATTAAGTAATAAATAATTTCAGTTAAATAATTATTATTATTTGTTAAAAATAAAAATTATGAATCAAATACTTATTATTATTATTTACACATAAATTGCATTCTTGCCAGCGGGAAAAATTATTTTAGAAAAATATCGACATTTAATTTCATTTTATTTGGAATTTAGAGGAATTATAAAATTTCAAGTGGATCAGCTGTTTTGGTTGTTCGTCGCCATTTTGTTTCTCGTAATTCTTAGAAGTGGGAACGGAAGTGACAGTAAAGGCGCGAATTAAGATAAAATTCAAAAGCAATTTAAAATATTCTAATAAAAAATTACTATTATTCAATGAGAAACGAGTTTACTAATAATAATTAATAGAAAATAATAACGAATTATTTTTAAATAATTTAAAAATGTTAATTACTAGACATTTAACACTTACTAATTAAATGAGAAGTAAATGTTATTAATAATTAAATAATAATAAAATAAAAATAAATAAAATAAAAAATAAAATAAAAATAAATAAAATAAACAGATAAAATAAAAATAAATAAAAATAAACAAATAAAATAAAAATAAATAAAATATAAAAAAAAAATAAAATAAAATAAACAAATAAAAATAAATAAAATAATAAAATAAAAATATTTTGAATCAATTAATAAACTAAGGATATTATTAATTAAGTAATAATTAGTTTTAGTTAAATAATTATTGTAAATTAAATAATTATTAGTTAAATTAAAATAATTATTATAAATTAAATAATTATTAGTTAAATTAAAATAATGATTAATAAACTGAAAAATAAACAGTTAAGAAATAGTTATTAATTAAATAGTAAATAAATAATTGTTTAAATAATAAAAAAATAATTATTAAATACTAGATATTTTGTTAATTAAATAAAAATATTGTTAATTACTAGCTAAATAATAATTAATTTCTAAACTTTTCTGTTTATTAATTATAAAAAATATAAAAAATTGTTGATAGAAAAAATAGAAAATTTGATAAATTTTTGTTTTAATTTTTAATTTTCTATTAAATCTTCGGAATATTGTTAAAAAAATATTTCCAAAGAAGAAAAAAATATTTGAATAAATAAAAAAATGGGATTTTATAAATAAAAAATGAAATTCAATAATCGTTTATAAAATGGCCTTCGCCTTTTAAGAAATAGTCCTTGAAATTTTATCACAAGAAAAATAATTACGAGTAGAGAAAAAAATCAATTTACCAATTTAAATGACGACAATGATGATTTTGTAATTGATGTTCCTTTTTTTTTGCTTGTAAATTTTCACTGGCTTTCTTCTTTCTTTCTTTTTTTTTAATATTTAGAATATTCTTTTTGATTGGAAAAAAAGGAGAGATGTTGAAAACTGAAAAAAGATGAGGCACTTGCGCGAATGAAAATTGAATAAAGATTTTGTTTTTTCCTTTTCTCGTGTCACACACACACAAAAGAAGAAAAGCTAGAGACAGAGAGAGACTAGCTAAAAGATTATTTATTATATTCTTAGGAAACACATATTACTTTCTAATTTCTAAAAAATATATGAATCGAAAATTTTTAATCGCGGCATTTACTAATTTTTTGTGGGGTTGGGTGGTGGTTACAGGGGTTGAGATCAGAATGGGCAGCATCCCTCGAGTGTAGCCGATCAATGCGTCAACCCTCCCCCTCCCGTTTTCGAAGCAAGTGGGAGCGAGAGGGAAAATCATTTTCTCTCAATCCCACTTTTTAGTCTTGCGCGGAATTTTCTTCTATTAAAAACGCATGCGCCGCTGGCATTTGAAAAATAGACAATTTTTTATTTTTCAAGCAAATAATAAAAATTGTAAATAAAATAAATATTTATTTTTCAATTAAATAAATAAAATAAATAATTTATTTTTTAATCAGATAATAAAAATAATAAATAATATAAATATTTATTTTTCAACTAAATAATAAAAAAAATAAATAATATAAATATTTATTTTTCAACTGAATAATAAAAATAATAAATAAAATAAATATTTATTTTTCTACCAAATAATAAAAATAATAAATAATATAAATATTTATTTTTCAACTGAATAATAAAAATGATAAATAAAATAAATATTTATTTTTCTACCAAATAATAAATAAAATAAATATTTATTTTTTAATCAAAAAATAAATAAAAAAAATATTTATTTTTCAATAAAAAAAAAAAAATATTTATTTTTCAATTAAATAATAAATAAAATAAATATTTATTTTTCAATCAGATAATAAAAATAATAAATAATATTTAAATAATTATTTTTCAACTAAATAATAAAAATAATAAATAAAATAAATATTTATTTTTCAATCAAATAACAAATAAAATTATTTATGATAAGTAATTGAATTCTTGTAAAAATTTTATTATTTTTGTAAATATTTAACTTTTCAAAAATAAAAAAAAATTGAAAATAAAAAAAAAATAAAAAAAATTTTGAAATTGAAAATAATTGGAATACCAAGAAAATTGTACTTATTTATAAAAATAATAAAATTCTTGCAAAAAAAAATTTATGAAAAAATTTGTAATAATTCAATTCCTCAGAAATTTTATTAATTTTGAAAATAATTGAAATGTTTTGAAGAATATTAATAAAATTTTTTTAAAATAATTTAATTTTTTCGAAGAATTCAATTAAAATTGTATTAATAAAAATAATTGAAATCCTGCAAAAAATTTTATTATTTATTCTGAGTAATTGAATTCTTGTAAAAATTTTATTATTTTTTTGAGAATAATTAACTTTTTTTGAAGAATTGAAATTCAAAATAATTGAAATACCAAGGAAAAATTTATTAACTTATAAAATTAGATAAATTCTTGCAAAAAATTTTATTGAAAAAATTTATAATAATTCAATTCCTAAGAAATTTTTATTATTTTTGAAAATAATTGAATTTTTTCGAAGAATTCAATTAAAATTGTATAAAAAAAAATAATTGAAAAAAAAATATAAAAAATGAAAAAAAAAATAATAAAATAAAAAATTTTTTATTGAAAAAAAATAATTGAAATCCTGCAAAGAATTTTATTATTTATGATAAAGTAATTGAATTCTTTTAAAAATTTTATTATTATTGAAAATAATTAACTTTTTCCGGAAAATTGAAATTGAAAATAATTGAAATGTCAAAAAGAATTTACTTATATTTATGAAATTAATTAAATTCTTGCGAAAAATTTTATGAAAAAATTTTTAATAATTCAATTCTTCTGAAATTTTATTATTTTTGAAAATAATTGAATTCTTTCATTATTAATTTTTTTTAAATAATTGAATTCAAGAGAAAAATTTCATTAATTTTCTAAATAATTGAAATTTTGCAAATATTTTATTATTTGTCAAAATAATCTAATTTTTTTTTCAAATGTTCCAGAAAATTGTAAAAATAATTGAATATTCGAAAAGAATTTTTATAAAATACTTTTTCAAATAATTGAATTTTTTCGAGGAAATAAAAAAAATTTATATAAATAATTGAATTTTTCCAAGAAATCCATTAAAATTGCAGTAGAATTAAAACCAAAGAAGAATTTTATTTTTGAAAATAATTGAATTCATACAAAAACAAAATTTATCAAAATTTTAAAAAAATTGAATTTTTCTGAAAAATTTGATTTAAGGGCATTTGAAACTTGATGACGTCACACATGCTTTGCATAAACTGAAACGTCATCAAGGTTCAAATGCCCTTAAATTATATTAAAAATTATTGAAATCCTCTAAAGAATTTTATTATTTATAATATAATTGAATTTTTACAAACGATTTTATTATTTTTTTTAAATAATTGAAATTAAGAGAAAAATTTTATTATTTCTGAAAATAATTGAATTCTTTGAAGAATTATAATAAAATTTATTTAAAATAATTGAATTTTTCGAAAAATTCTATTAAAATTGAATTAAAAATAATTAAAATCCCGCAAAGAATTTTATCATTTTTATGACAAATTATTGAATTCATGATTAGAATTTTACTCATTATAAAAATAATTGGATTCTTACGAAAAATCTTATTAAAAATGTAAAAAATTAATAATTGAATTATTTCGAAAAATTGAAATTAAAAATAATTGAAATATCAAGATGAATTTTTTTATTTGCAAAAATAATTGAATTCTTCCAAGAAATTTTATAAAAAAAAAATTTTGATATTACAATATTCCTGTGAAATTTTACAATTTTTAAAAATAATTGAATTATTTTGGGGAATTTTAATGAAAAAGACAAGAATAATTGAATTTTACAAAGAATTCAATTATAATTTTATTAAAAATTAAAAATAATTGAAATTTTGCAAAAAAATTTTATTATTTATGATAAATAATTGAAATCCTGCAAACAATTTTATTAATTTTTAAAAATAATTGAAATCAAATGAAAAATTCTGTTATTAAAAATAATTATTGACTTCTTGTAAATATTTTACTATTTCTGAAAATAATTGAATTCCATCGGAGGAATTTTCATAAAATTTTTAAAAATAATTTGTATTTTTTCGAAGAATTCAATTAAAATTGTATTAAAAAAAATAACTGAAATCTTGCAAAGAATTTTATTATTTGTGATAAATAATTGATTTTTATAAAAAAAATTTATTATTTTTTTCAAATAATTTAAATGCCGAGAAAAATTTTACTAAAAGAAAATAATTGAATTGACGAAAAGAATTTTTTTTAATTAAGATAATAATTGAATTCTTTCATTGAATTTTTAAACTTTGAATTGAATTCTTTCAATGAATTTTTAAACTTTGAATTGAATTCTAATAGGTTTTGAAAATAAAAGAATCTTGTTTATTTTTCAACCAAATAATAAATAAAAGAAATTTTTTCCTTTTTATTATCATCATCTTTTTTTACATACATTTGCTCTCGCGACAATATTTTTCATTCACTATTTATTTTTTACCCTTATTCCCAAATTAAAAATTAAAAAAAAAAAAATTTCCCCTTCTTTTTAAAAAGTACATACAGAAAAAAATCATTTTTTCCCAAATGTCAAATTATAATGAAAAAGTTCTTTTTTTTTGTTGAAAAAATGTTATTACAAAATTTACGCACAACTATAAAGAGACTTCACTTAACAATTAAATAACAACGCACGAAGGAATGATGTCAATATATTTTTTTTTCTCTTTTTAGAGAAATAATGTCACATACGAAAAAAAAGGAAAATAAAATTCTCTGAATAAATTTCTGGATATTTTGTTTTGTTTTTTGGCAGATTCGTTGTATTAAGACAATCTTAATAAATATATTATTTTTATTTTTTTTGGGGGGCAGGTAATTTCTTGGTAGAAATTAGCCTATTTTGCTTTTTAAAAACTGAAATGTCAGTCTTGTTCCCTCTTTTCATTTCTCAAGGATTATAAATGCCAATTTGATTTACTTTGTACAAATAATTGAATTATTAATTTTTTTTTTTTGTTTTTGCGAGAAAGAAATAATATTAATTAATTTACATCCATCACAGAGGATCGTTTTTTTTTCTTCTTCTTCTGCTTCTTCTTTGTGTCTTTGAATTGACAAAATAAAGAATCTGGAAAAGACGTTGCAAAATATATTATTCTTTCCCAGAAAAATTCTTTTGTTTTTCTTTTTTTTTTTCTGAAACTTTGTACAATGGATCTACTTATTCTACTACTGAATAAAATACTTTTTCTTCTTTTTTATTTTTGGATTTGTTAAGGAATTTGCAATTTTTAGCATTGAAAGATCAACTTTCATTTTCTTTTCCTCTTTTTCTTCTTCTTCTTCTTCTTCTTCTTCTTTTTCTTTTTCGTCTTTTAGTTCTTTTTCCTCTTCTTCTTCTTTTTTGCCTTTTAGTTCTTTTTCCTCTTCTTCTTTTTCGCCTTTTAGTTCTTTTTCCTTTTCTTCTTCTTCCGCCTCTTCTTCTTTTTCATCTTTTTCCTTTTTTCCCCTTTTCTTCTTTTTCTTTTTCTTTAAAGAAAAAAAAGACGAAGTCTTTTTTTCTTCTCTTTAAAGAAAAAAAAGGCGAAGGCTTTTTTTCTTCTCTTTAAAGAAAAAAAAAGGCGAAGGCTTTTTTTCTTCTCTTTAAAGAAAAAAAAGGCAAAGGCTTTTTTTCTTCTCTTTAAAGAAAAAAAAAAGGCGAAGGCTTTTTTTCTTCTTTTTTTTCTCTTTAAAGAAAAAGAAGAAGGCTTTCGCCTTCTTCTCACTGCTTCATTCCACTGTCGCGCAGCCAGTGATGAAAATCATTCTCGGAAGTTAAACCCTCAATTGCTGAACTGTCCTGCTGAAGAATAGTTTCTGCACTTTTTGTCGCACTAATTTTACTGATTGCCTTCGTCTCGGAACGCTTTGTATTCGACGAATCGGGAAATTCGTGCGCTGATGTTGTCTGTGGAAGAAGTGGTCGTTGACAGTGAAGCATTAATTCTGGACCGCCACCGTAAATGTGTAGTAAAAATTGCCAAAGTTCTTCGGGTATTTGTCCATAGTCCGAGCCTGTGAATAAAAAAGGAACAAAAAAAATGTTAAACATCATTTTAGAAAAAATTACCATATAATTACCATAATATATAAATTACCATATTATTTTCTATAAAAACTACAACTGCAATTCTTCCAAAATTCAATTATTTTTTTCAAGAATTTTTCAAACAAAACTTATTCACAACTTGAATAATTTTTTTTTTAAGAAAGTAATAAACACTATTTTTAAAATAAATTATTTTAAATTAATCTTTAAATTATTAATTGAATAATCTAGTAAAAAAACAAAGAAAAAAATTAAAAATAAAATAAAATAAAAAAAAATAATTGAAAATATAATAAAAGAATTGATAATCAAATAACAAACTGAAAAAAAATTGAAAATCCAATAAAATAATTGAAAAATCAAATAAGAAATAATAATTTAAAAAACAAGTAGAAAATTTAAAAAATTTAAGAAAATAATTAATTTATTTTCAAGAATTTTATAAAAAAAAAACATTTAAAAAATTCAATTTCTGTCAATACTTTTTTGAAATAATTAAAATTCTTTGGGAAATTTTAATAAATTTTTTTAAATAATTGAATTTTCGAAAATTCAATTATATTATAACAAATTATAAAAAATTCTGTTTAAAATCTTTTCTTTTAATTCAAGTACTTATGAAAATTACAAAAATAATTTTTTTTTTAAATTCGTTTACCTGCTTTCAAGACAATTTGTCCATTTTTATTCACAACTATCGAACTATTATCAATTGGTCCAGGAGGTTGAATCTCCTTTCTCTTCGCAAAGCTCTGCCATTGTCTCAGCCACGCCATTGCCAGTGCATAGACAGAAGTTGGATTCTCCGAATTGTGATTTAGTCTCTGAAACATGTCCATTTCGTAAAGTCGCCGTTTCTCCAACGACTCGTATTTCTCCTCACAAATTGGACATTCGTAAAGATGCGTGCAAGCCGGTCCTCCTCCAAACCTACAGACAGAAAATTTGTTGAATTTTAACTAAGAATTTTAAAATTTATAAAACAGGGTGTCTACTATTTTCGTTTAACAAAATTCCCGGTTATTTCCCGGTTTTTCCCGGCTATATCCTAATTTTTTCCCGGTTTTTTTTCTTATCAAATTTAAATTTAAATTTGATTTCAAACATAAATAAATCATTAAATTTTTTGAAAATAATGTTTTTTTCAGTAATTTTAATTAAAAACTTGGAAAATACTTGAATTAAACAAAGAATTTTTTCAAGTTTTTAAAAATAATCTTGTCTCTTTATAATTATAATTGAAAATTGGATTTTTCAATTTTATTAAAATTACATTGATAATAATTGAACTTCTGCAAAGAATTTTACTATTTATAAAAATAATTGAATCCTTCCAAAGAATGCTATTATTTATGAAAATAATTTAATTCTTGTGAAGAATTTTATTAAAATTTTTGAAAATAATAAGCAGCAATAATTAATTCTTTACTTAATATGTAATAAACATTTAATTTGCTCAAGAAATAAATAAATATCATTTATTTGAACATTCAGAAATTTGAAATGATAAAAATTTAAGAGAAGTTTAATAATTATAATTATTAAATAATAATAGAATAGTATAATTTTTAGAAGCAAAAAATTGATTTAAAACTGTAAGAGGGACTTTAAATTTTAAAAATAAAATTATAATTATGGTCACTAACTTCCCTTGATTATTTTCGAAAAATTTAAATAAAATTCTTTAAAAGAATTCAATTATTTTTCAAAAAAAGTAAAAAAATTTCAATGATTTGTTTAGAAAAATTCAATTATCTTGAAACAATAGAATTGAAAAATTACAACAATTTTATTTTTTAGACAAAAAAAATTTTGCGAAAGTTTAATTTTATTAAACAATTTTAAGTATGTATATTTTTTTAAAATAACTAATAAAAATTTTAATTATTAATCTTCGGAGTAAGAAACATGAATACATTAGAATTTTACTCTTTATAATATTCAATTATTAATCAATTATTAAATTAAAATACTTTGAAAATTCTATTTGTTAAAAAGTTTCTAATGAATTTCTTTAACAAATTTAATTACATATTTTCAGTCGAATTTCACAATATTTCTATTAACTCCATAATTTTTTTTAAATTTATTTACATAATATATTTGAATTGGTAACTGATTTTTTATCATCAAATTAATTATTTTTAACTAACTTAAATTTAGAGAACAGTATAAATATCTATAAAAATTGAAATAAAAATTGATTTTTTAAAAACAAATTAAAATAATAAAACTTTTTTAATTTTTGTGAAAAAATTCCCGGTTCGGTATAAAATTCCCGGCTAATTCCCGGTTTTTCCCGGTCAAATAAAATTCCCGGTTATTTCCCGGTTTTCCCGGAATTCCCGGTTAGTAGACACCCTGATAAAAATAATTGAATTCTTGCGAACGATTTTATTTAGATTTTTACGAAAAATTGCATTTTAACGAAGAATTTTATAATTTATAAAAATAATTGGATTTCAACGAAGAATTTTATTTAGATTTTTAAAAATAATTTAATTTCAAGGAAGAATTTTATTTAGATGTTTAAAAATAATTGAATTTTAAAGAAGAATTAAAATTTATAAAAATAATTGAATTCTTTCTGAGAATTTTATTTAGATTTTTAAAAATAATTGAATTTTAACTAAGATTTTTATAATTTATAAAAATAATTGAATTATTTTGAAGGATTTATTATAAATTTTAGAAAAAAATTGAATTCTTTGCAAAAAAAAATTACTATTTTTCCAAAATATTTGAATTTCAACGAAGAATTTGATAATTTATAAAAATAATTGAATTCTTGCGAAGAATTTTTTTCAGATTTTTACAAATAATGGAATTTTAACGAAGAATTAAAATTTATAAAAATAATTCAATTATTTCGAAGGATTTATTATAAATTTTAGAAAATAATTGAATTCTTTGCAAAAAAATGTACTTTTTTCAAAAATATTGAATTTCAACGAAGAATTTCATAATTTATAAAAATAATTTAAATTCAACTAAGAATTTTATTTAGATTTTTAAAAATAATTGAATTTCAACGAAGAATTTTATAATTTATAAAAATAATTGAATTCCTGCGAAGAATTTTATTTAAATTTTTACAAATAATGGAATTTTAACGAAGAATTAAAATTTATAAAAATAATTCAATTAGTGCGAAGAATTTATTATAAATTTTAGAAAATAATTGAATCCTTTGCAAAAAATTTACTTTTTTTTAAAAATATTGAACTTCAACGAAGAATTTTATAATTTATAAAAATAATTGAATTTCAACGAAGAATTTTATTTAGATTTTTAATAATAATTGAATTTCAACGAAGAATTTTATAATTTATAAAAACAATTGAATTCTTGCGAAGAAATTTTGAATAATTGAATTCAGAAGTTTTCTTAAAAATTCCTTTTTTTTTGAAAAGGTTTTAAATTAAATGCTTTGAAAATTTGATTTTTTTTCTCTTTTTAACTAAGAATTCTTGGGAATTAATTTTTTTTTAATAAGAAGAATTTCCCTATAATCGTTGGAAATTTCGTTAAATTGAATTGTAAACAAATTTGAAAATTCTCAAAGAATTTAAAAAAAAAAAATTATTTAAAATTTAATTGATTTAAAGAAGAATTTTAGTTAAAAATTCTAAAAAAAAAAATAATTGAATTGAAATAAAATAAAAAAATAATGATTTTATCACTCGGTCATTATCGATTTCTTCTTGTTTACAATTATAAATAAATTTACAATTTTTAGAATTTCAAAAAGTTTTGAATTTGAATCTTCAAATAAAATTATTAATGTTTTCAAAAATTTTTCCAATTAAACAAAATTCGTAAATATAAATGTAAATAGAACCTTTTTTTTCAGTATCAAATAATTTTTAGAGCGAATCAAAATATTTCTTAGGGAAAAGTTTTCAAAATTTCGTTTGAAAATAATTGAATTTCAACGAAGAATTTTATAATTTATAAAAATAATTGAATTTCAACGAAGAATTTTATAATTTATAAAAATAATTGAATTTCAACGAAGAATTTTATAATTCATAAAAATAATTGAATTCTTGTGAAGAATTTTATTTAGATTTTTAAAAATAATTGAATTTTAACGAAGAATTAAAATTTATAAAAATAATTGAATTATTTTGAAGGATTTATTGTAAATTTTAGAAAATAATTGAATTCTTTCGCGAAATTTTAATAAAATTTTTGTTGAAAATAATTGAATTCTTTGCAAAAGAATTCTTGCAAATTTTACTATTTACAAAAATAATTGAATTTCAACGTAGAATTTGATAATTTATAAAAATAGTTGAATTCTTGCGAAGAATTTTTTTCAGATTTTTAAAAATAAGTGAATTTTAACGAAGAATTTTATTATTTATAAAAATAAATGAATTTCAACGAAGAATTTTATTTAGATTTTGAAAAATAATTGAATTTTAACGAAGAATTTTACAATTTATAAAAATAATTGAATTCTTGAGAAGAAATTTTGAATAATTGAATTCAGAATTTTTAAGTTTTCTTAAAAATTCCTTTTTTTTTGAAAATTTTAATTATAATTATTTGAATTTATTTTGAAAAGATTTCAAGTTAAAATCTTTGAAAATTTTGAATTTTTCCCTCTTTTTAACTTTCTTTTTTTCCCTCTTTTTTTTGGGAATTAATTTTTTTAAATGGAAATTTAAACGAAATTTTGAATTTTTCCCTCTTTTTTTGGGAATTAATTTTTTTAAACGAAAATTTAAACGAAATTTTGAATTTTTCCCTAAGAAATATTTTGATTCGCTCTAAAAATTATTTAATACTAAAAAAAATGTTCTATTTACATTTATTTGCGAATTTCTTTAATTGGAAAAATGTTCCAAAAATATTAATAGTTTTTATTTCAGGAAAGAAGAAAATTAAATTTTTTGTCGCAACCCTGTTTTTTTTTAATAAAATGTTCTCGTGAGTTCGAGACAAAGAATAAAATAAAAAATACAAAAAATCTCACTCACTTGCTGTAGAGAAATTCCCAAACCGCTTGCGGAATTGGCATACTGATTTTATCGACAAATTGCGCCCTAATTGGATTGACACCGCCATGGGGGCACAAAAAATCCGAATTATCAATTGGTCCAGGCTCGGAGAATGTATTAAATCGATTAATCCACTGCCGCGAGACAAAGAAATTCAAATCCGAAGGCTCCCTCGCCGACAATTCCATGAGTTCCATTGTCTTATCCCTGAGTCGCATCATTTCCGGCGACGATTTCTTGTAAAACAAAACATACGCCTCACAATTGCTCACCGTCTCGGGCGGCACTTGCGTCACGCATTGATCGTCAAATTCAAACCATTGACTCACAATCGGATTCAGTGCGTAGCACGTGTAATGCCCGCCGCCCGCCGTTCCATGATGGCAAATCACCGAAATTAAATCGTAGGTGGTCACTGTCGACACGCATTCCTTGTGCAAATAGGGCCGCATGTCGAGGCCCTCCAATGGAAATGAGACGAAATTTGCTATTTTCGAACTGAACATGAGTTCGTGGCGAAAGCGCTTCAGGTGGACGCACAAAACTTCGGGCAGTTCGAGAACTTTGGAGAATTTAATGCCGTTACGAAGTTTATTGCATTTCTCGCAGCTGTACATGTTGTCGCCCTTGAGTTCGTCGGCGCTGAAGAAGGCGGACAAGCAGTCGTGGAGACTGACGACGGGGCCCCAGAACCATGAGCGCATCCACTGAAAGAACCAGGTGAACCAGCCGGATTGATTTGTCACGTAGACAACGTCCGAGCAGGGTCCGGCTTTTTGGGGTGTTAATGAGCCCTGATGGAGCATGTCGATGTGATCTCTGCTTGGTATCGGTAGCGATAGATCCTGGAAAAGAAAAGAATTATTTTTTTCATCCTCAATATCGAAAAGGCAAATATTTGACTATTTTTTCTTTTAATTTGGCAAAAAGGAGAATTATTTTCCAAAAAATAAGCGAAAAGGTGAATTATTTTCTATTTGGCAACTTTTTTGTTACAATTAGGAGAAAAGGTAAATTATTTTCCAAAAATATTAAATTGAATTAAAAGAATTCGCACTCATCTACTAAAACCTATTATTTGATAAAATTCTAAGCAAGAACTCAATTATTTTCATAAATAATAAAACTTATCAAAGAATTTCAATTATTTTTAATACTATTTTTAATTAATTAATCGAAAAATTAAATTATTTTCACAAATAAAGATCAATTATTTAAAATAAAATTTTTATATAATATTTATTATATTTCGAAAAAATTAATTATTTAAAACAATGTTTATAAAATTCTTATGAACAATTCAATTATTTTCAAAAATAACAATTTTTTTCACAGAAATTCAATTCCAGGGTGTCTACTATTTTCGTTGAACAAAATTCCCGGCTTTTCCCGGCTATATCTTAATTTTTTCCCGGTTTTTTTTCTTAAAAAAAAAAAAAAAAAATTTCAAACATAAATAAATCTTTAAATTTTTTGAAAATAATTGAATTAAACGAAGAATTTTTTTAATTTATTTTAAAACTAATCTTGTCTCTTTATAATTATAATTGAAAATTTGATTTTTCAATTGTATTAAAATTATATTAATAATATTTGAATTTCTGCAAAGAATTTTACTATTTATAAAAATAATTGAATCCTTCCAAAGAATGCTATTTATTTATGAAAATAATTTAATTCTTGTGAAGAATTTTATTAAAATTTTTGAAAATAATAAGCAGCAATAATTAATTATTTACTTTATAAGTAATAAACATTTAATTTGCTCAAAAGAAACAAATAAATATCATTTATTTGGACATTCAGGAATTTAAAATTATAAAAATTTAAGAGAAGTTCAATAATATTTTTAGAAGCAAAAAATTGATTTAAAACTGTAAGAGGGACTTAAAATTTTAAAAATAAAAATATAATTACGGTAACTAATTTCCCTTGATTATTTTCGAAAAATTTAAATAAAATTCAATTATTTTTCAAAAAATGTAAAGAAATTTCAATTATTTCAAAAATTTTCAATTATTTCTTTAGAAAAAATCAATTTTCTTGAAAGAATAGAATTGAAAAATTACAACAATCTTATTTTACAGATTTAAAAAAAAAATTGTGAAAGTTCAATTTTATTAAACAATTTTAAGTATGTATATTGTATACCTATTATATACATTGTATAACTATAAAAATTGAAATAAAAAGTGATTTTTTAAAAACAAATTGAAATAATAAAACTTTTTTAAGTTTGGTATAAAATTCTCGGCTAATTCCCGGTTTTTCCCGGTTAGCAGACATCTTTAAAAAACTTCAATTGTTTTCATAAATACATAATAAAATTCTTCTCAGGAATTAAATTTCAATTATTTTTAATACAATTTTATAGGAATTATTAAAAAAATATAATTATTCTTAAAAATTTAATTTCAATTCCTCGAAAAAACAATTATTTAAAAAAATATTACAATTTTTCACAGGAATTCAATTATTTTCAAATAATTGAATATTTAAGAAGAATTTTAATTAGAAATTCTAAAATAATTAAATTTTTCTTAAAATAATAAAACTATTTAAGAATCAAATTTTCAACTTTATTAAAAAAAAGTCTTAAAATAATTGAAGTTTTAAAATAGGATTCAATTGTTATTGTTTAAAGTAACTGAAATTTTTTTCTCAGATTATAATTAAAAATAATCAAAATGATTCAATTTTAAGAAAATTTGGTTTTCAATTTTTAGAGAATTGAATATTTGAAGAAATTATGTTAAAATTTTAGAAAATAATTGAATTCTCCACGGATTTATGTTCAAAGTTTTAAAACAATTGAAATTCTCGACGATTTTTAGTTAAAAATTCTAAAACTCAATTGAATTGAACTCAAAATTCAATTGAATTCTCGACCAATTTGACTTCAAAATTCTAAAACAATTGAATTCACGATGAATTTCACAGGAATTCAATTATTTTCAAATATTTTAATAAAATAGTTCGAAAGAAATTATTTATTTTAAGTACAATTTTAATTAAATTTTTTTGAAGTAATTCAATTATTCTTTTAGATTTTAATAAAAATCTTCCCAAAAATTCAATTATTTTCATAAATAAGAATATTCATCACAAGAATTAAATTATTTTTAAAATTAATAAATTTCTTCTTGGAAATTCAATTATTTTAAAAAATTCTAATAAATTCATTCGCAAAAATTCAATTATTTTCATAAATAATAAAATGCTTTATAGGAATTCAATTATTTTTTTAAAAATTTAATAAAATACCACAAAGACATTCAATTATTGTCAAAAATTTTAATTGAATTCTTTGTAAAATTTAATTCTTTTTAAAAACTTTTCGCAATTCAATCGTTTTCAATATCATCTATTTTCATAAAATTTTCAACCAGAATTCAATTATTTAAAAAATTTTTTGTAAAAATCTTTTTAAGAATTCAATTCTCCTCATGAATAAAATTTTCAATTATTTTAAAATTTTGAACTAAAATTCGCAGAGAATTCAATTGTCTTAGAATTTTGAACATAAATTCGTCGAGAATTCAATTATTTTCTGAAATTTTAACATAATTTTTTTAAATATTCAATTCACTAAAAATTAAAAACGAAATTTTGTTAAAATTAAATCATTTTGATTACTTTTAATTATAATCTGTAAAAAAAACTTCAATTACTTTAAACAATGTCAATAAAATTCTTTTAATACATCAATTAGTTTAAGAACTTTTTATATAAATTATTTAAAAAAATTCAATTATTTCAAAAAAGTTTCAAGATTTTCATAAATATTCAATTATTTTAAAATTGTGTACCGAATTCGTAAAAAATCCAATTATTTTCTAAAATATTTACATAATTTGTTTAAATATTCAATTTTTATTTAAATTAAAAAAAGAATGTAAGTCTTTCAAAATTTAATTATTTTCATATTTTTAAAAATTTAAAGATGTTTTTTTTTTTAATAAATTTGTAAATTCGATTCTTTAACAGTTTTATTATTTTAGGGAAATTTAAATATTTTAGAATTTCTAATTAAAATTCTTCTTGAATATTCAGTTGTTTGAAAATAATTGAATTCCTGCGAAAAATTCTAATACTTTTGTAAATAATTGAATTCTTCCAAAGAATTTAAAAAAAAACATGTTTTTAAATAATTGATTTTTTTCATACTACAAATTGTAGTAAAAAATAATTAAAATCTTGCGATGAATTTTATTATTTATGAAAATAATTGAATAGTTGCTAACAATATTATTTCAAAATTTTCAAAAATAATTGAATTCCTGCAAAGAATTTTATTATTTATAAAAATAATTGAATTATTGCGAATAATTTTATTAAAATGTTTTAAAAGAATTGAATTTCTGTGAAAAAATTTGTTATTTTTGAAAATAATTGAATATTTCATAAGAATTTTATAAACATTGTTTTAAATAATTAATTTTTTTGAAATTTAATAAATATTAATAAAAATTTTATTTTAAATAATTGAATTCTTGTGGAAAATTTTACCTGTGAAAATAATTGAATTTTTCGATTAATTAATTGAAAATAGTATTAAAATAATTGAAATTCTTCGATGAATTTTATTAATTATGAAAATAATTGAATTCTTGTTTAGAATTTTATCAAAAAATCGTTTTAAAGAATTTGTTTATAATTTTTTGTAACAGTTTTTTTATTTCTATTATTAGCGAATTTTAAATAGTGGAAATTGATTAAAAAAACAGAAATAGTAGCTTTTAGTGGCTGAAATGAAAAAAAGTACCTAAATAGTAGCATAACGTAAAAAAATAGTTTTTTTTACCTGAAACGTTTCGACTCGAGTCGAAATTCGATTACAAGTGAGACATTCAACGCTACTAAGTAGTTTCCCATCGAAAGTATCGCTGATAATACTCTTTGTCTTAATTTGCTTTTTGGGTGAATTTTGTGACGATCTTTGTGAGCCGGAAAATTCGCCGACATTTGTCCTGTTGGTGAATTTATTTCGTCCTTTTTCCGACTGTGAAACACGTGAATAGCGTCGTTTCGTTCCACGTTCACCTTCATCGCTCAGAGAACTCTGTTCACTGACACCCGAGTCGCACGTCTCATATTCAGCGTCCGATTGACTTGAACCAGTGCCATCGATTTCCGTCTCATCGTCGTCCGACGAATGTTCGCCGAAATTCTTCAATCGCAATTCCTTATTATCGTCCTCGACGTGTTCCTTTAATTCCTCGTGCAATTGATCCATGAAACACCGAAGAAATTCCTGCGTGTCGTGCTGATGATAGCCACGAAACATTGGATGTACCTTGAAAAAATTTTTGAAAACTAAACATTATTTTGACAAAATTTAAATTCAATTCGGTAAAAGGGAATTTTGTTTTCGAATATAAAATGAAAAAAGGGAATTTTCGCTTCGAATGTAATTCGAAAAAAGGAAATTTTGAAATTTGAAAAAGGGAATTTTCGCTTTGCATATAATTCGAAAAAAGGAAATTTTTGTTTTAATTATAATTCGGAAAAAAGGAATTTTGGCATCGAATAAAATTGAAAAAAGGGAAATTTTGCTTTCGAGTATAATTCGAAGAAAGAAAATTTTTGCTTTAAATATAATTCGAAAAAGGAGAATTTTGGCTTCAAATAAATTTCGAAAAAGGGGAATTTTGTGTTTCGAAAAAAGGGAATTTTTGTTTTGATTACAATTCGAAAAAAGGAAGAAAATTCTTACGGTCCGAATTCCAGAAAGAATTCCATGAGGCACGACGTAACCTCGATTTTTACGATTCCACATGTCTCGCACCAGATTCAAATAACTAAGACTGAGACCGTGTTTCCTGTCTTTTGAAATGTAAGTCGCCATGTGAGCGCAATCGAGGAAAAATTGCGTCAACGGCGGAACGTTGGACAATGCCTGCAGCGCTGCATTCATGTAGCACGTGTTTCCAATATTCTGCAGGCCCACAAGTCCCCTTGGCTTCCCACTGAAATCCTTTCCATCGTCCGAGTCCGTACTGTCCGGCGAATCGGACGGAGAAAATTTCTCATTCCCCGCATCCCCTTTCTCAGAGCTTATTCGACTTTCCCTCAGCTCCTGATCTCGTCTACTCTCCAGGAATCTAAAAAAAATTCATTCTTTCATCATCTTGCAAATAATTATCTATTTCAATAATAAAATATTCAAATAGACTAAAATAAAAAAATAAAAAAAAATATAATCAAATAATTGTAGGAAAAAATAAAATAATAATTACAGGGTTGCCACAGTTTTTATATTTTAAAATTCCCTGACTTTTCCCGGTTTTCCAGGTAAAAAAAATATTTTTTCCCTGACTTTCATTAATTTTAAATGAAGACGAAATATCGCATATTTATTTAAAACAAAATTTTAAATACAATGTTCTTAAAAATAAAAAAAAAATTCTTATTTTTAAGAATATGGTACTTAAAATTTTTTTATGATTTTTACATAAGTGTCATTTGCATTTAAAAATAGGGTAAAGCTCGTTCAAATTTGAAAATTATGACGGAATTCCCGATTTTTTCACCATTTTCCCTGACTTTTCCCGGTTTTCCAGGTACTTTTGCATTTCCCTGACAATTCCCGGTTTTCCCGGTTTTCCAGACCTGTGGCAACCCTGTAATTGTAATAAAGAGTACGTGATAAATAATTATAATAACAAATTATAACAGATAATTTAAAAATAAATTAAAAATTAATTAAAAATTAAATTAATTAAAAAAATTAATTAAAAATAACTAATTTTAGTATAAAAATAAAAATAATAATTATAAAGAATAAAGTGAATAATTTATAGAAGAATAAAAAAAAATGATTACAATAAATTTTTTCAAATAAAGAAAATTATAATCGAAAAAAAATAAAAACAAATAATTAATAAAAAAAACATACAAATACTACAAAATATTTTTTTACTAAATAATAATAATTATAATAAAAAGAAAAATAAAAAATTATAACAATTACAATTTTTCAAAAATTCGAAAATTGAAATATAAATTTTATTAGAATTTTCAGGAAAATAATTAAAATTCTCCGAAGAATTTTATAATTTAAATGAAAATAATTGAAATTCTCCGAAGAATTTTATAATTTAAATGAAAATAATTCAATTCATGCGACGAATTATATTAAAATTTTTGAAAATACATTGAATTTTAATAAATAATTATTTTCAATTATTTTTTTAAATTTTTAACTAAAATTCTTACAAATATTCAATTATTTTCAAAAACACTAAAATTAAATTTAATTAGAATTTTTTAGAAAATAGGTAATAGAATTTCTCAAAGAATTTTATTATTTAAATGAAAATAATTCAACGGTTTTGAAAAATTTCATTAAAAATTTATGAAAATAATTCAGTTACAAAAAATAAATACCTAGTAAATATTTTATTCAAATAATTAAATTCTTTTGAGAACATTTTTTTATGATTTTTCAATATAATTTAATTTTAAAATTAATATTAAATTTTTCTTTAGAAATAAAATTGAATATTTAAGAAAAATTGAGTTAAATTTTTAAAAAATAACTGAATTTTTTTAAAGAGAAGTTTTTAAATGATTATTTATTAAAATAATCAAATATTTGTAAGAAATTTTGTTGAATTTTGCTTAAATTTAGTTTTAAAAAATCTGAAAATAATTGAATTTTTAATAAATTTATTTTCAAAAACTAAAAATAATTGAATTTTTAATAAATTTATTTTTTAAAAATCTAAAACTAATTGAATTTTCAATAAATTTGTTTTCAAAAACTGAAAACAATTGGATTTTCTATAAATTTATTTTTAAAATTTTTAAATAATTGAATTTTCTATAAATTTAGTTTTAAAAAATCTGAAAATAATTTAATTTTCAATAAATTTGTTTTAAAAAACTTAAAATAATTAGATTCTCAAAAAATTTATTTAAAAAATTTTTAAATTGAATTTTCTATAAATTAATTCTTAAAATTTTTAAATAATTGAATTTTTTATAAATTTATTTTTCAAAAACTGAAAATAATTGAATTTTCTATAAATTTATTTTTAAAATTTTTAAATAATTGAATTTTTTATAAATTTATTTTTCAAAAACTGAAAACAATTGAATTTTCTATAAATTTATTTTTAAAAAATCTGAAAATAATTAAATTTTCAATAAATTTGTTTTTAAAAATTTTTAAATAATTGAATTTTTAATAAATTTTTTTGAAAAATATGAAAATTATTGAATTCTCAATAAATTTATTTTCAAAAACTGAAAATAATTAAGTCTTCTATAAAATTATTTTTAAAAATTCTGAAAATAATTGAATTTTTAAAAAATTTGTTTTCGAAAACTGAAAGTAATTGAATTTTGAATACATTTGTTTTTAAAAATTTTTAAATAATTGAATTTTCGTTAAATTTAGTTTTAAAAAATCTGAAAATAATTGAATTTTCAATAAATTTATTTTTAAAAACTGAAAATAATTAAATTCTCAATAAATTTATTTTCAAAAACTGAAAATAATTTAATTTTCTATAAATTTTTTTCTAAAAAATCTGAAAATAATTCAATTTGCAATAAATGTATTTAAAAAATCGGAAAATAATTCAATTTTCATTAAATTTATTTTAAAAAATCTGGAAATAATTGAATTTTTAATAAATTTATTTTAAAAATCTGATAATAATTGAATTTTTAATAAATTTAGTTAAAGACTCCGAAAATTATTTAATTTTACAATAAATTTAGTTAAAAACTCAAAAAATAATTGAGTTTATAAAATGTTTTTATTGGAGTTTTTTTTAAAAGTAATCGAATTCTTTATCTGGAATTATATTTCAAATTCTGAAAATAATTGAATTTTAAAGTTAAATTTTTGTTGACAAAATTTAAATTATAAAAATAATCGAAATCTTTACGAATTTTAATTTAATTCTTTAAAATTAATTTAAAATTTGTATGAAATATTCTAATTATTGAAAATTTTAAGTTAGAATTTGCTAGAAATAATTAAATTTTAAAAGAATTGAAATAAATAACGTTCGAGAAAAAAATAGAATGAAATTGAAAAAAATACATTTGGAGTAGAAGATAAATTAAAGCTTAGAATTTAAAACGGGAAAAATAGAAAAAAATATTCATATAATTATAAAATAGGAAAAAAATTTATTGTAGTAAAAAAATAATAATAAAGTACAATAATAAAATACAAAAATAAACATACAATAATAAAATACAAAAATAAAATACAATAATAAAATATTATTGTAGTAGAAAAATGAATTAATTGAAAAAAATTAATTAATTAAAATAAAATTAATTTAGTTTATAAAAATTAAACATTTCAAAAAACGAAAATTAGGCTCTTTTTGCAAAAAGAAAACAAAAAAATTACTCACGTCTCAACAAGTAGTCGTTGTAGATCCGTTGATTTCGTATCAATACTCGATGCATCGCCAGCAAATTTTTTAAATTCAATTTGATTCGATTGATTTGAATTTTGCCATGCAAATACCTCATTACCACAGGAATAGCACCAAAATCTATTTGTACAAAGATTCATATGAATCGAATGATTTGGAAATTTACTATTGTGCACTGAACTGTGATCTGGATTTGTCTCAGCGCAACCAACCCATCGACAATCAGGATAGAGACATAACCAAAGATTTGGACCTTCACTCTCACATTCACTGCACTTTGTAAAACGATCCTTATAAGAGACGGCAATTTCAATAATTCCCGGATCACTTTGATTTGAAACGTGGGGACAATTTCTTGCTACGTGGGGCATTCTTTATTTTTTTTCTGTGGAAGAAATTTTGTTTCTCGAAAAATTCAGTATTTTTCAAAACACTTATGACAAGTATCGATTTAGTTGAATTACAATGATATGGTTCATTATTTGTGTATCGTGCTCTTTTTTCGAAGTGAGAAATTATTCTTTTTTTTTTTATCGTTCATCGCGAAACACATTTTTCTGTAACCATCATGACACGACACACGACAGAATTGCGCTGTCAGTGTGGGCAGGGATGGGAAGGTGGATTTGTGGAAGTTTGATTTGTACAGGGTTGGGTTGTGAGGAATCTAAAGGTTGTGATCCCGGTGGTGGGGGGAACGATGATGTGGATGCGCCTTTACGTTGAGGTGAAGGCTCGTTCACTTCTCTCGATCGACGTTTACCTTCCCTGCCCTGTTCTTGAGAATTCAGCTGCCATGCCCTGCATCGAAGAGTCGGCCATTTTTCTTTCTGTTCCTCTCAAAGCAAGAAGACTCTTGTCTCAAAGGCAAAGCGACTTTATTGGAAATAAATACCAATAAATAGCGAATGGAGGCAAAAAATGATAAAATATTGTTAAAAACAAAGACACTGGAGAGTATTTATGAATATTTTCGAAGAAAATTCATCATTTCGTCATAGATGCGAAGTGAGAAAACTGGATGAATTTCTCGACGTCAACATCGCCAACATCTTTATTCAATGAATTTTTTAAGGTTCGTAACTTTATTCCCTTTATTCAATGGATTTTTTAGGGTTCGTAATTATTTTTTTACTTTTTTCCTTTCATTTTATTATTTCTATCCTTTTTTTGTAATTTTGTACCTGACAACATTTTCTGTTCTAAATTTGCCTCATTTTCCAACACTGAATTTTTTATTAATTCTCGTATTCCCTCCCTTTTTGTGATTACACGTTGTTTTTGACATATGTTTTTTTGTCAAAGTCCAAAAAACTATTTTACCAAAAAGCAGCTTTTTTGCTTTGTCGAAGAACAACTATTTTACACATCAAAAAAAGCATTTTTTTTCCCATTTGATACAAAATGTTTTTATGGAAAAAATATTGTTCAACAACAAAATTGAGAAGAAAAGTGATAAAATAAATTAAAATAAATTGACTGAAGTTTTTATAATTTTTTTTTTTTGTTAAAAAGTTATCGAAATTTTCGTGTGACTTAGCGTTAAATATGTATTTTAATTAATTGTTAATAATAATTTTGTTAACGACCACATTTTATTGGAAGATGATCATTTCTTTCATTATAAAAACTACGAAATAGTTTCTGGAATTTTTGAAGTTAGTATTTTATAAATATAGTTCGCAAGCGTTTCTTTCCTACAAAACAAATCGATTTTTTTAATTCCGCAAAAGTCCGTAACTTTGCTTGAAGTCGGTAAAAGTCCGTAATTTTGACAAAATGTCAGTAAAATCCGTAATTTGAAAAAGAACGAGAAGTTCGTAAATTGTACGATATAATTTGGGAAATTTTCGAGAAATTACAAATTACAATATTATTTTTTTGAAGTAAAGGGTATAGCCGGATAAGTATGCAAAAAGTGCCCCCGCATGTATTTAATTCATAATTTATCCATACATTCCTACCCACTTAAAGGTAACATTCTGAAATTTTGAACTCAAAATTCGCTTTTTTGGGGGAGTTATGGAGGGGGAAAGAAAAATCAAAAAATGCGTTTTTCTCGAAAACTACTGAACCGATTTTAATGAAATTTAAATATGTTATAAATGTCAACAAAACGGTTTAAAAAAAATTTTTTTGAATTTTTCAAAAAATTTTTTTTTTTTTTTTTTTTAAGAGCGACACCCGCCATTTTTTTACTATTTACTCGTTAAAGTATCTATTTTAAGAAAAAAAATTTTCCCAATTTTTTTTTGAGGTGCGTGATGGTGAAAAAAAATAAAAACCGCAAGTGGGTACAATGTACAGCTTAAATTTTGAAAAATCCATCATATTCTTTAAAAATTTGTTATTTCGAGTTATTTTTAGGTTTCCAATTATAAATCTACCATAGAATTTAAAATATTAAAAATGGCGCATAGTAAAAAAAATCAAAATTTTTTTTTTCAAAAACAAATCAAAAAAAATTTTTTTTGAAATTTTCATAATTTTTTTTTAGGGTTATTTTTTGAAGTGACCACTTTCTCTTTTGTTGTAAAAAGTACCTTATAGTGTCCCCTTTAACATATATTTTTTCCAAATTTTTAAAAAATATCGTTTTTGAGTAAAATGTCAAAAACCATGGTCATGCTATTTGTCACGTACGGAAATGCACATACATACATATGGACAATTTCATGTCATAGGGTATAGCCGGATAAGTATGGAAAAAGTGACCCAAATATATTTTTTCTATTCATTCCTACCCACAAAATAACTTTTTGAAATTTTTAACTCAAAATTTTGAGTTTTTTTAACTTATGGAGGGAAAAAAATCGAAAAACGCATTTTTCTCTAAAACTATTGTATGCATTTTAATGAGCTTTGGATATGTTGAAAAGACAATTAAAGAAATAAAAAAAAATTCCGAAAATCTGTTTTTTAAAAAATTTCATTTTGAAATTTTCAGAATAAAAATTTTTTGGTTCTATTAAAGTGACATTTTTATGTATTTTCTCATTTCAGTCTCTTATGTGTAACTACCCGGTACATTTTTATGTGGTTTGTAAATAGTTAATTTTAAAAAACCTGTCAAATTGTTTTGCAACTTATTACTAGTGGGTTATTGAGGTTGCTAAATACAAATTTGAAGTTGATATAAAAAAATATTTTTTAGACAAACAAAAAAATTTGGAAAATTTTAAAATAAAATTTTAGGATTTTTTGAGTTTTTTTACCGTGTCGCACTCTAAAATCATGTAAAACATTATTTTTTTAAAAGTAAGACTGTTAAAAATGTTAAATAAATAAAGTTTGATATACCGCTCCAATAATCCAAAAAGAAAAAATTTTTAAATGACAAAATAAAAATTTTTGGATCTTTCTTTGGAAATAATTTTTTTTTAATTTCAGACTTGTATTTAGAAAACCCCTGAGTATTAATTTGTAATTAAAGAATTAAATAATTAATTAACAATTCACATACTAAATAAAACTGTTCCGGGTAGGGTTTTTGAGTTTTTCACCGTGACACACACTGAAATCCTGTCAGGCAAAATTTTTTTATAAGAGACTGAAATGAGAAAATACATAAAAATGTCACTTTAATAGAACCAAAAAATTTTTATTCTGAAAATTTCAAAATGAAATTTTTTAAAAAACAGATTTTCGGAATTTTTTTTTATTTCTTTAATTGTCTTTTCAACATATCCAAAGCTCATTAAAATGCATACAATAGTTTTAGAGAAAAATGCGTTTTTCGATTTTTTTCCCTCCATAAGTTAAAAAAACTCAAAATTTTGAGTTAAAAATTTCAAAAAGTTATTTTGTGGGTAGGAATGAATAGAAAAAATATATTTGGGTCACTTTTTCCATACTTATCCGGCTATACCCTATGACATGAAATTGTCCATATGTATGTATGTGCATTTCCGTACGTGACAAATAGCATGACCATGGTTTTTGACATTTTACTCAAAAACGATATTTTTTAAAAATTTGGAAAAAATATATGTTAAAGGGGACACTATAAGGTACTTTTTACAACAAAAGAGAAAGTGGTCACTTCAAAAAATAACCCTAAAAAAAAATTATGAAAATTTCAAAAAAAATTTTTTTTGATTTGTTTTTGAAAAAAAAAATTTTGATTTTTTTTACTATGCGCCATTTTTAATATTTTAAATTCTATGGTAGATTTATAATTGGAAACCTAAAAATAACTCGAAATAACAAATTTTTAAAGAATATGATGGATTTTTCAAAATTTAAGCTGTACATTGTACCCACTTGCGGTTTTTATTTTTTTTCACCATCACGCACCTCAAAAAAAAATTGGGAAAATTTTTTTTCTTAAAATAGATACTTTAACGAGTAAATAGTAAAAAAATGGCGGGTGTCGCTCTTAAAAAAAAAAAAAAAAAAAATTTTTTGAAAAATTCAAAAAAATTTTTTTTAAACCGTTTTGTTGACATTTATAACATATTTAAATTTCATTAAAATCGGTTCAGTAGTTTTCGAGAAAAACGCATTTTTTGATTTTTCTTTCCCCCTCCATAACTCCCCCAAAAAAGCGAATTTTGAGTTCAAAATTTCAGAATGTTACCTTTAAGTGGGTAGGAATGTATGGATAAATTATGAATTAAATACATGCGGGGGCACTTTTTGCATACTTATCCGGCTATACCCTTTGTTAGAAATTTAATTATTTTCCGATTTTTAAAATAAATTTTATTGAAAAATCAATTATTTTCAGAATTTTGAAAAATATTCATTAAAAATTTAATTAGTTTCCAGTGTTTTAAATAAATTTATTTAAAATTTTCTTAAATAAATTTTTTTAAATTTAATTATTTTCAGATTTTTTAAATTTATTTATTTATTTATTCATTTTTTTAAAAATTCAATTATTTTAGATTTTTTAAATAAATTTTTTAGAAATTCAATTATTTTCAGATCTTTTAAATAAATTTTTTAAAAAATCAATTATTTTCAGATTTTTTAAATAAATTTTTTTAAAAATTTAATTATTTTTAGATTTTTTAAATACATTTTTTAAAACTCAATTATTTTTCAATGTTTTAAATAAATGTATTAAAATTCAATTATTTAAAAATTTTTTAAATACATTTTTTGAAAATTCAATTATTTTCAGATTTTTTAAATAAATTTTGTTGAAAATTCAATTATTTTCTGTTTTTTGAAATAAATTTCTTAAAAATTCAATTATTTTCCGATGTTTTAAATAAATGTATTAAAAATTCAATTATTTTCCGATTTTTTAAATAAATTTAGTTGAAAATTCAATTATTTTCCGATTTTTTAAATAAATTTTGTTGAAAATTCAATTATTTTCTGTTTTTTGAAATAAATTTCTTAAAAATTCAATTATTTTCCGATGTTTTAAATAAATGTATTAAAAATTCAATTATTTTCCGATTTTTTAAATAAATTTAGTTGAAAATTCAATTATTTTCCGATTTTTTAAATAAATTTTGTTGAAAATTCAATTATTTTCTGTTTTTTGAAATAAATTTCTTAAAAATTCAATTATTTTCCGATGTTTTAAATAAATGTATTAAAAATTCAATTATTTTCCGATTTTTTAAATAAATTTAGTTGAAAATT